GCACGGGCGCCAAAATTATCGTCATGTTAGAGTAGCCATGACACATCCATGGTACCCAGGTGGTATGTGCCGCAACTGTTCTTTAGTGTCAGGCCTCGGAAGTGGCTTTCTTGCCATGGCCGCGTCATCATGGTGACAGCGGGCGGCAATTCTAACAAGCGTGTAGTAATCATGCAAGGCAAGGTTTAAGATCCGGTCCATTGATCGTTACCTGCGCCTGTTAGCAAGCCGCGCCTCTGACAAGATTTCAGGAGATGGGACTGACTCAGCACATATGTCGCATCCATGAAGTTGTTTTTGTGCTTAAAATAAAAAGATATTCAAGAAAATCCCGCACCTTCATAATTGCAAACCTCGCTTCAGCAAAAGAGGAACAACACCCGTGCTGCCAGCTCGCTTCGAGAGAGGAACGATGATCTTCTATTTTCCTGATGCTCTTTAGATAAGGTGCACAGGCTGCAAAGTCTCAAAATTGCAGACTCCGGCACTGAGCAACTTTGCCGTCAGACAAAGCCAGTGGTTTCCGCAACTTCCGTTCGGTCCACCGACTGGACGGTGTTGGATTTTGTTGAGCTAGGATGTAGCCGCATGAGAATGGAGACGCTTAGATACTTTCGTGTTATTTCCTGGACTACACCTAATTGAAAAGGTGATCTGCATCGTGATAGCTGCGCGAGTCGCATGGTCTGCGCTATGTTATACTGAACATCTGTCTTGCTCCTAGGTGCATCTTTGTTGCGCTATATCACCAGTGGCCTTTCAACATGACGATCTCAGCTAGCACATCTTCATTAGAGACGTGGCATGAGTTCGCTGGCTTCACAAGCAAAGTACCGGCGACTACCGGTAGACTGGCAGGCCCGCAAGAAAGGGGACAGTATTGACGTCAGGTGGCGCGAAGATCGGGGTCATGATGCTGAAGTCTTGTTGCCGTAATATCAACACGGATCGTATTAGCGAAAGATCCGAGTGTTTGTTTGGGACGTTGTGCAAGCTTGTAGTGTGGTGGGGCGTAGATACAGAGGAAGTCTGGGGGGAAGAGGGACTGATTCCAATTCGGACGGGGATCTGGTGCACAGGGTTGTGTTCGGCTACTGCGGGAAAGCTAAACCGCATTGGCTACCGGAAGCGGAAACAGCGAGCTTCCGTTCCTAGATCCAACCTCCATCCCACGCTACCACTCGATGATCACATCACGATAGCAAAACGTCTTAGAATATGCTGGTGCTTTGTACGAGTCAGGAGTTTACACTTGCTGTGAAATACAGGTAAACTACGTCAGGAGATGGGCACATTATCCCAACACGGCATCATCACCAACACATCGCATTGCTCCAAGATCCGGCCAGTCCTTACCTGCCTCGTCATTGTCATTAGCATTCGTTCATTGACTCCGATTCAGTGGTAGATCTTGGTTGATCTATGCGAGTGACGGTGCCTGGTTTAACCAATCTTTCCATTTGGCTGCACAGGCATGAAGCGGGACCCTAGAAATAGTGTCGTTCACAATCCTAGCGAACACGTCGACACGGACTATGTGACTTTAAATACCTCAATTAAAATTCCAGCCCGGGTAATCATATACGACAGGTAAAGATCTTATGGTATGGATATAGCAAGAGAGAGCCTGAACCTTGTCTAGGACATTTGTGCATCTTAAGCTAAGATTCTTTTCCCGTTCATTAGGCGCCTTCATTTATTCAGACCCCCAATAATTTTGACAACGTAAAGGGGCCCCAAGACTGCGTTATCTAAGTGTTGCGTAAATTGTCGCTTTGACATCTATCATGCAAGCCCTCACTAAATACGTCTGCAACGCTCATCTATCTACAGTGTACATACAGAGTTATATACTCCCAATGCATTCGTATCCTGCACCAACTCTTTAATCCGGCATGTTTATGTTTCCGTCTTCATCATTGAATGCGGTATGCTTGTAATTAACATGCTGATGGTCTTTGGGCTCGTTAGACCCATACATGCTTTTTTTTCGCCTGTCTTGCCCTGAGCGTAATTTCGAGAGCGTATCGGCCTAATCGTTATTCCCGGGGCCGATTTCCCCAATGCTCACACAGTTTGCAGAGTAATAGTTTCCAAATATCCCATGACATATAAAGATCCCCAAGATTTATGATGCGCTCCATGCTTAATTAAGGCGGGCTCCTCTTATTCCTACATCAACTGCAAGTACGACGCCTAATGCAGGGAAATATGTCTAAATACTAGGCACAAAACTGTATTTTGGTATAAATACGGATCAGGCTTGACTCCAATGCTCGTACTGAGAGAAGGGGGCAATGCCAAAGGTGGCATGACTGTCTATCACTTACAGCGTCGAGGCCGCAATCGAATAGAAAAGCCCAATGGATCCCCAAAAGGCTATATTATGGTCACGGGTGATCCGTTTGCTCGCAGTCACAAAGCGGGGCTCGCAGCTCAAGTCTTTTTCTTCATGTGGAGGTCAAAGGCACACATCCATTCGTTTTCTCACAAGATGATAAACGGACTCTACCTTCCATAGTAACTTATTCTATGGAAGGAAATTGGATGTACTTAAAAATGCAATCTAGATTTGTCCCGGTGACTCTCGTGTAGCCTTAAAGTGCTCTGTCTTCACTTCTTACATCAATGATAATATGAGAGAACCGTAAGCTGCCGGATTCGGTCCAAGAGTCAGCCTATGAAAAACTCGCTGCTCTTTCCGATTGTAATTCAATTGCCTATGGTCCCAAACGCACAGATGTGGGCAGTTGTTCGGGTGAAATTGTTTTCTTCTGTGCTAAGCCCAACAACCATGTTGATTTCCCTCAAAAGCAAGAATGTAAATACGTTAGATGTCGTAGACACAGCGCATCTGATCACGCCATCAAAGGCAAAGTGATACACAATAATCACATGAGATTGGACATGTGTGTCTAACACTGCAACATCTTCAGCTACTTTTACGCAACGCTTCATAGCGGCAATGAGTGCTTCTGCAATATTGAGCTCAACATAAAACATGCATCTAAACAAATCATCATGAGATCTGCCTCGACGCTGCGCCTCGGTGATTCTCGTCAGATATGTGGGGGCCTAAACGCCACGAGCCTCTATTACAGATGTACTCGTATATCGGCTAAGAATAATGAATTCAGCGCTGCAGCGTCGGAAGTGGCCCTTGAACTTAACAGCACAGATTCTGATTTCAAAGTGGCTTTTACCAACGGCAATCATGACTGCTTTTGCAGCGCCTCCACCGACCCCTGCGGTTGTTTAACTTTGAGGCGCAGTGGTGCAGCTTTTGAGGCGCGGCTTGCGTGTTCTTCAGCAAACCTGGTTGTCATCGTTGATGGCTTCATGGCCCGCTTCCGATTGGCGTTCTCGACAAATATGCTTTCATTTCGATCGTCAATTCTTGCATGCAATTCTGCTGACGGGCTTTTTATGTAATCTTTCATGCAATCATGACTCCATTTCAATACCCAGCTAAGCGCCTCCCTGCATTCCCCCCGCGCTGCGTAGCCAGTAAAGGCACGAGCTCCTCTCACAGCGATGATACATACCAGACATCATCAGCCGAACGCAACATCAAACGATGCAATTATGCACCAGCCGAATGCAAGGTCCCGGTGCACAAGCATCTGTAACCGAGCAGCAACAGCAGCCTAGCCAGCCATCCAAAAAGCATCAATATGCTTTTGTTGTCAACAAAAGTCTCGAAAAACATCATGCCATGCTTGCAGCCATCGAGATGGTAACTGGCAGAAGAAAGCAATGGCTCTGGAACCTGCATAACGGTGAAGCCGAAGTGCTACCGCTTCCTCATCCTTGGATGTTGTTTTTGTTTTCTCTCGGGAGAGGGCCCGGGTCCGTGGGCGCGGGAAAAGTGACAGCTCCACGCTCACAGCCACAACTCGCCATGACGTGTCCAGTAAGTGGTTCTAGATCTCGGGGCCGTTGAGGAGGAGAAAGAAGGAAATGCTCGTATACGATGCCGAGACGACTGATTACTTGGTCATTTTTTCTGATCATCGTGGCTGATAGAATCGGCTCGAGGTATTGATCTTCCAGATCTCCCCATCGTCCTCGAGTACGGATATGGCATAATTGGCCCTCATATACTGTTTCTCTCAACATAATCTTTTGGGTCTCTTGTACTTAGCTCTCTTCTATTTCCATTGGTTCTATCCGCCATGCTCCCAGTATCAAAGTCCTGGGCTTGAAATAACACAAAGTAAATACCATTCATCGAAGCGGGATAGCTGATGCCATCCCGGACCGACCGGGATTTGGTTCTCGGTTTCGCGTTCGAGGTGTGCATGGTCGACGGTAGCGACACCACGCCTGCCGATGCGTCGGAAGAAGGAACCTCGTCTTGCGCAGAAGCAAATCAAACGCTTGAAACCGGAAATGCGCCCGGTGGATAAGCTGCTACTCCTGTATGCGCCCCCTCACAGCAAATGCGTGGCTGCACTAGTAACAACTGTGGCTGTATTCAGCTGGGTCTGGAGCGCCTGCATAATGCCGACGGGATGCATGAAGAAACCCGATGCAGTGTTTTGGTGTTGAGCTCTGGAACCCTCAGGTATAATTTCTTTTAATTTGTCTGTTTATGTCCACAGGCATGTTTGAGAAACCTTAAGACTCAGCTCGGCGACATGGTTATTGAAGGGATTCGCAGACGGATCTGGACTGAGTTCATTGAGACATGCAGAAATGAAGCAGCCAATAGGAATGTTATACGGGGCTGGGTCCCACGCGGATACCATCGTCTTGTTGATACGCTTTCGGAGGATGCTCGTGTTATGCTCGCCGACCAACTGTGAACATTGTTACTATGGATTGGCATGCAGTTTGTGTATAGCACTGGAATGCGATAGGTCCAAGCTGCGGATATGCATTATGCAGAACTGTGATCGTAAGCACGCGATAGCTGAATGAGTGAATATTGCGAATCTGAGGCGAGTGCGTGTAACGAAGAGTGAGATGACAGAGCTGCACAATCACAGAAAATGGCCCGCAAACTTATAGTTTATTTTGGCAGAGTCCATGCCGACTTGCGCTCAGCATTTCATTCTCGGTCTACATGCAGAGATATCTGGTAATATTTCATCCGGATATCCTAGTGTGTTGTCATTACATAGACCTTCCAGTGTTGCGGACTCTGGTCTTTTGATGCCTGGCCAGATATTCGGTGGCCTCGTTGGAATGATCGGCGTACTTAGATCTGGAGGCGCTCGACCTTGTCCTTGAGAGTGCGGATTTGGCCCATCAAGTCCTAAAACTCATTAGCCCTGGCACGGTACTTGGTTTCAAGTAATGTGAACTTACAGAAGCCTCGTTGGTCGTGATGCTGGCGGCAATAACGGGCCTGGCAACGCCGCAAGCACGGCCGAGGGCCATCTTGGAAGGAACGTAAACGTATGGCACGTTCTTGTCCTCGCAGAGAAGAGGCAGGTGGAGCAGGATGGCGAGAGGAGAAGTGTCAGCGGCGAGGATGATCAACTCGCTAATACCACGGTTCAGAGTCCTAAAACGCCGCATGTTAGCAATTGTGCTTGGAGTTCCGCGCATAATGGCATGGATTGTACGTACTTGGTGGCTTCGTTGGCACCCTTCTTCAACTGCCTGTAGTGGGTCGCCTGCTGGACGAGGTCGAGGATCTCTTGCGACAAGGCCTGGTCAGCCTGGGGCCATGCGGCGCTGTTGTCCTCGGCCATTTCGAAGGTTGCGATGTGTAGAGTGGAGTTTGAGAGTAGGGTTCACTGCTGAAGCTCGTCCGAAAGAGGATTCCTGGGACCTGTTAGTATATGGGACGCGCACGCCATGGGAGCAACCTACACGGCTCGCTCGCCCAGGAAAATATTGTCGGTGGAGATGAGTGGTTAGTATTGAAGCTGGAGCTTGTGCAAAATCGAAAAAGTTGCCGGGATGATCGCCTTGGCAGATCTCACGTGTTACACTAATGCCAGGATGGGGATAGCGTCGAGCGAGCGAGCCAGACGTACAGCTCTTCGCCAACCGTCGTCACCACTCCTCGACATCACAAACGCCCCCGTCGCCGCATCCACCGCTCGCGTCCATCTCAATAAAGATCTCGAACCCCTTCCAGACGTCTTTTCGATTACATATACCACCGCAAACATGGTGTCCGAACTCTGGTGAGTGCTTACGGAGCTCCCTCGTTCATGATGCAGGCAGCTTCCAGCTTCCGTCTTGAGCGCAAGCTGGGCCTGTTGCGGTCATCAGCGAAGCGAACAAGCTTCCGCTGCGATACACAAACAAGGAACAAGCTAACAAGACCTCCGCAGCCCCGTCTATGCTGTAAGTACTCGAGTACCAAGCTCCGCCTCGCCTCCCGACGCGATCAGAACCGCGACGACCCTGTTTCCATCATCATAACACGATGCGACGATGATCGCAACACACACCACAGGACTGGGCTAATAAATGACAGCCCTTTTTCGGCGCGATGGGCTGCACGTCAGCCATCGTCTTCGCGTGTTTCGGCGCTGCCTACGGAACCGCCAAGGCTGGTGTCGGTGTCTCCGCTATGGGTGTCCTTCGCCCTGACCTGATCGTCAAGAGTACGTTTGGCTATGCGGTCTTGATCGCCGGCTTGTGTGTTGCATGAATGCAGCTAACTGTCCACACAGACATCATTCCCGTCGTCATGGCGGGTATTATTGGTATCTACGGACTCGTCGTGTCCGTGCTTATCTCCAACGGCTTGAAGCAGGATTCTTCGCTGTTCGCCAACTTCATCCAGCTCGGCGCTGGTCTTGCCGTCGGCCTGTCGGGTATGGCTGCTGGTTTCGCCATCGGTATTGTTGGTGACGCTGGTGTACGAGGAACTGCCCAGCAGCCCAGGTTGTTCGTCGGAATGATCCTGATTCTCATTTTCGCTGAAGTCTTGGGTACGCCAACTTATATCGTGTTCTGAAGAGATGTCATTGCTAACACCCACCGTAGGTCTTTACGGACTCATCGTTGCCCTGCTCATGAACTCCAAGGCTGGCGAGGACACCTGCTAGACGATTACGCAGCCCACGATTGCAGACGCGATACGACAACATTGATCTGCAACAGACAAAGATCGGCATCGATACATCAAGTGTGACGATATGATTTACTTTCATGCCGCGCATAGTCACATGCGCGGCATGCTGTACGTCTACTATGTGTGTCTTTTTTGAAAGAATGGACAAGGAATGCTCCCATAGCAAGGGAGCGAAAGGCGGTGTATAATGGCACGGGTTGACGTGCACTTGGCAATCCATTTGGCGGCGTGTATTCTAGGGTTATCAATTTCATTTTGCGCTTGTAAACGAAATGCATGTTGTCTTTTTTTCTACTTGGACCATGGCGTGCGTGTGTATGTTGTGCAAAGTAGGTGTAGGACAATCCCAATGTCAATCATGCATGACCTCAGCGCTAATGCGGTGTTTACGTCATGATGGGATTCTCGACAGTGTTCGACATGGGCATGTCAATCTACTGAGCAAGCGGCAGCTGTATGATATGCGCATGGTTACAAGGGGTCTGATTATCGTAACGCCGACGTACAAGGCTACTGGGGCGACCTTTTCCAATGGAACGAAGTATGCTTTTGAACACAGCCTTCACTGAAGTGCCTCCGTAAATAGGCAAAGGCAACGACTAAGCAGCAACACACCTATCAACGTGCATTCATCAAGTGAAGAGGCGGAAAGCGGAATGGTTATTGTACGTTGCACAAGCATAGTCTACATGTAATCATCTGGCGACACCGGCCCTACACGTACTCTGTATTCCTCTGATGCATCGTAAACGCCAATAAACACCACCAATGTCAACATGGCATAAACCCAACATGTGCGTATGCGTCTCAGTCGTCATTACCGGCCTTCCTGGCCTTTGCTGCTTGCATCTTGCCCAGTATGGTTTTACTCTTTGCCTTGCCTTCGACTTGCTCGGCGCTACTCAGGCTGCTGTAGAAGGACCGCACCTTTTCGTGAGCAATCACCTTTTTGGGGTCGAAGCGCATAATCTGTAGACCGGCCATGCTTGTTGCACGCGAGAGCGCGACGTACGCCTGGCCCTTTTCGAACACACGGCCGAGATCGACACGTACGCGTTCAAGAGTTTGACCTTGGGCTTTGTGGATGGATAAGGCCCACGCGAGGATGAGCGGAATTTGCGATCGCGATGCTTGCACTTCACCGTTGGGAAGTTCTATCTTCCAGTCTTCGCGTTTGCACAGCAGATCGCGCGTCGTACCGTCTGCAATAGCGAACCGTACCACAGGGTAGATTTGGTTGGTGTTGAGGCCAAGCGTGCTCTTGGCCATCTCCGTCTTCAAAGCAGCGTCTGAAGGCCCGTTTTGAAGGAAACCCTCCTCGTCCTCCTTGTATATGTTGAACATTTGCTCCGTCATAAATCCTGTTATCTTGCCTAGCGACCCGTTGACTAGCGTATCGTCCATGTTCTTCACCAACATGACTTGGGCGCCTTTCTTCAAGTGTATCTGTTCTGGGACCATGCAGCTCTGAAGAAGCCTGTCTCGCTGTTCTTTGTTAGTAATAGTGCCACCATCTCGAGCGTCAAATGTAAATGTGTTGCCGTGCAGTTGGTGCATGCGTGTAGTATTGGCGCGGTCAACTTCCTGGCGTGTGGGAAAGAGCTCAGTTGCCTCAACGCTCTGATCGTCCGTTGGGAGTGGCCGCTCTAGCTGCTTGAAACGTGCAATTGACTCTTGTGTCAGCCGACCCTCTCGCATTTCATTGAGCATGTTCGCAAAGATTGGGTCCTTTTGACGGAAGACGTGTGTAAGGCCGATCGTATGCTCAATGCTTGTGGTCCAGGTGCCTGCGTCAAAGGCAAACTTGGCTGGTTTCCCAAACTCTGGTACTGGAGGCAACTGAAAGAAATCACCAGTGATGACAAGTTGAATACCGCCGAAGGGTCTGCCGTTGTTGCGAATTGTCCGTGCAATCGACTCCAATTTGTCAAACAGGTCGCCGTCCACCATGGAGACTTCGTCCATGATCAGAACCTTTGTACGCATCCATCGCTGCTTTGCTTTGGCGTTTCTTCGGATCTTCTTAATCAGATCCTCGACCGGCTCTTTACCAAGTCCGATGCCTGCAAAACTGTGTAGGGTAACACCACCGATGTTACATGCTGCTAGGCCTGTTGAGGCGGTTACGGCGACTCGATCAGGCTCGCGTACAAATTTACGTCGCAGACCCGTAATGATTTCACGAAGCAAGACTGATTTACCGGTACCTGTTGGGGTTAGCAAGTTCGTCTAGGGAAGGGCGCTCCGTCCCACATACCAGCAGAACCAGTGAAGAAGACACTCTTTTTGTACTCTACTACAAGATTCAGCACGTTTTGCTGCTCTTCGCTCAGAAAGATGCGAGCTATGGTATTTTTCTTCTTCTTCTTTGCGATAGCTTCCTTTCCATCTTCATCGGTGCCTTGGTTCGACTTTGCTTGTGCCTTCATGTTCTCCTTGAAGGCTTTCTGCTGTTGTTTCAAGGCACTCGCTGTTGTGTTCCAGAGGTATTGGGAACTTGACTCCTTTGGCGCTGGCGTCGCTACCGTCTTTTCAGCTGCTGTAGTTTGTCGCTTCTTAGCGGGTGCAATCTCATCGACATCATCCTCTTCTTGAACCGGTGGTGCCTTCTGAGAGTAATCCCATGGCAGCGTCCGTCGCTTTACCCTCAGGGGTTCGGGATTATTGGGTATCTTGAGGTGTTCTAAAGGAGAAGATGACCATGGTATTGGCTGGCTGCTGTCCGATTCCGGCTTGGTGTCTGCAGTCTGCGACCGTGAGTCGTATCCAGAGTCTCCCGAACGAGCCGAAGCAACATGAGGCAATGTGGGGTAGGTGACGGTGCCTTTGGTTGCTGGATCTTCCACATCGAGGTCAACATCACTGTCGAAATCGTCCTCGTCGTACAGGGCAGTTTCGAGAAAAGCCGAATGTGTGCCAGATGCGTAAAAATCCTCCGGAATTGTATTTTCCTTATCCATGTCCGCAATGTTGAGTGTAGGGTAGTCAAAATCGTCCTCGTGAGGGCCCAGTGACTTGGCGAGGCCGTTGGAAGTCCTCTTGACGCCCTGCGTGCTGGAAGCCGATGGTCGTTGCGACCCCGCAATGTTTTGTTTCACTTCGTTCGCTAGTGGACGCGCCGATGTTTGTGTTGAGCCAGTTCGGTTGAAGGCGTTTCCGAGAGAGGATTGTTTACAGGCACTGTTTGGCTGTGACGTCGACGCGATTGCGTCGTGCATCTGAACGGCCTGCTTGAGCATTGTTGTGGTTGTGTATGGGCGAAGGAAGAGATTGCCGCGGCAGGGTCGAGGCGGGAATCTGGACGCGGCGTTCGTAAGACTGGTGGACTTGAGTGGTGGAGAGGTTGAGAGGCGCGCGCGACAAGAGTGCGTTAGGGCCGGCCAAGTATGAGGCAAGTGCGCCCAGACAGGTTGTGCAAGGAAGGACGGGGGCGACTCTTTGGGGCTGGACGGTTTAAGCGACGCACCTCTCCTGGCGAGGATCGAAAGCATGCAGCAAAGAAAGAGGGCGCGCGGACAAAAAAAGAAAGAATACGGGAGGCGGTGCCTAATTGTCGAGTGTGCGTGCCATTGACGGCGCGGTGGGGGGGGGGTGATTGTTCACCTTTCCTTAGTGCAGCGGGCCCACAAAACGCGACCAGTTGACGCGACCGTTCAATTAAGTAAGATGCGCTAGTGATGTGCATCACGTGCATGCCTCTACCAATCCTTTGCCCGGTTCCCAGAGTAGTTTGAACTGCACATGCATGATCGCGGCAGGCCGGACACACCGCCGTGACGCAGGTACATGTGTCTAACGGCTCCCGAGTAAGCTAGACCCCTACTCTGTAATTTTTAACTTTGCCTTTTGTCTGGTTTCACAGGAGAAGGACCTGTGCAGTTTGCGATACATAGCCAGTGTTGGTTGTTTTGACGGGCAACCAAAGTGTCCGTCTTCAAAGTCTGTGTATTGCATTGGGTATCGATACGAGAACCTAGGTTGAAGAGCTCCTGATCCTATTCCCCAGGGATCCTCAGAATAGCTTTCTCTCTCTCTCTCTCTCTCTCTGTAAGGCCTCCTTTTCCACATACTGTATGTGTCGTTCGCCGCGCCCCGCGCATGTCGCTTCAAGTCAACGTAGTCTAGATGGAACAATAACATTATCATCATACAATAACAACAACAGCAACAAAAACAACCATCATCGTCATCATCATCGTCGTCGTCGTCGTCAAAACCCACCGACCAATAGAAAGAAATAGAACCAGAGGGTAGTCATGCCTGTCTACTACTACGCTGCAAAGAGAACAACAATTCGCTTTTGGTATCGAGAAGAAGATTCAACATCATAGTGGGTAGTGAAGAGGCAACATCGACAAGCCGAAGCTCGCATCAAAAGGAAATGCTAACACGAGAAAGGAGATTCATTTTGAACCACACAAACGACCGTAGACCATATCCCCCAGGAAATGTAGCACAGGGTACCAACTATGCCAGCAGACAGCAACCCGCGCACCTTTTTGGACAACAAGACTAAGACGACGACTTCCCTAAGAACATAAGACCAGATAGCTGATGAAATGTGACCTGGAAATCGGCGCTATCCAAACAAAAGAGCCCTCGTAAACAATTGGGCGTGTCGAAAGAATAGATGGCACAGCGCTGAACAAGACAAGTTTGAGCAAGGAAAGTCTTTAGCCCTGGTAGCCCCCAAAGCCGTTCTGGCTGAAGGCGGCTTGGGGAGACTGGCCCCACTGCGGCTGCTGAGGGGCCCCGCGGCCGTAGCCACCAGCGCTGCCCGGCTGCTGCATTTGCTGCTGGAATGGCATGCCGGGGGTTCCAAAGGCTTGCTGCTGCTGCGCGAAAGGTGCTCCGCCGGGGCTGGGTCCTGCCCGCGCATTAGATTGCTTGTTTCGATACTGCAGCTTCCTCCGGTGCCGCTCACCTGAGGGTGACATGGGCCCACCTTGTGGCCCACCACCATACTGCGGAAAGTACGCACTGGGCGTCTGGGGGTAAGCTGAGTTAGGACCGCCCGCAGGCGAGTAGCCCTCAAACTGGCCAGTCGGAGGACGGTCTTTGCCCCACTAAATTGGACTTGTGAGCCGATGACTTGAGAGGGGAAGGAGATACGAGTCAACCTACGCTACACTTGAGAGGGCGCCCGTTGACGTTGTAACCGTTGAGCTGGCAGATGGCCATGGCAGCGTTCTCGTGCGTGTCCATCTTGATAAAGGCAAATCCACGGTCCGACTGGAAGCGCGTCTCGGTAACGTATCCAAAGTTCTGGAAGAGGGGGACAAGGTCAGCCTGCGAGGTGTAGGGAGTCAGATTGCCAACGTAGCACGTCGTCTGCCACTGGGGCGTCTGGGCCACAACCATGTCGTAGCTCTGCACACCGTGGGTGGGGAAGTGGTGGTGGCCGAACGGAGTCGTTGGTGTCATGCCCATCGAGGCCATGGCCTGCTGCTGCGAAATCGACGGCTGCCCCTTTTGGTTGGCCCAGTTGCAGCGGATGGCGCGAGAACCGAGCCACTCTCCGTCCATGGAGTTGAGGGCACGCTCAGCATCAGCACGATCCCGGAAAGCGACGAATCCGTAGCCGCGGGATCTGCCCGTCTTCATGTCCCACATGACGCGAGCCTCGGACACGGGGCCAAACGTGGAGAAAGCCTGCAGAAGCACCTCGTCGTTGACCTCGTTGGACAGGTCGCCCACAAAGATGTGGAAGTGGTTAGAAGTGTCTTCCTTGGCTGTGTTGTTAGACTGATACGCCCAGTTGACACGGATTTCCTGTTGCCCCCGGTCAGAAGACTGGCGCCATACACGACGGCGCAGCAATGCTTACGTTGTTGTGGATGCGGCGGCCATTGAGAGTAGCCATGCCACGTTCGGCCGCGCCCGGGTCGTCGTACTCGACGAAGCCGTAGTTGAAACCCTTGGAATTGAACTGTCAGCGGTCAGCGGCACTTGAATTGTCGCAGCATTTTGCAAGATAGGCCCGGCCCGCGCCACAAAGCTAGCAACAGATTGCAGCGGTTTCGGGAGTATATCTTACAGAAGGCGAACTTGCAGTCTTGTCTGGAATAATCTTGACGCTCTGCACATGGCCCGTCGTCTCGAAAATCTGACGCAGCACATCCTCAGTCACGCGCGGGTCCAATCCTCCCACATACAGGGCGCGCTTGTTGGGCTCCGGGGCGGCGCGGCGAGGGACGTAGCCGGGCTGGCCGCTGGTGGGCGACATGGGGTTGCCCGACATGGGCGAGCTGATGGCTGTGGGGATGGGATTGTTGTTCTGGGGGATGATGACGGGGGCGAGGGGCGGAGGCGGCATGTGCTGCTGGGCCTGGGCCTGGTTCTCGTAGCCGGGAGCACCAGCAGAGGGAGGAGGGGGGAGCTGTGCCCCGGGATTCTGCTGGTCGGCCATTGTGCAGTCGCGAGGACGAAGGATGCGCTCAAGGCAGACGCGGCAGGCACAGGGAGCGGGGGCGCACAAGAAGCAGCTGACGACGGCTGGAGGGCTGATGCGACGCGAACGGCGAGGCAGCGGCGACGACGACAGCGAGCAGGCCAGGCGAAGGGGGGCGGGCGGGCAGCGGCGAGGGCGGGGCGAGAGCAGCCTTGGACGAGGACGACAAGGAAAGTCGGAATGAAAAGCGCGGGCAGGCAGGGGCAGCCGGCCGGCGAGACAAGAGCACTAGGAAAGCGAAGAGAAAACAAGAGGAAGAGAGATAGGAGATGCGAACGGCCCTACGGCGAACTCTGATGGCAAGCTAGATGTCCACTGTGGGGTGGAGAAGGGAAGAGGAGATGGCAGGAGAGCGAGGGTCGCAAGAATTAGGCTCGCGCAGGCCTTCAGCACAAGCGCCCAATGCAACGGGAGAGCTACTGTAGCCCACCAGTGCCGTCGAGGGCGGCCTACCAGGGTGGGGTGGGGGGGTTCAGGTATGTAATGGCATGGCATGGCATTTGGATTCATTTCAGCGGCTGCGAGGGTTGCTGGGGATGATTTGGCCGTATTGAACGATGCAACGGTGCTAGCGGCTGCCTGTTGCGCAGCTTTTAGTACCGGCGCCCGCCCACGCCCCACGCGCTAGGCCCGAAGCGCGCCAGTGCCGGTGCCGGTGCCAGGCCCCTCGACCCTCGACGGCAACGGCAGACGGGCGCACCTGCAGCAAGCACCAGCACCGCCGCCCATCAGCATCAGCAGGAGCGACCTGCCCGCCCGGCCCTGCACGTGTCAAGCCGCCGCCGCCGCCCGGAGCCTCGTTCGCAGCTGCCGCAACGCTTGACCTCTGCGCTGCGCCTGCCTCCGCCCGCACCACTGCGCCTGCCTCCGCCCGCCCTCGCCCGCCCTGCACCTGCCTGCCTCGCCATGGCCGCGACCAACCCGCCGCCCGCCAGGCCCGATGCCCAGCCGCCGCACATGGACACGCTCCAGGGCATGCTCAACCTCATCGTACGCCGCCTGCCTCTGTTCCCCTCCCCCCCGTGACGCGTGCCCCTGCTGACGTCTGGCGCGCAGTTCCTCCACTCTGGCCGCTTCCTCAAAGAATCCCAGGCCGGCGGCGGCTCTGGCCGCATGAAGCTGCAGCTGCAGCGCGTCGTGCCCCATGCCACGGAGCGCTTCCACGATGCCCTCGACGAGCTGGAGAACGAGGTGCGCCTGGCCCAGACGGTCCTGCGCCGCGACATGGCCCTGCTGAAGAACGACCGCAAGAAGAAGGAGGCCGCCGCCAAGCAGCACGAGGTGCACAAGGCGCGCCTGGCCGCAGAGGCGAGGAGCGCGCCGCCGCCAGCACACGACGAGCCGCCCGTCAAGGAGGAAAAGGCGCCCACGCCCACGCCGCCCGCGCCTCCTCCACCAGCACCAGCAGCCGCCGCCCAAGACGCGCCCGCGACAGCCAATGCCACAGACCCAGAGATGCTTGTCGCGAAAAAGGAAGGCGGCATCGGGGCCAGCACCACCACCAACGACGACACCACCGCCAACCCACCCGAGCCAGCCAAACCAGAGACACAGGCAAGCACGGAGCCAGCCAAGGACCCGCTCTTCGACGGCACGCCCACGGCCACCAACCCCCACGAGTCCGATTTCGACTTCGATGCCATGTTCGGCGATGCCATGGACACATCGGCCAACCACAACCCCGACCACGACATGATGGATGCCTCCAACGACATCGACTTCAATCTCGACGATGCCAACGACAGCTCGGCCCTCCTGCGCGGTCTCGAGGACTTTGCCAAGAACAGCGAAACCGACAACGCCCACCAATCATCCAACATGGACATGGACTTTACCATGTCCGACCTCCCGGGCCTGGATACAAGCGCCAATCTCGATACCAATACACACGCAAACGCCGACAGCAATGCGACAGCAGCCGCCAAACCTGCGCCGGAACCAGAGCCTGCGCCAAAGGCCGACGAGCCCAAGCCCGCCGCACAACCACCACCACCCGAAGAGAAGAAGAACGAACTAGAAATGACCAACAATGACGACATGATGGGCACCATGGCTGCAGACGACCTCGAAGACCTGTTCAACATGGACGAATACGAGAATCCAGAGCAGTCTTCCTTTGACGATGCCTTTTTCAACTTTGAGTAATCTGATATTACACTGGCTGCTATACCACATCTACCTGGACATTGTGGCGTTTGGATATTCGATTCATTTGGCGTTTGCGGGAGAATTTGATACCCCTGGTATATGGGAAAAGTTGGGACCAGCTTAACAGGGCTGTGAACTGTTTCTCTGTATATGAGAACAGGTTAATTAAAATTTTATAGTATTTCACCATGTCTCTCCTGCTCGAATATTTCCAAGCACTCTGATATCAGAGTAGCTGCTCTAATAAGCTACCTGCCATGCACAACACACAGAACTTCAACATCTTCTCGCACTCTCCCTTTGACACTCAATGCTCTTATACAATGATTTTCATGCTAACTTCACGAGGAGCCGGGCTACGATCCTGCCCACATCCTCCCCACTAAAGCTTAATCTCGCCCTCGAACCCATTGACATGCATAAAGTTTGCCCGCAGCGGCGTAACGCTAGTGTATCCTTGGGCAACAGCCCAGCCATCGTTACCCGGCTCGCTCTGTTCCACGCTCTCGTACACGTCCTTGAAGATAGGCGCCCACTTGAAGTGCTTGTGTGTATACCGCGAGTGCGGCTGGCTCGTAGGCGTGTCGCGTCCTGAATCAGTGCCGCTTGCGCCGCCCTGAAGCCCAGAATTGGAGCGCAGTTCCTTCTTGCCCAGCTTCTCTTCCTGCCTGCGAATCTGGCCCTCAATGTCGGCAGCCTTGTCGTCGGCCTCGGCGGGCACCTCGACCACCTGGAAACAGCTGCCGCTCTTCCATGTGTTTTGCAGCATGTTTGTCCACAGAATCTTGCGCTCGCCCACCTTGTCGACCAAAGGCACGTTGACAGTGTACAGGTGCGTGTTCGAGTCCCAGTTGTCCCACAGATATTGGATGAGCTTTGTGCTGAGCTCGCTCGCGCCGCTGATGATCTTGGCATCGTGGTTACGGTCGAAGAAGGCGTAGCTTAGTGCAATACTCTTCACGCCGCATGCGGCTGCCTCCATTGCGCCGCCTATGGTGCCCGATGAGAGGGAGAAAATAGCCGTGCTGTTGCGCCCGTAGTTGGGACCCGACACAACCAGGTCAATTGGGCCGCGCTCGGTGAAGTAGTGATACAGGCCAATCTGCACGCATGACGCGGGTGTCGAATCAACGAGGACCCATTCTTCTTCCGTCGAAGAAGGTGGAAGCGGCGAGTTATGTGTTGTTCCGTGGTTCGTCAGGCGGCCTTCAGGCGTCGTCTGGAGGGGCTCAGGGCGATAGTATGTTGGTTGTATCTACGGCCATGTCAGAATGCCCGGTAAAGACAATCCTGTGTACCAATTGTTCGAACAAAGGAAAACAACCGTTTCGTACCGACTTGCCAACAAGATGCGCCTTGCCTATCCAAGACCGCTGCGTATGTGGAAGAACTACTGACACAGTATGGCCATGCTTTTGGAGTGTTGACACGAGCGAGTGCACGTACGGCGACGACTCGTCGGATGGCGGTCCATCGTCGTTAGTGACCTATTGGTCCATCAGCTGTTGCCATTGGCTGTTATCAAACAGCAATTAGCTTACTAGAATATGCATCTTTGCTTCCAAGGTGTTGAATCGGCAAACTTTTGTAGGATCTTGTTGTGTATGGGAAGTTGAAAGACACAGTGGGGCAGACAGGGAGTGACGTGCGCTATCGATAGATCCCGATGCTCGGACCCGCCTGGAGTTGGGCCGCCGTCACCGCCTCGTTCTTCTGCCACCGCATACGATTCGGTCCTGTGTCGTGTCTTGTCGTGTAAAATCACCCCGAGCTGGCTTCAGCTTCCCCATATTACAGTTTCCACAGGATGATTGTAGAGGTCGTCTGTCACGGTTGATCGTACCTGCGCTATGGGCAGATCCGCTGATGTCCCTTGCATTGCGCCGGCGATTCAGTAGCGTCTCTCGCGATAGACGCTTCACGTCTTGGGTATTTCACACACGACACAAGAGGAGGAGAGCTTATTAGAGAATTTCGACCCCAAGAAAAGATGGCGAGACAATATCGGACTTGTGTCCGCATCTCCATGCTGAAAACCTCATCGCATTCGATGCATTGAGCGGGACAGCCGTGGCCCCTCTCCCCTTCCGAGCTCCCCACCATAGCCGACATCTCAACTGCGACGTCTGAAACGGACACTGGACTTGCCGGAACAATTAGCCATGTGGAGGTAAAACATACAGCGTACAAACCGTTCCCGGGCGCCAGGGTGTAGAGCCGCAGCTCCCTATGGCGGGCCTACTATTTTCGGTGTTCGTTGCTTCGGATCCCCGCCCGTGACCGCACGCCGTGAGGAACACCGCTTAGTTGACTGAGACCACAAGCACATTTATATAGGTGGGACGAATATGAGATTATGGCATTCAAGATACCCAGTTGCTTCTCATTTCTACATCACAATCAACTCTCAAATTCCTTCCAACTTGAAGGAACAGAACAAGCATTCATCCCAACTCCAACTATACCCACACACGTGACTCTGTAAAAATGGTCGTCAACGTCCCCACTGCCTCCCTCGAGGGACAAGTCGCCCTCATCACCGGTGCCGGCCGCGGTATCGGACGAGGCTGTGCAATTGAGCTTGGCAAGCGCGGCGCCTCAGTCATTGTCAACTACGTATCGTCAGAAGGCCCCGCGAACGAAGTGTGCGAAATCATCCGGGGCTTCAACAACGGGGCCAAGGCCGTTGCCATCAAGGCGGACGTGAGCAAAGTCTCCGAGATCCAGCGGCTGTTCGAGGAGGCCAAGAAGGCCTTTGGCAAAATCAACATTGTCATGAGCAACTCGGGCACAGAGAGCTGGGACAAGACGGAGGAAATCACAGAGGAGAAATACGACCATGTCTTCAACCTCAACGCCCGAGCCCAGTTCTTCGTCGGCCAAACCGCATACAAGTACATCGAGGACAATGGCCGCATCATCCTCATGAGCTCCATTGCCGCCGGCCTCCTCGGTGTAAAGGACCACGCTCTGTACAACGCCTCCAAGATGGCCGTCATTGGCTTCATCAAGGCGTTTGCTACCGACTTTGGAAAGCGCGGCATCACGGTCAACGGCGTTGCCCCCGGTGGCATCAAGTCTGACATGTTCACCCAGAACGCCTGGCACTACATCCCAGGAGGCACGCCTGAATGGCCCGCCGAGAAGATCGAGTCGCTCATGGCGAGCCACTGCCCCCTCGGTAGGTGTGCCGTCCCCGAGGATGTTGCAAGGGTCGTTGCTTTCCTTGCCTCCGAGGACGGTGGCTGGGTTAACGGCCAGGTGCTTACCATCTCTGGAGGATCGTCCCAGTAGATGTGCGATTGGTAGGAGGACAAAAGAGACCGAAAGAATTATATGACGATTATGTAATTAGTTCTAGAGCGCATCTTTGTCATGGCGGAACAGTTGTACGCCAGTGCTCGAACTCAATCAAGCTTTGTTCACTGCTTCTGTGCAACATGGATGTGATATGGAAAAGGATTGGTCATGCAACCCCACGTGAAGGAATGGCATTTCTGAGAGCAGGTGCGGATCTCGATATTGAGCGAGGATATTCTTGTAGTTTACCTTGCCATAGAGGTTGCCTTTGATTCAATGTCGAATCAAAGCGGATATCTTTCTTTCAAGACTACACATCAGTCTTAAACTGATATCTACATGAATGCTCAATCGTGCTACCACAATAAGAGGTTATTTAATTTAATATATCTAAGGTATTTGTCGAGTATCCCCAAACAGCGCATTCGATGCGCTCGCTACTTACTAAAAATCATACCTTGTGCTCAAGGCTACACAGCTGCCGCTTCGGCTACAATAGAACTAGTATACAAAAGGTAATCATGTGCCTCATTTCCTCATGGCATCTTGACGCTCTGGTGCGCTGATATCGAGTCGCTGAACGATTTTCAAAAAGAAAAAAGAAAAAAAAGGGAATATGTTTCGAGGAGCAATCACCACTTTCCTTAAACTCTTATACCAAAGAAGGCTCCTCGGGAGTTTTGGCAAGGCCCTCACTTTTGGTTTCGGGACTTGTGTGTGTAGGCTTTATGTCCTGTTCCATCGGCCCGCTTCCATTCTCATTCCCATCGCTGTCCTTGTTGGCAGCGCTAACTACTTCCTCGATCATGGCTGCAAAGTCGACAGTCATACCACCCACATTCATCTTCAGCAGTGTAACTGCATCGGGACCATGATTGGCGTCGATACTTGTGCCCTTCGAACCATTTTCCATGGCCAAAACCATGGCTTCATTGTCGAAGATATTATCTCCACTCCACATCCCTACAGTCGACGTATTGGGGTCCTCGTAAAGATCGAAACCTAGGCCCAAGGAACCAGTCTTTGATGGTGAACTACTCAAAGGCATGTCGCTCGACAAAAAGTCGTTGGGTAAGAGTTCACTGAATTGTATGCCGTTACGGCCTGGAGTAGTGAAGGTGGGAAATGTAGAAAAGTCAAAGTTCTGAGAGGGCGATGAAATGGGGTGATCGGACAAAAGGGCGTTGAGCTGGCGTGTAAACGGCGTGTCGGGAGCAGCACTCGCCGCACGAGTGCCCCGAGGAGTAAACATGCTGCGCGAGGGCGTTAAAGGAACCTCTCCACCTTCGTCATTTTTCTTTGGTGTCAGAGCGACGCGCTGTCGGGTGCCGGGAGTGGGCGTCTTCAAAAGATCTTCAGCTATCTGATCTTGTTTCGGCATCGGCTTGGGAGAGCGGAAGTCCTCAAACAGGTGGGCAAGCTCGTCAGTTTCTGCCATGTGTGGTGGTGGGCAGTTCTCCTTATCAGGATTGTCTTGTTCAATCATAGGTGGCTGCACTACGGGCTGCTCGAACCAGTTCGTCTTCTTTGTCTCGCACGGAATACAGCCGTCAAAGCCTATCCCAGCATTCTCGCATCGACCACATGGCCGTTCTCGGTCGCAAGCTCTCTTGAGTTCTTTACATCTTTGGCACCGGGGCTTCTTGGGTGCATCATCGTCGTGCATATGCACGGGAGGGGCGATAGCAGTCGTTGCCTGTTGAGCAAGAGTCTTCCGCTGACCCTGCTTCCGAGGTGAAGGGAAAAGTATCCGCCTCGTAGGCTTTGGCGTAAGGTCTTGATCGAGGTTGATGGGCGAAGCCTTGTTCCCTCTGACGCCAACAGGACTGGACTGAATAGCTCGTCTGAAAGCAGCCTGAGCATCGCCAGCATTCAATTCATGTGTGCCAGATGGGACTTTTGGGGGTGCCATCTCTCTATCTTGTGTGTCGTCAACAGATATGCCGCCCTGATCTTGCTCGGTAGGCATGACAGGTTCCGACTCTGGCATAGCAGCGTCAGACATGAGCTCATCACCAACTAAAGACTTAGAGCGTGTTCCAGTCTTCTGTTCCCTTTTGCGCTTTGCTAGTCGCGCAGACCTATCCCATACTTTCTGCGGCCGCATAGAAAACTTCTTGATGAGCCAGAGTCCGCATGGGTTACATAGGTTCAGTTCCTGGAAAGCATCACACGACTTGGCTGCCACCAGGTCCTTGTCGTGGCGGCTCAAGTTGTTTTTGAAGATGCGATATTTTGGCAAGCCGTCTGTGTCAGGGGTCGGTTCGATTACTTCGTATGCAATGATGTCAGTCCCGCCCGAGTCAGTGGACAGCTCGATGCCGCTGGGCGAACCACTCTCTACACGTGTATAGGCTTTTCTCCAGGTTGGCGTGTCAATTTCTCCGCAGTTCACGCAATGCGGTGGCATTTCACCTTTTCTGATAGCAGCATCTAATCGGTCCTTGATGTAGCGCTTCCTCTTCGCACCAGATCCGCTTCGAGTGTAGCCACATTCCGAGGGTGTCGGCGCGTCAGACATAGGTTCACCAGCCCCAGACCAGGTTTGTGACCTTGGAAGACCTCTCGGTTTGGATTGCTTAGGCTGCTTCACAGGCAGGTTCGGGGTAGCGGAGCGACTGTAAACTTGTGCTTCGCTTTCTGCGGCAGGGGAGACTTGCGAGGCAACACCCTCCGGTGAACCAGCAGTAGAAACTGTCGCACGCGACTTGTCTCGAGTCTGAGACTTGCACTCAGACCCAGATGGTAATGTGTCACCAGTAGTTGGCCGTCCATTAACCGAATTGCTGCCCTGTTGCGCTGTGGCCATTTTTGAGAAGAGATCCGTTTCGTCGTTTGTGGCTTGTCTTTGGAAATACATCGAATTGAGTAGATCCTGGTCCATTGTGTCAAAATCGAAAGCTCGAGCGCCACCCGTGTCCATCTCGATACTTTCAGTGATTGGTTGTGCGGTGGAGTCTCGACGCCCTGCTGCCTCGTGACCTTGCCATGAAACATCCCCACAATTCAAACCATCAGCATCTCGGCCCATTGGAATGTCGCTGACGAAACCCGAGTCATTGAGAGGTAGCATTGGCAGGTTTGGACTAGAAGGAGCAGGCGATGTAGTACGCCTTGATGCAATTGGGGGTGACGAGGGCATCTCTTTTGGGGTCTCGCTTGGGCTTCCTTCTCTTTCATCCGCTGACTCCATAGCAGTATCCGAAAAAGTACTGGGTTCATAAGGAGACATGTACGGTCGTCCTCCATCCATGGAAGCATGTCTTAAAGCACTCGGTGCTGGGAGACGGCGTGATCCTCGGTGGCCTAGTTTCTCGCCTGGGCGGGGTGTTGGTGCACGTGGAACCATGTCGGCGGCAGCCCCTGAACCGCCAAGGGTCGGCTTGAGGAGACGTACTGACGCTGCTGTGCTGGCAGTCACTCTAAGTGAGTCATTGGGGGCAGTCAAAGGCGTGTGCCTAGGTCTCGTGGTCTGTGTGATTCGCGCCCTTTTCTTTGGCGGACCCTCCTCTTGAGGCTCCACAATATACGGGTCACTGAACTGGTAATTCTGAGGCGGCGGGGCTGCTTCACTGCGCACCGAGGCTCGTGATGTTGGACGTGAAGGAGGGTTGTACTGATAGTGATGAAACGAGATGGTGCTCATGGCAGGGCTGGAGGGTCGAGTCGGTTGGGACATGTAAGGGGTACTCGGCTGGTCATAGAAAGCGTCATTCCGGAGTGGTTCCTGAGATGGACTCTGGCGGGTAAGCATCTGATGGAAAGGCTCAACTCCACCAATAGAATGGCGCGGCGAAGGGTGTGAAGAGCGGTTTGGGGGTGGTTGAGCCAGTTGACCAATTGTAGGATTCTCTTTCAAAAAGTCGGACCAGGCGTTATAATCAAACCCCTCAGGCATCAGCTGACTGAGGCTATGATACCGCTCCATGTTCTCCACATATTCTTTTTGCATGCACGTCGGAACAGGTACAAGCTTCAACTTGACTTCCAGAGTCTCTTTGATACCATTTGAGAAAATGCCAAGGATGTTCTTGCACACGCGACCAGTAACCATTGTTTGGGAATCTTTTGCGGGGGCATTGGGCGTCGACGATGCAGAAGCGAGAATCCATGATAGCATACCCTGTCCGACAAGCGGCGTCTCGTATTCGGAAAAGTCATAAGCGTACACGGTGTAATCATGGCCCAATTTGGCAACGAGCTCAGGACTACAGCGGTGAGCATCATGTTCCGTTAACCAATAGGCGTTGGATATAGCCTACCTTGCAGCAACAATTGCCTGAATACATGTCTTGAGCTCAATGACACCCACTTCGGTAGTTTCGTCTAATGAAACGACAGGCACGTTTAGGACGTTCGGCAACCGGGCGAGACAATTTGACTTGTTCTGATCGTCGAATGTGTACAGGACCTTGACTGAAGAAACATCTGCGTTAGATCAGATATGATGATGGGCTGAGTCTGTTTACCTCGCATCTGTCGGCGCGGTATTTCATCCATGACGCCATCCTCCGCGGCAGCAGCGGCAGGAGTGGATGCCTGCTGCATACCACCGGCCTCTGGCATAGTGCTGGAAGGAGTCGACATGGCCGTCTATGATATTGGCAAAGGGACAAGCAGGCCGTGTCGTGAGAGAGAAGAAGAGCGTCGCGGATAGACAGGACGTGGTCAATATATTATCGTGATTGGTGGCTGGCGTGCGATCATCGCGGACGCGTTCCCGAAGAACAAAGAAGACAGACTAGAAGCGAGTCGGGTGCGAATTGGCGGGGGCAAGGGGGCCCTTAAGTATTCCAGAACACGGAGACTCCGAGGCAGGTGGCCGCACGCGTACCAGGGCGAAAGAAGGGGGGTGGAAAGGGTGTCGTTAATCGTGTCGTGTGGGTTAAGTGAAGATGGAGGCACGAGCGCGGAGGGTTGGAGCTACCCGCGCCGCGCTAATGCCAACCAGGCAAAGAACGCGTGACGCACCATGGACCCAACTTTGCGGTCCATAGTTTGACGCGTGGTGATTGGCTCGGCGCCGGAAAAACTGTTCTCCCAGCTTCGTCTCAGCCAAGCTCGCTCACTTCATCGCCCTGCTTCACATTTCTCGCCGACCGCTCCACCTCATCCAAGCGCGTTGCCGTGGTGCCCTCCCTCTCTAAACTAGGTACGTCTTTCCGCTCTTGGTCTGTGCACATCTTTTGCTCGACCTCATCCTTGCGCACTACTTGCTCGAGCCTGCGTGTCAAAATTCAGAGGCAGAAGTTCAGCACCCCAGATATTAACGGCGATTAGATACGGAGCTTGCTTTTTCTCAGACCTTCCGCCAATTCCCCAACCTACTCGACAAGATGGTTGACGCGAAGATTCAGTGCGTAGTGTTGCCCAAGCTCCATGGCAAGCCTCTTGTACTAACACCTCACAGGGAGCTTCTTTCCAAGCCACGCTCTGAACTAACGTATGTGTTCTCGTGTGTCGCTTCATGTTACAAGGAGGCTGACATTGTCGTCTAGGGAATACGAAGTCGCCCAAGTCGAAGAGCATGAGCTCACCACCGGACCTCTCTCGATCCTCCAGACCGCTGTCCGCTCGCGCACACAAGTCTTGATCTCGTGCCGAAACAACCGCAAGATCCTCGCACGCGTAAAAGCCTTTGACCGCCATTGCAACATGGTCCTTGAAAACGCAAAGGAGATGTGGACCGAGACGCCACGGTTAGCCAACGGGAGTTACGGAAGGAAGGTTAACAAGGACCGTTTCATTTCCAAGCTGTATGTCCAAGGAAATCCCACGTTGCGCCGTCTGCTAACACTGGTTAGGTTTCTCCGAGGCGATTCAGTCATCCTTGTCTTGCTGTCATAAGAATTTTGATGCGACCTGGTGTTAAGACGGAAATGCAAGGTGGACGCTCGCGAGTTAGAGTTCGAATGCATTAAAAGTTATATAATCGCCGTCGCGAAGCTGGCGATATCCACCGAACGAATCAAACGATACCCCTTCCACGTTCTACTTCTTCAATCCGTCACTCAGGCCCAGCAGAAGCTCCGCGAGACCGTGCGCGCCAGGGTCAGGCACTTCTTGGAACCCTACGCCTCCAACATACACCGTCCGTCCCAAACTCGCCTTCATTCCCTTCGTTCCTTGCGCTCCTCCTTGTGCCGCTGTGGCTGCTTTTTCGATATCTTCTGTTTTGGACAGCGCCTCAACGAACGGATACAAAGCGTCCATCAGCGTCCGATCACCAGGCTTTGCTGACGTGTACTTTCCCAGTGCTTTGAGCGATGAATCAAGCGCCTTGGCCCAAATCGCAGGAGTAACTGGCTGAGGGGACGAAGGCGAATGTGTTCGCAGTCCGTGGGCTAGTGCGTTCAAGAAGATGGCGTAGATTGCGCCTGACGTCCCGTCCATCGCTACTTCGACCACTTGAATGATGTTATTCACAAGGATCAACAGATCGTCTGTTTCCTTTGCTGTTTCGAGCATCTTCAGAATTGCTGCAGGGCGTCAGCATAAGGCAACAATGCACACGTGATCAAACCTACCTTCTGCACCTCGTTTCAGTCCAATTCCGCAATCACCATCTCCTACGATTGTATCATATCTGGTGACATCAGGCTCGGCAGCTATCACTCTATTTAGTGCGGTTGTCAGTGCCGACTTGGCCTGAGCGTAATTGACTATTCAGTGTCAGTACACGTTCAGTAGCGTTTCTGCAGTACTTACCCCTCAAGTCACTAGGCAAAACTTCTTCTTCATCGACCTCTTCTTCCTTTTTGTTTGCCTCTCCACGTCTGGCCCAGGTGCTGCTACTGATCGCTGCGGACCAACCGCTCGCCTCAGCCGGCGCATCCAGCAGCTCAAGCATCGAAGCGCCTGTCAATTGCGTATCACTGACTTTGAGCATGCTAATGCTGAAGCCCAGCCCATTCAAGCTGGTCATGAAAGTTCCCGCGAGTATACGCACAGGCTTAATGTTGAAGTCGGATGCCAGGTGCTCAACGACCTCGTTCGTGATACCGCTCAGTTCAAGCGGACTGACTCCTCCCAGGTTATTAATCAGCAGCACAACCTCGTCCTTTGCGGTGATGGAAGAGAAGTTTCGATCTTGGTCTGCGACATCGAGACAGTGCGACAGCATCGTCTTCACTAGCCCTGGAAGATCAATCGATTTGCGCTCCGAGCCAGCTTCGTTATGGATGCCCATTCCGATCTCGACCTGACCGTCTTTCAGTTCATCTTCTTCGGCTTCTCGTCGGCCAGGAACATGGACATGCGCTAGTGATGATCCAATGGAGACAGTATTCTCTGCAACGAGTCGCGCTACACGCGTCACGTCCTTGAGGCTCGCTCTGCATTTCGTTAGAATTGTATCTGTCATGGGTCTGTTCACATCGCATACCCTTTGGCCGCAAGCGCTCCAGCAATCTTCTGGACAAGAACAGTTCCTGCAATTCCTCTCCGTCCTACCTTCCCACCTTTTGCCCGCCCCACTCCAGTGTCATCGCCGACGACCACCATGTCGGCCTCGATTCCAGCAGCGCGCGCCTTCTCCACAGCCATTCCGAAATTCAGCACGTCGCCGGTGTAGTTCATTACGATTACGAGGACACCCTTATCTTTCTGGATGCGATGCAGTATACACCTTCGTATCTGCTCTGCGCTTGGGGACGCAAAGATGGTACCCGCTACCGCGCCAGAAAGGAGGCCTGCGCCTACAAAGGAAGCGAAAGAAGGTTCGTGGCCACTACCACCACCAGAGACAATGGACACTTGCGATGCGCCATTCTTGCGATAGATGATCTTGTTCTTTATGTCGCATTGCACAGAAGGGTTTGTCTTTGGGATGCTAAGAAGCGCCGTGTTGACCAGGTGCGTAGGATCATGAATAAAGTGTTTTGCTAGGAAGTGTCAGCCCTTCGCGCTCAATTGCACCATACCAGGCCTCGATGCATACACGACATATTGAAACCTCTGCAAGCAATTCGGTTCAATGCAGCAGTAAGAGAAACGATGACAGAGCATCTCGGAAGACGAGGGAATCAAGTTCTATTAAGAAATCTAGCCCGGCCTTCCATACCCGATCCGACGACACCTCATCGCCATGTCCAATCCAACCCATTCTTCTCTGTCATTTGACATGTGCCGTCGGGCTGCACGGCGAATAGCCCGTTTTCTGTGGTTCCAGGTTCTTGGACAGGTTCTCAGGAGCCCCAAGTGGGGTCACGCATTCCGCAGCGTGAGGGGTAGCTAGGGTTATAGTGGGGTTGGTGCTCTCCCCCCGAACATCGACATGTCAGGAGAGGAAATGAGAGGCACCGGCTTCCTTGTTTGGGAATTACCGAATGTCAGCTCGGTTTAATGGCAATTTTGACCTCTCAACAGTATAATTGCTGATTTTTCATTTTTTCTCAAACGTCGCCCCGTTTACGTACGTGCTTGGATGACAGATTGTTGAATCGCGCGAATGCTTACTTATTTAGACACAAGGTAATTGGAAGCGCTTGCTACTTGAGATTGATATTCAGCAACATTCCTGGTCATGATCGTCCCCGAAATCTACACTATGTCTTTTTCCCAGAGCAAGGCCTATATACGGCATGTTTGTCAGGGCCTAGGAACTTGGCTATTGCGACACTCCCTTTTTAGACCATCCAAACCGACTTTTCGATAGCTCCATTACCATGGAAGCAACCCTTTTAGTGAACCCTAGTTCGCCGCTTTCGAAGATGCCACCAACCCCTCTTTTTCGCACAGGATGTGTCAAGACAGAGCTGCAGACTCCAAGACTTCCTTCTGCCTCATCTTGAGAATACATCATGGCCACCAGCGAGCGCATAATCGTACACAAGAGTCTGTTCACGAGACTAACCCTGTCATCCGTCGCAGCTCGGCGCGCCAGTAAGAACTACGAACAGAACACTCGCATGTGTCCACTATACATTCTGCCATACGAAATCGTCCAACACGTTGGGAAGCACCTGGACTATGCGGACCTTACTTGCTTCGCACTATCAAGCTATAAATATGCCGATGCTCTTCTCTCTGTACGTGCTTCAGTATCTGGCGACGAAGCGATGGTCAAAGAGGTTACCCACCGACGAAACAGAGACCACTTCAACGGTCGAGATCACTGCCTCATCACCTGGATAGCACGGGGACTGGGACAAATGTATTGCGTGGGCTGCTCTACTCCACACATGCCCTCTCGATTTCCCGAAAACACAATGGCACAATCAGCACACTTGCGCAAATGCTTCCGCGCCAGCGACGGGCCGTTGCACATGTGTCCACACAACGAGTTTACGTTCCAGGAACTAGCTGGCATACTGCGGAAGAACGAGAAGCGAGGTCGCCGGAACAAGTATGGCGAGTTCTTCCACTGCATGGAGTGCTACGAAAGCTTCTACACGATCAATCGCTCCGGCCGATGCATGCATCCTCCCACGCTTTACCTCATGCCCGGCACGTCGACAGTCATCCTCCGAACCAAGACTCTGCTCCTGTCCATACCCTGGACGGAATCCGTCACGGTGCAAAAGACACGCGACGCACTGTTGTGCCTGCTCCTAATCATATGTCCTCACATGAACGCCTTCGATCCCACCACTATCAACCGCTTGATAGGGCAACGGAAGAATATCATGATGGAAGGCTGCTCGTCGGGCCGCATCAGCATCGAATGCCTAGTCTGCCAAACCACATTCAGCATCAGGCGAAAGATTCCATACAGCGAGGTGACCGTGGAAATCGAACGGAGACTCGGCCAGGTTAGGTGGGAGGGCGACCCCATTTGGAGAGCCCATCTCCCCAGAAGGGATGACTGGTGGCCTCGATTGGTAGCTACTTGATTCGAGCAGGCACCCTGAAACTAGGTATACGGCGTTTTTTTACTTCAGCGAGGCTGCCATGAGTCATTTGCACACCAAGGGCCGTGGCGCGTAGGTGTAGGGTTTAGATTTCTATAGGTGGCGGCGAGCAAAGATGGAACCCGTTCTGGGGGGGGCTCGACTCTTGTTTCGATGGGTTTGGGATGGTCTCGGCCGACGAATCATGCCGGCAGTGGGAAAGCAGGGACTATATTTTTTGCTTTAGCCAATGCAGGTGTAGGTGTAATGCTGCCCAGAACTTTGTCCCCCCCCCATATCCGATTGCAGGAGCCTGCTTTGCCTCCATGTCCGAATAGGACTAGTCAGGGTCCTTTTAGGGCGGAATAGCGCTGCATGCATCCCCGAGCCGTTTTTTCTTTCGCCTCGTCTACATGACGTCTGTCTTGTTTCGGTCCAGCCCCCCGGAGTGTAGTGTACTTTTATCACTGGTCGTTTTGATAAGGGGAAGCTGAAAAGACACCGTGTCTTTTGCTGCTTGATTCATGGGTCGTGTTAGTGCGTATGTTATTTGCTGAAGCTTGAGCTTGGTGAATGGCGATGGGGGAAGAATGATCAGAGGACTTGTGTTTAGAAGCAAGGGAAAGACGAGATATGGATCTTGTAGAATTCCAGCAAACAAACAAAAACAAAAAAACAGCACTTGGGAATCCGGTACCTGTTTCGTGTCTACGTCGCCGAATGCATCACTCATGATTGGGGTACAGGCAGTATTCAACATCACCCCATCTTTTCTCACAAGACACTTGTGTAGCGATTGCATCCATGTCACCCGACCAATCAATGTACAGCAAAGTTAACCGATGAACATGAAAAAGGTACTTCCAGAACGATCAAAATCATGCCCCCCATTTTTTCTTCCTCGTGTACGCGAGGAAGCGCTCGTAACAAGTGTGAATTCAAAAAAAAAGAAAAAAGCAGACATGGCGCTTTCTAGACCTTGAACAAAATATTGCACTTTATTGCCGAGAAAAACAGCTAGCCGAACGGGGGGTTGCGACTGGTTCTAGGGCGGTATAGGAAAGGATGGAGGAAAAAAAAAGAAGCCCTTCAATGACCTGATGCAGCGAGTAGCGAAAATAAAAATAGCTCAAGCGGTTTTGCCCAAGGAGCGACACATACTTACAGAAAGTCTGTTTCAGGCAAAAAAAAAGAGACTTACTACGGAGAAGAGGGGGGTGGGGGGGGGAAACTATTAGATATCGGCCGCAAAGGAAAAGCTATCGGAAAAGCAGTTATTTACCCCGCAATTGCAGCTATCAGCTATCAGCTATGAATTTCCAAAGCCCACCGCCCCACTAAAAATGGCTTCCACATTCCCCAAGTGAACAGTCGCGTCAGGCAGTACATGCACATGACGCGGACGGACGAACTTGGTAATTAGTCGGCCTTCTTTTTCTTTTCTTCTTCTTTCTCGCTCTTTATACCGCGGAGACCTGGGTCGATTGATATAAGTTGATTCCCTCGGCACCGTGGGGCAACAAGGAGATTTCCACATTATATCACATCTCAATTGATTGCTCTCGGGTGTCCAGCCACCTAACATTGTCATCGCAATGGCATTTCCCGGCACCGCGCACAAGTACTCGAAGCGGCGCATCGCATTCGAGCACACGCGCCCGCACTCGACCGACTCAACACCTCACACGCTTCTCTGGGTCGGAGGCCTCGGCGACGGCCTGCTAACAGTGCCGTACCCCTCTGAAATCAGCAAGTCGCTGCCTCCCAACTGGGCCATCGCCGAAGTGCTACTGGGATCGTCATATCGCGGCTGGGGCATCGGGTCGCTGTCGCGGGACGCTCGCGAACTGGGGGAATGCGTGTCGTATTTCAAGAGCCTGCGGCCGGGCAAGAAGATTGTTGTCATGGGCCACTCGACGGGGTGCCAGGACATCATGGAGTACGTGGTGGGTAAAGGGCGTGAGAAGCGCGAGCCGCTCGACGGCGTCATGCTGCAGGGCGGCGTGAGCGACCGCGAGGCATGGGAGGATTTCGCAAGCGGAGCCGACGACCGCAAGCACGCGCTCCAGGACGCGATTGCCCGCGCCAAACAGCTCATTGATGCGGGTCGGGAAAAGGACATCTTGGAGCCGGACGGCAATGCCGTGTTGAAGGAAATGGGCGGCCCTGTCAATGCGTATCGCGCGTACTCGCTGCTGGCAAAGGGCGGCGACGACGATTACTTCTCCAGCGACCTTTCCGACGAGCAGCTCGCCACGACATTTGGCCGGATTCCCAGGTCCACGCCCGTGTGCTTCCTGCTGGGTTCCGAGGACCCGTATGTACCTGCTTCGATCGACAGAGCGGCGCTTATACAGCGGTGGACGCGGATCCTCCGGGAAAAAGGCTGCGTTGTGGATGACGAAGATGGCGGTGTGATTCCCGGTGCTCATCACAATCTCGACGACGATCCAGAGCACGTTGTGCAGGATTTGGTTCGGCGCGTGTGTGGCTTTGTGACGGGGCTGGAGGAGAGTCGTGCGTGGAATAGTGCGGGTGCGCATTTGTGAGTTTCAACGGCTGTTGTGCTGTAGCTCGACTGCGTGCTGTATTTACCTGGGGATTGTTCATGGTTGGTTCTACTACATTTGCTGGTTTTCTCCCGAAACGGGTACATCAAGCCATCGACTGACAGCACTGTTCACGGACGACTGCGACCCAGTTGTGCTGCGGCACCGAAGTTACGGCGCAAAGTCAACAGGACCAGGGTGGTAGTGGGAGAGAATCTCTGGAGCAAGACCCACCTAGTGTGGATAATTTAAGCCTAGAAAGGGGGAAGGGGGGGGCTTCAGGATATATGAGAACTACTCAGTTAGTTTTAGTACCGGGGGAACTCAATGTGATAACCCCCCTTAAGAATCATGCCGATAACCTTGAATATTTCCAACCAAAATGAATTTTTCTTTTTGAATGAACAAGCTTACTTAGAGCATGTATGTATGTATGTATGTATGTAAAAAAAAATCGACATCCAATATCAACCGGACCTGCAATGTGAACGACTACACATATAACCACTCAAGCACATGTCAACTTCAACATTATATAACACTTTTATTCTATTTCCATTGTATCCCATTAGCAGCAGCAGCAGTAGTAACATCAGCATCCTCGCAGCATTTTTTCTGCTCTTCTTCATAAGACATACACACTACATAAGACACTCGTCCGTGACAAATCTTTTTTCTGTTCTTCTTCTTCTTCTTCTTCTTCTTCTTCTTCTTTGGTATCTCATACATACCGCGCCTCAATCTTCGTCGTAATGATCCAAGTTGCAGGGTGATAAAAGCGAATCAACTCGCCCCCCCCTTCTCACAGATGATTACAAGACCAAGAAAGGACATAAGAATCAGAAAAAAGGGAGCAAAAAAACGGACGCCCACGCAATGCATGAATATGGTGGTGCTGGTGATCCGCGGGATGCAGCTCACTGGGAGACGAGGCATCATCGTCTTCCACAACCACTTACTTTAAATCCTTCCACCGGCACCTTCTCCAACGGAACCTTCCTCGAACCTCGCCTGGACAACCCAGTGCTCGCCAAACTTGATGCCTTTTCCACCGCTAATGCCAGCATTGCGCCACGGCTTGTTGACGCCGATATCCACAATCCAGATAAGCCACTGCGGATCGCGTCCAGCGCCGTGTTGGAGTGCCTTTACCAAGCCGGTTCGTGGCGCGCCAAGACAGACAATGTACTTTGCGCGGACTTCGAGAGGCTCGCCTTCGAGGATGGAGACTTCGCCGGTGGAGCCGCCTACGCCTGATGGGGTTTCGACTGCTAGGCAGGCGGCGCGTGACTTGTTCGCCCAGCCTACTATACCCAGGACGATGCGCTGATCTTGATCGCCGAGGGCCTCGAACTCTCTATGGCGACCGAGCAAGGCGTCGATGATCAGTTCGGGGGGTGCTTGCAGGCGCTTTAGAGCCTCTTCAGTGTCTTTCCACGCACGAACAGAGCCACCGAATTTTCGGAACAGATCAACCTGCCGTCGTATGTCTTTGTCCCAGTCGGCATTGCGCTCGAAGCCAAGAAGTGCAACCATGACCTTTGGCCCACGTTGGGCGAGCTGACGTGCCGCTGCTATGGCGCGTGCCCCGGCACGGTGGTTACCTGCTAGAACAACTATGACAGGATTCGCGTTGGGGTTGTCGCGCGCCAGTCGTCTGCCCCCCGGATTTATGGCTGTGAGGGCGACTTCAGCAATGCCTCTGCCGGCACTCTCTGCGATGAGATCCTCGGTCAGGCCAAACTCTACTTCCGCTGTCTCCTCAACTGCCAGCATGCCGCCCGGTGTAATAGCAAAGCATTTGCGATTGTTGGGAACCAAGCGCAGACAGCCTTTTGCATTCGACTCTGGGGGTGATTCTGGAGGCGTAGCGGTGCGGCCCGGCCGAGGACTACCAGTAGCATGTGAAGAAGCGTAGGGCCGGTTGATGAACGAACGGTTGGTACGCGGTAGCACTCCTGATCCCATCATGTCTATGTCTGCCTGAACACTGCTGCCTTGACGTGTGGGTGCCCGTTTGATTGAAGCTCTTGACATGGCGCGCCTGGAGTTTCGCCCACTGCCAAAATCCGACTCTTCTTCAGAGCTTGAATTGGTTGCGCTCTTGAGCTTTCGATCGAGCACATTCTCTGTAGGGTGCAGGTTCTTTCCACCATGTGTTCCGGGCCTCGCCAAACGATTGAAGCTGACTAAACGATCCTCATCTGCTGTTGTATCCTCGTTCCTGATCTGATCGAATACGGTGCGCTTGTCAAATTTGGAGAGGTTGGTCTGGAAGTCGAATTCGGGCATATCCTGAATGTCGGTTGCGTCTTCCGTCGCCCAGCCATTGGTAGCCTCGAGAGCCTGTTGTCGTTTTGTCTTGCGGTTCGAGGCGTTCGCTGCTGCAATACCGACTCTTCCACCAATAACACCTGGTGTTCTCGTCTGCGGTTCCTCGGCAGCCTGTAGCATAGGCGTATTTCTCCAACCATTACCTTTGCTATTACGAGTCAGCTCATGCAGCACTAGTGGGTTTTCCATCCGTCTGGTATCCAAGAACCGCACGTACCCTTTCTTGACGCTACCGAGAGACTGCACGTCCGCACCGTTCTTCCTCTCTTGAGCCGCAACCTCCTTCTTCCGCGATTTCCCACCTCGCCGAGTCTTCTTGCCACCGTCGTCATTCTTCTGGGGACTCACATCGTCCATAGGCTTGCCTGTTCTCGTCTTGCTGATGCTTGCTCTACGCACGCCAGCTCGCACAGCCCTTGTCTCATTGTCTGCCTCCTCTGCATCTGCAATGTCCAGCGACGAGAAAGGGCCCTCGAGAGTTGCTGCGCTGGGCTTCCGAACACTCTGTGGTTTGATGTGACCGGCAAACGAAGATGTACTCTTGTGTAAAGGCACGGCGCTCCCAGGGACCATGGGCTTGATTGGTGTAGCAGGAGCTTCTTGAGGAGGAGCTGTTGCGAGTGTAGCAGCGCGCTTTCCCATACTCAGGATCGCGGGATCAACAAATGGCGCAGCTGGAGCTGGCTGGGAAATAGATTGACGCGAACCTTGGCGGGTGTTCATCGACGGGTCGGCGTGCGAAATCAACGACGGTTGACTGACGTGGTGGGAGATTTGATGGCCAGTGTTTGCACGGGTATCGGGAACATGGCTTTGGGGGTATTGCGCGTGTGGCGGAGGAGGCTGCGGAGGAGCAGGCGCAGAGGCATTGACCTTGATGTCAGCAATCATGTGGCCTTCGACGGTGTATGACGGTAAGCGATGACCCGAGCTCGGAAAGAAGACTGTTGTTGGTGAGTACATGGTGGCCTCTCTCCAAGAAACGCAGGCGGGTAAACATACCATCGTGAAGCGTCAAAGTGGCCGTCTGCTGGTCCACGCCACTGACGACACCTAGCAAGACTGCCCCCGGAGGATTCTGGAGCGTCACCGCGACCGAGAGCCCGACAAAGCCTGTCGCCATGGTTGCAAAGGAAGCGCACGAGGCTATCCCCAGCCCTGCGTCGGGCGATTCCTAGACGAAGCGGAACTTCGCAGAGCACAGCTGTCGAGCGCTCGGGCGAGGCAGGACGGACAGGCGGAACCTGGGCGCGGAGAAATTCGGAGAGGCCTCGAAAGCGTACCGACGAGAAGGTGACCCCCGGATAGGACGAGCGGAGGTGGAGGCTAGGAGTCGCGCGCACGCACTGCCGTTGTGTCCCTACCTCACTTGCAGGACTATTCCGCCGATCAGGCTCACACGCTAAATTAGCCACGGGTAAGCCACACAACGGCTGCTGACATAAGACGGCACATCTTCACATGCGCCACAGACAGGGTACAGCGTCCCATCATGGAGAAGGTGATAATTATATCATTATACCATTGCAAATACATTAGATCTATGCCGTGCGCCGACACCACACCATCCGCAGGGTATCCACCCATTTTTCTTACCTGTCTTCATTACGCTCATATTATAAAGCCAGCATATCCCCGGAGCCTCAAATAAGCTCCCATGCGGCCACTCCGCCAAACTTGCACGAATAGGCTGTCTTGTTGTTCCAGGTGGCTACGCTCATACCCCGAGCGTCTTGGTCGTTGAACACAGTAATGGCATTGACCGATACTTTTTGACCAGGTGCACCGAGCTCGACCCGAGGCACGTCAAGCCACCAAGTATGCCCATCGGTATTGAACGTCTTGTGGTCTGGGTTGCGACCGTCTCGTCCTGCAATGCTCAGCAGCATAATATAGGGCGCGCCTTTGCCATGGCGGGCGTGGTCCCAGTGCGGGCAGACAGTCGAGAATTGAAATCTAATCATGGCCGGTGCATGAGGGTCGTGGACTTTGATCTGTGCTTGTGAAGGCTCAAACGTTCGCTCACCGACGCCGTGCTCTTTGAAAGCATCACTAAATACCTGCACGCGGCCGCCTTGATCATCACGCATGAAATCTTCATAGGAGATGACACGACCATCGCTGCGCAGCTGCTGAGAAGCGTCTCCGGGAAAGTGTGTCAATCCAAATTCCTCATTGTCCATTGTGAATTGGCGCGGGTTGAACGACTTTATGTATCTATGATCGAGTCAGCACAACATCAAGCGGAACGACTGTCTGTGAAACAAACACTCGATTTCCAATATGCCCAGCTCCCCAGCATGGGTCGACAAGCTTCCATTCTCCATTGTCGATCTTGACGGCGTTCCAGGCATGAGTTGATTGGTACGGTGGCACGGCCTGTCCGGGCTCCAACGGCGTATGGCCGTACCCCTTGCTGGCACCAGAGCAGACTATGGCTTCGAGGCCTGCCTTCAGAGCCAGAGCCGCGAACAGACCAGCATAGCCCTCGCATACTGCCAGACCGGAAGCGATGGTCTTCTCTGGGGTGGTTGGAGCCACAGTATTGTTGAAGAAAGAGTGAGCATCGTAATCAACGTTATGGTGGAGCCAGGTGAAGATGACTCTTGCCTTGTCGGTTGGCGAAGGAAATGGTGAACAAAGCTGATGGGCAAGCCAACCAACATCAGAAGAAGCGAGCTGGGTACGTGGAAAGCGCGTAGCATGATTGTCTGGGGCGGAAAAATCTCGACATTTAAGGCAGCCTCCAACAGCGCCTGGCTTTGGCTTTGAGGCCATAATCGCATCGAGGTTGGGTCTAGACGATAGTGGGACAGGCGGGGGTGCTCCAGGCGAGGGTGAGGACTGAGATGTGGTTGCGGGCGGCCGAGTCGAGGGTACGGGCGGAGGCGAAGGTGCCTTGTTGTTGAAGCCCATTTCCAGCGCAGATCGTTTAGGGGGTGGTGGCGCAATCGCTCTCTTGGTTTGCTGCGTGTCGTTAGACGGCTGCCTCTGTGGCAGGGCTGGAGCTGGCTTGGGTGATCGCTCGCGAAGCACTGATTGCCTGGGAGGCAAGGACGGACGCGCTGGCAAGTCTATACACAACCATTGTCAGTATTGACTCTTGCCATACTTGGAGTCTCGAGTGCTGCTGCAATCTGAGGCTCTGCAATTGATTCACTTTGCGACTGGTCGACGGATAGCAGGGGCGCATTCGCTCGGGTCTGCTTATTGGTCTGCTAAACTTACCCGGAGTCTTGAGCTGCGGCGGAAGGGCTCGCGCAGGCACAGTATCACGCTTACTCTTCATGGCGCTGAGGGTGGCACTGCTCTTCTTAGTGTCCTCGGGAGCCTTCTTTGGGGGTAGCGGGGGCAGCTTGGTTGGGTCGAATGCCGGAGCCCTGATGTGGTGCAGCGTGCCTGTACTCGCATTGCTGTGCGCAGTGCCGTTTGTCTTGACAGAGCCCAAGGACAGTGTTGAGATGCCCGAGGCGATTGTGGAAATAGACTCGGAAGACTCGCGCCGCGTCACGGTGTGGTGCTCCGAGGGCTTGCGAGGAGGCAGGGCCGGCGTCTGTCGAGGCGTCGTGCCATTGCGGGGAGGCACGCGAGGGGGCAGCGCTGGCGAGATCTTTGAAGTTGGGGCTTCGCTTGCTGCGACGGGCTGGTTGCCAAGCTGCCGCGCAGAGGTGGGCGCATTGCTGAGGATGGGCGGGTTGTTCACCGACTGGCGTGAGTAGGCGGGCGGCCGCGCGCTGGGTGGGGGAGGCGGCGGCGGCTTCTTCTTGATGGTGGCCGCATCGTAGGTGTAGGCGGGCTTCGCACCGGGCAGCGGGGTATGCACTTCCTCGAGGTTCAGCGCTGCGATTCTCGACTTGATGGAGCCGTCGGCCATGGTGGTTGCGGTAGGATTCGCGTGCCGTGGGGAGGGGCGGCCGGGGGTCGGAGCGCGCGGACACGTGTGGTTGTGTGGCTGGTGACGGCGAGTCAACAGGAGCAGCAGTCGGCACTCGTGGCCGTCGCTTTGCAGCCTCGCTACGTGCAAATGGCGGCGGGAGGCTTCCACGTAGCAGAGGCGTCAGACGAGGAGGGATGACGACGGCGACGCAAAACGAGTGACGAGGCAGGCTGGTTCTACAAACGACCGAAGCGTGAGCGCCTGATGGCTAGTACGGGATTGCTTGCTGGCTGCACAGCCTCCCGCCCTGACGCGCACCGATCTCCTGCAAGCCACTTCTCGCCGCTCTAGGCCCGTTCCTATCGATTGCGGCTCTGCCTCTCCCATCCCGCCCGCCGCTGCACACTGTCTCCCTGCGCGACGCTGGTGCTGGTGCTGGTGCTGGTGCTGGTGCTGTCCTGGCGGGAGCGCGGCTCGAGGCCTTCCCCGCCTGTTGCCATGACATGCAAGGCCTTGTCTCGTCGTTACAGCAACCACGCGCCTGAAGCATGGGGGCGAGGGGGCGAGGGGACGGCGGAAGAGGGGGCTGACCAACACGATGTTTCAGGCCGGCTGCTGGGTAACCGGCGCATCCATGTGCCGCACCCCCTCCCCCCCCTCCCATCCACAGCTGGTTATGACATAAGGAAATTCAACCACACCCTTATCACACACACGCCCTGCTCTACCACCATATCTCCATGGCAACTCTACACCAAAGACTTGAGCCTGCAAAAGCCAGCCGCCATGCCCATGGGACATACACAAAGAGCAACCTTGTTCTAAAAGCTTCATTGACTATAACGAACTAAATGCCACTACTGTGCCAAACAACGTCGTCAACTAGTAAATACGAAAACACGCGCCAAAGCGAAGCAATGTCCACAGCCCCAACCCCCTTCTTCCAGCCAGCCAGCCCCATCCCTCTACCCAACCCTTGTCCCCTGCCAAGTCCAATACAATCTTGTCCTCTAACACCGTGGCAATTTCAACCTCGTCCATGCGCCCCTCTAATCATGGTGCGCGAGCAGATTCTTTTTTTTTTTCTCTTAAATGTTGACAAGGAACGGAATGGCCGAGGCGCAAAAACATGGCAGCAAAGCAAACAGTGCCAACATGCGCTATCCAGAACTCCACACGGACACGACGCTTGCAGGGTACAATGATGATAATCTGTTGCGGGGTAGCAGCACCACAACGTGGCACACAGCCTGACATGGAACCATCGAACCATCGAACCAGGCAGCAATGGCTCAGATGCACCAGGCAATCGCTCTCATCGTCACAGCCCGTGCTTTTACCTCTTGCGCTTCTTGCTCTTGTCCAGAGATGTGCTTAGCGCATGGGTGCCGTTCATAGCCATGTTGTAGTCGTGCGTTGGTGGAGGTGCCATTGACGTCGCCGACGGGATTGAGTTCTTCTTGACCGACACCCCCATGTGGCGCCCGTAGCGGCCCTTCCTGCCATTGCCTTCGTCTTCACTGACGCATCCGTCAGCACCAATGCCCGCGTCTTTGCAGCGTTGGCAAGGGCGCTGACGGTCGCAGCCCTTTTTGCTCTTGCGGCAGCGCTGGCAGCGTGGCTTGCTCGAAAGGTCCTCTTCGTCGACCGCGAGCTGGTGCTGGAAGTTGATGGATGCATTCGACGCCTTGCGTGACTGCGAGGGAAGAGACGATGGCGACAATGGCGCTTTGCTGCTGCCATTGGTCTTGGTCTTGGTCTTCGACATGGGCCGCGACTTGGGCTTGCCAGACTTGCTCGAGATGGAGCGGGCTTTGATGACGCCCGGTTGCACGCGCTGGTTGTGCTCATCGCCCATCATCTCATCACTGACTCCTTTGAAAGAGCCGTCGCGCTCGTCCTCGTAATCCTCACCACTGCTCTCACCATCGTCGTAGACACGCGTCATGTCATGAATCCCACGAGACATGTTGTATGGGAGGGGCGGCAGCTCAGGCTCCTCCTCACTGCCGTCAGCACTCTCGTCACTCGACGATGCTGCGTCAGCCTTTCCGCTAAAGGCATCGTCGAGCGTCGACGTAGAGGTACGACCGTGAGTCGAGAAGTTGGAGGCGTCGCCCAAGCGCATGAGCTGGCGGGCCACATCTTCATCAGAGATGACGCTGATGCTCGCAAGAGTGGTATCAGGGGTGGGTATCATGCCACTGCTACCAGAGTAGCGGTAGTGCGAGTACTGCCCAGAGCCCCGCGCGCGAGACTTGTGGCCTGGTGCTGCACCATTCGACGCAGAGTAGGGCGTAGCCAGTCCTTGCATGTACGAACTGTCGCCTTGGCCATAGCTCTGCGGCGATGGCAGCGGATGTGAGTATGAAAAGGTCTGCTGGTTAACAGAGTATGGGGAGCCAGCAGTGTTGCCACTTATGCGTCGCTGGGGAGATGCCGATGACAAGGAAGCAGTCATGGGTACTTGAGGCGGCACGAACAGTGGCAGCTCCTGTGTAAGGAACGGATGTCAGACTATTGCACGATACATCCCCACCCATGGTACTTACCGAGCTGTCAAACTTCGCACGCTTCCGACGACCACCTTCGACTATGTTGTCAACACTGATTTCGGCGCTGGCCAGCGGCTCCTTTCTTGAGCGACGCGAGCTGCTCACTGAACCATGCTCGCCCTCGCTGTCGCTGTAGTCATCGCCGTTGGCCTCGGCGAAGCTGCCATGCGAACTGTTTCCGCGGCTCTTTGTAGAAGGGCGCATGCGCTTGCTAATGGAAGCGCTCCTGCGCCCGCGCCCTGGGTGTGGAGAGTGGCTCTGACGGGCATGGCGGGACCCCGCTCTTGCGCCAGCTTGATTGTGCTGGAGAGGCGGCAGCATCTGGAAGGCTTCGTCGAGGTGGGGTCGATGACGGCGAGGAGAAATGGAGGCCTGTCGCGGATCAGGAGAGTACTCGTCTGCATCCAGACTCTCGGGAGAGACGCGGACGTAGACAGTCATGCCGTGCTCAAAGTTCTCGAAGCGTGCGATCAGCGTGTTGCCATGGCGGTCTTCGAAGATGACGCCGCGACGCTCATACAGACCGTAGAAGTTCTTGACGGTCGTGATGATGGAGTCTGTTGTATCGTGCGGGTAGATGTCGACCCGCATGGGCAGTCGAGCCTTGTGGGCTGGCGACTGGGGGAGCAGCAGCTCGAAGCTGACGTGCTTCTTGGGCATCTGCTTGGACGGCGACAGGGAGTCATGCGCCGAGCCGGTTTCAGTGCTGGGGTAGACGTCCATGATGCCAGAGTCGTCTCTCTGGGACATGAGGTCGTAGCCGGCCGCCGACTGCATGGCTTCGTGATGGCGGCCCGCTATGAGGTCTTCGACCTCAGGGAAGCGCTGTGTGCCAGTAACCCGAGTCTCGGCAAGCATCTTGGCAACTTGCATAACCATTGGCCCTTGTGTTGGCCGCGTGCTCCAAAGCGTGGGAAATGGAGCTTTGTATGTGTGTGCGTGTGTGGTAGGGGGGGCGCACCAGGCGTGCCGGTGGTGTCGCAACAGCTTGGGACGAATGGGCGGTCGGGGAGGGATGGACCGAGGCAGTGTCTGGGAGACGTGTGGTTAGCCAAGGGCTCTCTGTGGGTTTTGATGGCCTCCGAAATGGCTTTTGTCGTGTTCCGCGCGCCATGCGTCGTGTTGGCGCCCGTTGGGGGGTCGTCACCGGGCAGCGGTGACGGCGCCCAGGGAGGATAGCGCAAGAGGCTCAGGGGCCGCATCGCAACACGATGGCGATGCCAACCGGGTCGCAGGGTGCTAGGGAGGGCTCTACGTACCAGCAGTCGTGTGTGAGGAGGCAGAGAGGCAGTGTGGAGGCTTGGATGCGATGCCGTGTAGCGCCGCTGGCTGACGGCGTCGGGTTAGCGGCGGCAGTGCGCAGGCGGAGATTGGAGCGATGTGGAGGGCAGGTCGCGAGGCCAGATGGATGAGATGCGTGATGACACCGTGGGAGACTTACGGGAAGGTGGGTGGTTGTGGACAGCCACCGAGATGCGTTGAAGGTGGGTTGAGCAATGGCACCGAAGCGAAGCACTTAAGGACCACGCCGACTAGGACCGCTCAAAGGTCACGACGCACTTTCCGAATGCGCCTCACAGCACAAATTGACCGTCGCCGTTTGCGATGAAGGCTGGAATGGAGAGAGTCTGGGGGGTTCAGATGGCACGGGAAGCACAGCGCATGCTCCTTTTTGAGCATATGCGAATGCGCCTCCATGGAGGGCTTAGGTGCGAGACTACTGCGGCGGGACAGGCCATGGCTGGTCACGCAAGTGGGCTACGGCTGCATTGAAACTGAACAGTTCAGCAGCCGAGCTGCCAGTGTGTACAAGAGGCCGTCTGCTGAGGCCGAAACATGCGATGGCCCCCCGGGCGCCAGCTATGCGCCCGCTGGGGACGTGAGCGCAGACTAGAGGGGCCTGCCACGGGACAAGTCGGTCGCTTTGGGGGGGCGACGAGAGCCCTTGGGGAAGCCGTTTCCTGCTGCCAGGGCGCTGCATGGCACGAGACAGACAGGGCCGCGTCGGGAGGCCGGGCGGATGCGCTGCTGTGCTGGCCGCGCGCAAGCACTTGGTTCCATGTGAAGACGAGACGAGCCGGGCGGGCTTCAGTGTCCGCGCCTGGGCGCCGTCGAGCAATGGCCGAGCCGGAGTCGCCTCTGCGCCGAATCGTGGGTGGAATGGCAGCGAGGCCTGCCGGTCCCCACCGTGGGTGAAGCGCTGTGGATTCGCTGCCAGCTGGTGGCGGGCGTCTATTGGAGAGATGGCCGTGCGACAATCAATGCCACACGCACACACACACACATAAGTACACACACACCACACCACACCACACACCAACACCTGCGCACGCCAGCATGCGTCGGCCGGTCCCTTTTCTTCTTCTTGCTCAGGCACCTGTCCCTGAACGAGTCGCCGTAAGCTGGCCCCAAGGCTCGTGCGAGTTGCCCATTACGCGCTGCTGGAATTATGTCCTCGTCTGCTCCCGAAAGCGTCTGATGATCTCCGACCCACCCACATCATGACGATGGTAGCGCGGGAGTACCGTAATCAGCCCGCGCATGGCCATGGATGGGCGTTGTACCCGCCGCAAGCACACACGCACACACGCACTCACACACACATACACGCGCGGCCTGCTGTCGCTGCTGCTTGTTATCTCTGCGTCCATCTCCCATGCCGGCCCTGCATGTGTCGGAGCCCCCATGGCGGCGGATGGACGTACGTAGCGCGGCATGCGACTTCGCCAGTCCGTGGCCCAACGCTCGGACGGCCACCGCGAGCTAATGAGGGGTCGATGAACAACTGTAGGGCTCCCGCCTCTGGCGCAAAGCACATCTGGTACCCATCCCGGTCGCGGACCTTTTCGCAAGACGTTGTGCGCATTGCTGGCTCCATGCCCTCTCGCTACGGATGCCAGCGGTCCACATCACTTAGTCGGTGAAGGCCTCGGGCCTGTACTGGCCGCGGCGGGGGACAAAGTAAAAGGAAACATGCGCCCACCACCACCACCACACCCGCTGCCTTTGAGCCAGCCCCCCAGCACAAAGCCCGCCTGCTGATCGCCTGGAGCAACGGCGCCGCAATAAAGGCAGGCGTAGGCTCCCGTTTGGAATGCGGTGGCAGTGCGCTGGTCGATAGGCTGTGGGCGCCGGCCAGCGGGTCGATTGTGCAGGTTCCAGACCAGCGCCGTTGTCGCAACCACCATCCGGAGCCATCCATGACTCCAGCAGGCCCGTCGCCTGCACTGCCGTCCAAAGGGAGTGCGCATACAAAAGCGTTTCAGCGGCGGCCGTCGCTTTGCGCCCGCGCACGTGACTGCGCGTCGTCGCACAGCCCAATCCAGCCTTGGCGTGTCAGATCTGAGGGGTAACGGCGCGCACGCGTCGGGCGCGCGGGGGCCGGCCAAACGGGCCAAAAGAGCGCATGGCGGCTTCGCACCGCAGGCCGAGTGCGCAGCCAAGTTGTCGTCGCGCGCAGCCATGCAGGCGTGCGGGCGCGCGCGAAAGATGGTTTTGAAGCCCTTGAAGAGTCCCGCGTTCGCCTCGGCTATGACGTCCCTGGCCCGCGCCACAGATGCCCGCCCAGCAGGAGCGGGCCGTGCGCCGGAACTAGCCCGCCTCCGGAATAGCGCCGCCATCCCTGTCCTGGCCCTCCAGCTAGTCAGTAAATAAACATTGCATCCAAACGCGCATAGCTCCCGAGCTCTCCATATAAGTTTACACAGCTCTGGTTGCCGCCGTCAACACCACTCTTCGCTGCCCACTCGACCCCCCCCAGGCCCGTCTATCTCATTGCCGCCAACTTATATGGAGAGTTTCTTTACATGGGCACCTGACTTGTAGCGCTACCACCTCCGCTGCCCCTTTCGTCCACTTGCTCGCAACCGTCGCTGTCAACAAAACAACATACATCTAGACATTATCTCGTCTCTTACCCGATAGCCCACGCCCATAATGGACGCAAAGGTAAACACCCAGCGCCCTCCTCGCCGCCCGCGACTCGTCAGCGAGCCGTGGCTGCGCTGCCGCGACGGTGGCCTTTATTCGCTCATCTGCCCTGTCCTGCCCAGCTCTGCCCTGCCCATGCTGCTCTCCTTGTAGCTTTGCTGACAGCGCCATTCCCAACAGCCACAACGCCCATTGAGGGCTCTTCGCATACGCGACGAGAACGCAGTGCCCCAGCTGCCTGCCGGCAAGACGCTGCACTCGCGCAACAAGTCAACACCAGCCCTGTCTGCACTGGCGCAGGCGGGCGCCATCAAGGCGGCCGCTGCCAAGCGAACCGTCTTTGGCGATGTTAGCAACACCACTCGACAGCCCACTGCCAAGGATGATACGCAAATAACGGGCAAGAAGAAGAACCTTGACATTCTCAAGGATACCGCTACTGTCACAGTCAAGGAGACTGCCAAGGTCAGCACGCTTTCACGACCAGCCCAACGCCCCGTGGCCAGCGTCTCGTCCAAAGAGCACGCGTCCAAGGATGCCCACGAAGTCGCGTCTGCCGCCCCAAAGCAAGTCAGCATTGACGCCAGCCAACCCGCCGCCAATGTTCGCAAGACTCTCACAAAGAAACCATCCACGGCCGTCCTCCAAGAAGCACCTTCAAGCTCGGCGATTGATGCTGCCATCGCGCCCGTACCTTCGCGCCACCCGCTCCCTGCACAAACTTCATTTCCCAACGTGGACCGTGCCTCAGCACAGTCCCAACAACATGCGACTATTCCGGAAGAGGAAGAGAAGGTCGAGCCCAAAAATAATGCAGACGATCGGTACGAGTATCTCGATGCGCTTGAGGAGCAGGCCCGCGTTCTAGAACAAGAACGAAACGACGAACTCGCCAAACTAAGCGGCATCAACGGCCTCGAGCAAGAAGAGTACTGGGACGAAGAGGAAGACGAGACATATTACGACGCCGATGGCTACACGACTGCTAGATCTCTTCGATCGCGCAGCGACAACACAACTGGCGGTGTTACTCTGGTCCTCGCGCCTAGGGTAACAGCAAAGACACAACGCGAACTGGAGGCTGCGCGAGTCTTCGTCGAGGCAAACCGCACACCCGAAGACGTCGAGGACGAGCAGTGGGACACGTCCATGGTGGCCGAGTATGGCGAGGAGATTTTTGAGTACATGCACGCTCTCGAAGAGCGCATGAAGCCTAACGCGTCATACATGGATCACCAGGCGGAGATACAATGGTCCATGCGATCCGTCTTGATGGATTGGCTCGTCCAGGTCCACAACCGCTTCACTCTCCTCCCAGAGACCCTGTTCCTTGCTGTCAACTACGTCGACCGCTTCCTCTCATGCAAGGTTGTTTCTCTTGGCAAGCTGCAGCTTGTCGGTGCCACTGCTCTCTTTGTCGCAGCCAAGTACGAAGAAATCAACTGCCCGTCTGTGCAGGAAATTGTGTACATGGTAGACGGTGCTTACACCGCTGATGAGGTTCTCAAGGCCGAGCGCTTCATGCTGAGTATGCTTCAATTTGAGCTGGGATGGCCCGGCCCAATGAGCTTCCTGCGACGCATAAGCAAAGCGGATGATTACGACCTTGAGACACGGACCCTGTCCAAGTATTTCTTGGAGATTACCGTCATGGACGAGCGCTTCGTGGGTTGCGCTCCCAGCTTCCTTGCTGCGGGCGCCCACTGCCTCGCACGCTTCATGCTGAAGAAGGGTGACTGGGTATGTTTATATTGACTGTGTCGACGGCCGACATGCTAACGGATACCAGTCGCAATCGCACGTACATTATGCTGGGTACACGCTGACCCAGCTCCGGCAACTCATAACCGTTATCCTTGAGTGCTGCGACAATCCCCAGAAGCACCATGCTGCCGTGTACGAAAAGTACACTGACAAGCGCTATAAGCGTGCTTCCATCTTTGTCGAATCAGAGCTTTCCAAGGGCTTTTCTCTCCCGTTCAAGTCGAGGGACAGCCTTGCAAGCCAGACTTGGAGGCGAAAGTGAATACACTTGTCTCCATGTCGTCTTGACTTGACTCTGTTCTAACTTGGCTCATAGGGCTCGTGTGACAACGCATCTCATGGAGATGGTCCACCAGCACCCGTCAGTCAAGAGTCAGGCCGCCTCTGCACATCGACCAGCTCCACCCCAGCATCACCAACATGGTCACCACCGAAATTTTCTCCATTCTTGCTTATTGTTCTCCGACACACGGCGCTTTGGCGGCTTTCTGGAACATGGTCAGCTTCAGCAGACATCCCAGTCTGCATTGGTCCAATCTTCTTTTGGGCATTCGGCGCACGGTGTTTATGGATACCCGACCTAAGTCTTTTCCTTCTCCCGTCAACTTTCTATTGAACTGTGGCGCGCTGCCTCACTACGTGGCCCCGGCTGTTGGCCGTATTCTCTCCTTCTCAGGACGCATGAGTGTGGAACGCACATACTTCCCTTCGATTGTATCTTCTTGCTTTGGAAAGCGTTTGGGCTCTATCACGAAGCCATGAGGTCATGAACACTCTACCCGCATTATCTTAATTCTCTAAATCTCGCGGCATGCTGATGTTGGGCGTCGGCTTTCTTTCGCCTTGGTGTTTTTTTTTCCTCTTCTTCTTTCTCTCGCTTCTATTCAATGAGTTTCAGCAGTGGGCGGGTGCTGGACGCACACAGGAGTTTTAGACAGGTTATCGCACTATGTGCGTCGTGGGCTTCTATCTGCGTTTCGCGATATCACAATCGGGTCCGTAATATGGGCTTGGCCGTAGTCAAGAAAAGCGTTTAATGTTTACATCTTGATATTATTGACCTTTTGATATATGAGGGATGTCTGTGCTGTGGCCTAACAAGCATGAGTGAAGTTGCGAAGCAGTGAACATATTGTACGAGTCGAAGAACACAGCAAGGTCAACGGGCTTGTTGTACGTGACTTTGATGACATGGATTTCGACACTCCTTTGAGTCTGGCAATGCTATACTGTCTGAATGACCTCCCGTCGCAAACTTGGGGCAGACGCTCAGAGAGCGAGGCTTCCAAGCGCACTGCTTGCCAGTCTTGGCCCTGACTCCATGCCTGCGCCAACCGTTGCGCCCTGCTGTGTGCACACCCAGGTATCTCCTTCATGAATGCTTCACCGGCCATGGCTGCTGCACTAGGGTACATGTCGTGGGCGATGTGCTGGTAGCAAGCGTTCTGTTTTTGCTGCAATTCGACTGGCATCATCATTGCGAAGTTCCTTCTGCCGGTGCAATCAGGACTACCGAGTCACCTGCTGGGGCGTCAGCTCTGCTTTGATAGCCAAACATGTGCCTCTTGCCTACCTCTTACGAAGAGCATTTCGCTCTGCTTCTTAACCGTCCGTACGCGGGGCTCCTGGTCGTCCTCGTCCTCCTCGGCAATGAAGACAGTCTCCTCGACATCTCCAAGAACTAGATTGCAATGCGAGTCATAAGCCTGCATATCGCCGTCAGCCTGCCTCCTTGTACACATCTCGGCTCAGGGCTACTGGAGCTCCGCAAACACATACGTGAAGCCTGCCCTTCAATTCGCGGTCGCCGCGCAATTTCACAATGACCACTTCGTCAATACAGAGACGCACAAGGTCGAGGGGCTCGTTGGTCTCTTCTTTTTCGTCCATGGCGGGCAAGAGGGTGAGGTTGCAGCCTGCGGTGCTGGAGCTGCGCAATGAGTGTCGCGGTGAACTTTGGCAAGAGCGATCATCTTGGCGGAGCGGCAGCGGGGCTAGCGTGTACGCGAATTTAGTGGGCTGGTATTGCGTCAGGGCCAGGCCATTGCCCAGCAACTCTAGGAACACTTGCCGCCTGGTTCAACAGCTGCACTGCCCCTCAAGCGCCCCGAAAAATACGCCCTCGGATTGTCCCTGGAACCCTCGTTGCCTGCCGGCTGCAGACGCAGCTCACAATTGCATATCAGCAAGCCATGGCCGATACTCAGGATCCCTCGCAGAAGGCGCAGCATCCGCTTCTGGCCTCACGCCCGCCAGTGACAGACCCAATCACCTATCTCACCATCATTGAGTACAACCTTTCCGAAGACAACCTGCCTGTTCTGCATCAGGTTCTTCAAGATGCAGAACTCACGGCCACTATTGGCTGGGATTTGATCCAACTACTACTTCCGCTGTTGCCTCTCTCGGAAGAATGCTTGCAAGACATTGGCGCCAAAGGCAATCCCAGGGAATGCATTCTCAAGGTCACAGAGGCGCTGCGATTACTTCAGTTCAGCGAACCGCGCGAAGACACAGACGAAGACGAGGATGGCACTAGAACTGGCGCCTCCAAGGCTAAAGCGCACGAAGTTGGCGTAGGGGAGTCGAGCACAAGTCCCGCCTTCCAACCCGCCGTAGTTCCGCCCCTGCCCGTACTCAAGTTTGAGACTCTTCTTGATATACTGACCACGTTGCATCGGCGCGTCAAGACAAAATACCCGAGCCGCTTCCTCTCGACTAGTTTGCAGGCTGTGTTGCTCGCATACAATCGGGCCAACACCCACATCGAAGACCTGACCTTGTCTGCTGTCAAATTCGTAAAGACGCTTTCAGGGACTAAGAGGCCGCATCTGCCCTCCAGACGGAGCAGCAGAAATCTTCTGCGTACAAATACCAACCAGTCTGAGCCAGATCCGGAAGCGCAGAGCGATGTGCCAATCAGTGAAGAGACGGCTTTAGTCAATCGCCTGTTGCAATCGTTCCTCACCCATATCCTCGAGGACTATGTACTGTCGTTGAAATCAGACGATGATGTACCGGGTCTGTCGTGGACAAGCAGGCTGATGGAGAAATACGAGCCGGAACGGATACCCAACAAGCCCAACTACCAGAAATATGCGGATCGTTTTGCAAACGACGAAGACTTGACTTCAAGAGTTGCAATCTTGGGCCAGATAGTAGCTTTGACTCACGATCTCGGCTTGGAATACGAGGAGCTGGTACGCACCGTGCTGGATCCTGAAGATGAGAAGCGGGGCATGCCCGGCGCCGAGGACGAGCCACCAGCGGCAGCGGCAGACATTCCACTTTCGAAGACGGGTGCTTTGATTCTCATTGCTGCTCACCACATGAAGCAAGAGCTGTATGCTTCAGCCAAGCCAGATGAGGAGGAGGACTCCATTCCCATTTTCCCAGGGCACGCTACCATACTCAGCAACTTCATTGGAACTCTGGGGCCGCAAACTGTTGGCATGGAACCAGAGGCACTGCTCGACATAGTGCTTGCTTTGGGCGTTGTTGCACTTTCAAGAAACAACATTGGAGAGCCCAAGGATGACGAGGCATTTGCTCAGTACCTGCAAACCGTCTCACTCATTTCTGCAAACTCACCCTCGCCGAGCTTACGAGGGCACGCGCATTACCTCACGACAACCATATTGCGCTCACATCCCCACGATCTCGTTCGCTTAACCTTTATCCGTGATACACTGGAGCACTGCCCATACGAGAACCTCAAAGCAAGCGCCGTGTCATGGCTAAAAGGCGAGACGTTGGAAGCAAACGCACCTGGAAAACAGCCGTCAGACGAACATGAGCACGCGAACATTTTTGCCACACCCGTTGCCATATCCGCAGTTGCTCCGTACCTCTGGCCCGACCTCTCGAAGCACTACCCAGCCGAAACTAGCCTCGAAGACTCGTGGCTGCAATTCCGCCAAGAAGTGGGCTTCTACGTTGCAGCAATCAACTTTTACTACCTCTTGCTTCAAGCCAACCATCTCCACGACACCCTGGGAGTCAAGGTCCTGAACGAAACGCATGGCATTCAGTCGCACTATCTAGACGTGCTGAAGCAAACGGCAGCAAAGTTCCAGAAAGAGCTTGCGTCTGGTGGCGGCGCGCTGGTGGTTGAGGGCGACGACGCCCTCCAACAGGCAAAGGCGGATGTAGGCCTCGTCGAGAAGGTTATCGAGTGGGTTGAGGCTGCGCTGAATAAGTCGTGATTGCTTATATATATATGTGTGTGTGTGTTTGATGGTTCTCTTGTTATTAGTAAATGAGTTTATTAAAAAGGGCAATCAAAGCAATGTTGAAAGCATTTTGCATACACAATACACAGTTGAAGATGATGATTTCCCTGGCTTATATATATATATATATATACGTATTTTACCTTGTGATGATCACACCTGAATTTGTTACTTGAGTCTCTGCAAAACTTTACCTCCTTATTTATATCCTCCTCTTTACTTACTTACTTACTGTCGTCGTCGTCCTCCTCCTCCTCCCTTTCCTGTCATGCTGCAATCCTTCTTTCTCTCGTTCATTTCCTTTCTTCAGCCAAAACAAAAACAAACAACCCCCCCCCCACCACACACACTTCCTCTCGCCCGCCCCCGGGCCATAACGCTACATATAGATATGGCTAGATAGGTTGAAATCCACCCCTCCAAATAAAAAAAAGCAGTAGCAATCAAAAGAAAAACGAGAATAGAGAGTGGAAAGAGACAGAGAGAGAGAGAGAGAGTACCAGTATATACATATACACATATACACATAGTTATACACATATACACATATACACATATACACATATACACATATACACCCCACTCACCACCACTACCATGCACACGGGCTCAAAACCCCTGCCCATTCATACCTCCAAACCCCATATCGATATACGAGCCACCCTGAGGAACCCAGCCGCCGCCGAAATTATCCGCCGTGAGGTCATTCCAGAGGTACAAGTCGCCGTTCTGGAAGGCGGCGGAGAAGTCGCCCATGTCGGATGTGAAGGGTGTTTGGTCGGTGGTCATGGGCTGGGTGCGGCTGTTGGAGGTGGAGGTGTTATCGAGGGTCATGTCCGAGGTGCTCCATAGGTTGGTGCTGGGGTATGAGTGTGGAGTGGCTGCCATGGTTGTGAAATTTGGGACGGGGATTGATGGGGTGTCATGTTGGTCTGGGGGATGGTGGGATGAGGAGGTGGAGGTGGAGGGAGATGGGCGGACGGTGGATGTGGATGTGGTGTGTCGTTGGTGTTGGTGTTGCGGTTGTGGTTGATGTACATGTTGTCTTTGCTGTAAATTTTGAGTGGCGAATTCCGGTGGTTGGTTACCTGATTGCGAGCCTCCTCCTTTCGCATTACTACTACTACTACTGCTGCTTGGATTTGGTTTCCGGCGCTTGAGATGTCGGTCTTCTTTTCGCCATTCTTCGTACTCGTCCCACCAGGCTTTGAGCTTGGCTTCGAGGATAAAGCGCCAGTGGCTGGGGTTTCGGCATTGCTGTGGTCCCGCTGCTTCGCTTGTCTTTTTCAGCGCCATGTCGAGGTAGTAGTTTACTTTGAGGTTCTGGCTTTCGAGAAGCTCGCCCATTTCGGGGTCAGTGCCGACGGCGTACTCGGTCTTCATTAGCGTGATCAGCGAGTAGACTGCTCGGACGTAGAGGGCATTGGGTGATTTGCGTAGCTCGTCGACGGGGACGGCGATGAAGAGGTCTAGTATTGTTTGCGCTGCATTTATGCATTTTGTAGTCGCGTTGATTTGGAGGGCGGACCGGGAGAGAAGAGATTCAGGTTGTATGCTATCGTCGTCTAATGCTGGAAGTGTGACGTGCCTGTTTCTAAAATCGATGACTAGATCCGCTTCTTAGTATTCATGCATGGACAAGTCTCCGGACAGGACTTACCGTCAAAGCGACCTCCATCCATGCCAAACTCCCACATAGACATCATGTCTGCGTAATACTCAAACTCAAGACTCACTACAGAGATTAGTCAAATGCATCTTCAAAGTATTCGTGTCCGACTCACATGTCATTGCGTCATTAGGAACAGATTTCCTCCAATCTCGCATCCTCCGGTCAAAGATTCGCAGGATCATCTGCATCCGCAGCTCCGAGAGGCTGAAGCTGGTGCTTGCATCGTCAAAGCCAAATGCTGTATTAGCCTCATCGGCAATTCTCTGGAGCTTCAGCCAAGCCACTATCCTCTTATCCTCCAATTGTTTCGACTTTTCCAGAATCGCAAAACATTCTCCCATCCAGCTGTTGAACAGCAAGATATTCGGCCGCTTCAATCTCATGGAGAAGCCAGCACTGACAATATAGAGTAATATGATGGTCCGACAATGCTCCAGCAACTCTTCTGGCGAGGAGATCTTTTGCAGAGATCGAATGGCGCGCTTTGGCAATTGTTCGTGTGTTCTAGGCTTCGACGTCAAGCCTAGTTCTAGCGCCATGGATGCTGCCATGTTAATCCACTGGTGTATTTGCAGCTGTCCTGGCGTCTTGGAAGGCGAATAGTACGCCACAGTGACTAGCAGTGCCTGGATAGCCTGAACCGATTTCTCGCCCTTGATGAAAGCCGAACGGGCATAGAGAAGCACCGCTTCTTCATGAAGCCTGTCGGACAAAGCAGAGCCCTTTGAATGGGCAGCTGCAGCCATGATGGCATGAAAGAGCGCGGGCTTATTTTCTCGAAGATCGAAGACGCTCCAATGCTTGGGAATTGTAATACCCGGACAAGCAGCGACCAGCTCTTTGCGCCAAATGCTGAAAAGCTCACGTGCCAAATCCTCTGAAATGACACCGCGATCAATGATGTCATTCTCAGAAGACCCGAGGAAATCCTTCGGAGCGCTGTTGGCGAGAGGGTCCGCCATTGGGGGTTTGTTGGACGGGGCAGCAAAACTGCCAAATCTTGTTGGCGCTGCTGCTGTTCCCGTGCTCGACTTTCTCTGAGAAGTGGACGCCGTCTCCTCTTCCCGAGCATTCGCTTGCTCGTCGGATTCGGCATCACCTGATTCGTGTTCGCTGACATCGTGGGATGCATGTGAATTTGCCTTTAACAGGCTGCGCATCTGCTGTATTTCTTTCTCCAGCTCAGTCACCCGCACATCTGTCCGTTTCCGTTGTCGCCTCTTTGCTGGTGGTGCAAAGATGCACGCTCGGTTAGCCTTGGCGCAGCGCTGGCATTGAGTCGAGCTTGCGTCGGGATTCACGAGACATCGAACTTTGGATATCCGACAGGCCTCACAGGCGCGGTTCAGGGGTTGGTCTTGCGATTTCTTCGATAGCTCTGATTCCGGGCTGTTGGCTACTTGGTTCGCCGTCGGCCAGACGTCGCGGGTGCCAGAGCGTTCTCTGCCTTCATCCGCCTGATCCGTCATGTCGCTTGGGGATCTTCGTACTCGTACAACTGCAGACACGTGGGTCATGGACTGTAAAACCTATGATACTCCGGCAGGAAGACCCATGCATAACGTAGTTTTTTGTTCTAACTGAAGTTTCCTTGCTCTTACTAGCTGCGCACTTCCATGTTTGTCATCCGGTAGCTCGACTAGCGCGAGACGGAAAGGCGAGAACGATAAGGCCTTTTTCACGTGAGTGGCAATAGTGCGCCAAGCCCGCTGGTAGCAGATGTGCTGTTCTTGGATAATGCGAAAGTCGATACGCTGTGGTTGGCGCGTAAAGAGTCAAATTATGATAAACACTGATGCCTGGAAGTCGAGGAACCGATGCCGCTGACAGGACGATGGGTCAGGGAGGCGTTAGCACCGATTGGGACAATGAGTGGGTCTAGCAGAAAACCTCCTACGCGTCCCATGGCTTCTCCACCACTATGAAGCCACGCGTGTGCCACAAGCATCTTATCGTTGAGTTTCAAGGAGACGGACAGTGACTTCGGACAAAAACCAAGGGCCGAACGGTATGGCCGCTCTCACGCATGCACAGGCGGAGGCCCGTAGATCGAGAAGACAGTCGCAATAATTCACCGCCGCACACATTGGCAAGAAAAGGGTGTGCTTACGTACGAAGCTGAGGTATCTCGTCCGTTCTCACGCGCAAGGGTATGTGAAAGCCTCGGCTTGGACACCTATGTCTGATAAGGGAAGCATGGGTGCCCACAGTTCTAAACGCGTGGTGTAGAGCCATGCCTGTCGGTGTATAGTGTCCACCTCCGCTGGATACACTCTCAGTTGCAGATGACAGCCATTGCGGGGTCAAACAGATGTAAACGTCACTAGCAAGACACCACAATCGTTTATCCGGCAGCAAATCATATTTCAACGTAGAAAGCGCTTGTCGGTGCATTTAGAGGCATCGATCAGCGTGTGCCCACTACGACTGCGGGACATGAATTATGCAATACAACAAATTATGCTTTTCAGTATGCTACCTCCACTACATTTCCGTGAACGCGTATTCAAACACTCGTCAGTCATTGAAAAAAGGCTTCGTCTAGCAGAGCCAGAACCAAAACCTCTCAAGAGCATTACGCGGGATCTGGTCAGGCCATACCTCGGCGTCAAGCGCCGCCTTGCCGGTCCAAATGTCCGCCTCGCTCGCCTTCACCACCTTGGTGCGCTTGAAGACCTTCCAGAACAAGTAGAGAAGGAAAAAGATGGGGATGCCAACATAGGCCGTGAAGAAATCGGTCAGTTGAGAGGATCTCCATGGATGCTCAGTGAAAACCTTGAAGCCGTTGAAGAGGATGATGAGGCCAAAGTAGACAAAGGCGATCCAGGCTTGGTAAGGTTGCCACCTGCTCCTGAAGACCATGGTACTGCGATCGACATTCTGGGCGATGCATGCTTTGCGGAAATGGACATATGTGTAGCAGATTGTGCACCATGTGAAGAGTGAGGCGATGGTGGTCAGGTTTTGGAACCATGTGAAAACCTTGTTGGCACCAGCACTGACGCTCATGTAAGTGAGCAAAGAAATGGAGGCTGTAATCGCGACACAGTAGACTGGCACACCGCTCTTGTTGCACTTGAGAAGGAACTGGGGCGCCTGCTTGTTCTGGGCGATACTGAACAGGTAGCGCGAACCGGTGTAGAGGAAGGCATTGGCGGATGAGGTGGCCGAAGTCAAGATGACAGCATTGACAATGGAGGGCAGGACGGAGATACCGGCGTTCTTCATGGCGATGACCCACGGCGAAGACTGGGCACCCTTGGCGTTGGCGTTAGTAAGCTGGGGGTCGTTGGAGCTGATGGTGGTTCCGATGATGAAGGTTCCCAGGACGTAGAAGAACAGGATACGCCAGAAGACGCGACGGATGGCCTTGGGGATGTTCTTGCGAGGGTTCTCGGCCTCACCAGCGGCAACAGCAACCATTTCCACACCACTGTATGAGAAGGCGGCGTTGACGAGTGTGGACCAAAGACCAGTGAAGCGTCCAAGGTCACCTTTGCCGACGTACTCCTTCATTGCGCCTTCTTTCCAGTACCTGAAGCCTCTCCGGTCGTGATCAGGACCGCCACCAAGCATGATGATGAAGCCGGCAAGCAGCAGACCCAGAATGGTGATGATTTTGATCGAGGCAAAGATAAACTCGGCTTCTCCGTAGATGGAAACAGCGAAGATGTTCAAGACAATGATGAGGACGATGATGAGCGAAATCCATATGGCTGGACTGTATCTGAATCATGGGGTCAGCAGCTAGTTGATAGACATGGATTGAATCAAACTTACTTCTGCTCCTGGTCCCAGAAATCAATAAGGAGGGCTGCGGCAGAGATTTCGGCGCAAAGAGTGATGGAGCTGTTGTACCACTGGTTCCAACCAACGGCAAAACCAAGAGCGGGATCGGCGTAGCGAGCGGCATACTGAGGGATGGCACCAGGAAGAGGAAGCCATGTAGCCATCTCGCCGAGACACTGCATCATGCAGAAGACAACAACACCGGTGATGGTGTAGCCGAGCAGGACAGAGACAGGGCCAGCACGCGCAAACGCACCGCCAATACCGAGGAAGAGACCAGTCCCGATGGTACCACCCAGAGCAATGAACTGGATGTGACGAGACTTGAGGCCACGCTTGACGTATCCGTAATCTTCTGCTTTCTGAACTGAGCCGTAGACGCCAGCGGCCTCGGCGAGGGCGTTGTCTTTGCCATCGGTGACGTGCCCAACCCCATGGTCAGAGGGCGACTCGCCGCTGACAGAGTAGTGCTGCTTCTCGTAGTCGGGACCCGACATGATTGCCGATGGCGGGCGTGGGAAAAGAACAAGGTGGAATGAAGCAGGAGAGCGAAGCTGACAGGCGCAATAGGTAGCGGCACAAGGAATGGCTTTATATTAACGATGATCCCCGGACGGTCGTACTTCGTTCACACTCGATAACTACTTATCGGCCCTGGTCCAGGCGCACGACAGTGCAACGCCACACTAGGCCAGCGCTGCAGCTGACAGCCTGTAGAATACACGCATAGTCGCAGGATAGTCGTCCGTCGGTTGATGAAAGCGTCTTGTTTGATGGCGCAATTGCCACAACCGGGGTGGCGGTCAGACGCCGTGCGGCGGCCAAATACCCCAAACCACCCAAGGGTGTGTGATAAGGAATTAGCCCACGGGTGGGGGGTAGGGATGCGTCGCGTGATGCATGCCACAGCATGAACTGTTGGCTGCTTGAGGCAAGTGGTGCTTGCTGTGAAGTTTATTCCAGTGGCGTGGAAAAAAACACGTGCGTAGTTGGTCGTCGCAGCTGGCTGTTTGCAGCATCTGGTCGCACGCAACCGCGCTGTCGAGAGGGGCCTTGGAGTCGATGGCTGTGGCCCCGTGTCGAGCATACGAGGGCGAGGGAGGGTTGCAGGCGCCGGGCGTTCTAAGACACCCAGCACAGAACTTGGCATGGGAGACAAGCCTCGCCGGCGCTGAAGCAAGCCCCTAGTCGCACGCTAAGCACTCTCGGCAGGTGAATTCACCCGCTCCAACCTATCAGACCACACGCTGCTATCGCAGGCCTGCACAAGACGACCGCGCCGCATGCCTCACACCATATCTAGAGCCTTTCTAGAAGCATTTCCACGGCGGCCAGCCCAGACATGGTGCCGCGTCCACGTCTGTGCATTTAACTCTGGAGCGCGCGCGCGGGTGGCCTGCAGCAGGCCTGATAAGACTGGCAGAATCAGAGTCGGCGAGGGAAAAACCTTCTCCAACCCCCACCGCGATATCTCAAAGACGGCCTTGACCGAAAGTTTTTTCCCGAGAGATTGTTGGGCTGACGTTGGGGGGGGGGACCAGCTCCCAGGTAGCGTAGGGTAGCGTTACAGCGCACTGACTTATACGAGCAACCCTATCGCATGGTCGGCCGTGGCAGGCCAGTGTATTTAGTATGATAACACTCCAGTCGTTCGCTTACAGGCTACTGGTGGTAAGCTGCTTACGCAAGCTTATATCGAGTAACCCAAGTGGTTGAGATGGTCCAATCGTGTGGACGCGTATCCGAGGGATCAGGGCCGAAGTGCTCCCATGGAGCACCAAGGCCGTCGTCGTGAGCCATTCATCGCAGACTTGCTCGTGTTTGGTGCCCGCTCTCGGCATCGCTTCCCCGCTAGCATCAATGTCGCCCTGCTTGCTGTCGCCGCATGGCTGTCACGGCTTCTGGCTCATTTGTCGCGTGAACATACGGCTTTGTGGGCACTAGTCGTCTAGATCAACCCCACACAACAGGCCCAGGACTGCATCTCGGTCGTTCAGACTAGCCTTCCGTCGAGGTGGTGCATGACATGGATTGAATTTCTGTTACTGATGGAATGTTCCACGCAGGCGCCTCCCGTCTGCCTAGCTTGCGTGCGGCCCAAATTCTAACCCCCCATGGATGACCCTGGCGCGCTCCTCGTCGACGCCCTTTGCAAGCCCGTCAGCATCTGTACGCATCTTGTAGTATTTTGGCGTCCTTGTAGACATGCCCTGTACAGCCTGTGTGTACTGCCGACTGGGGACCACAGTCGCACAGTACAGCCTGTCTTCTGTCGGAGCGTCGCTCATGACTGCGACTTGGCTCGCATTCATGGTGCCTTAGCCAGGTCCTATCTTTGGCATGTCGTGGTGCTCGCTCAGGCCGCTGAGGTACTTGTTGAGCTCCTCGACCTTTTCCTTGTGTGTCTTGACGCCCTCCTTTCTCAGCCTTTCCTCCAGTCTCTTGCGTCGCATTTCATCGTATCGTCGCTCCGCCTCCGTCTTTTGTCTGCCCCCGCCTTCTCGTATCGATCGCTCGGCCGTCTCGGGCGATAGTGAGCGCGCCGGGGTACCTGAGTGTGACTGTGCGCCGCCGCCGTCGTCGTCTGTTCTGGGTCGTTTGGCGACACTCGTAGAGGCTCCGTCGGCGGCTGTGGCGGCGTCGGTCGTCGACTTGGGCTTCTTTTTCTTCTTCTTCTTGTCGACCCCAGCACCCTTGAGTTTGAGTGCGCCACCCGAGGCTGTGGAATACTCAGACGAGGGCATGGTGGCGGTGCTGGTGCTGGGTTGAGGCTGGATGCAAGCTGCATGGCGGAGCGCGGAGATGGATAAACGGGACGGCACGTGACCCAGCAGGCACGGGGCGGCAGCTCCAGACAAGTCCCACAGCTTGGTATCCCCCCGAGTACCAGCGACTCGTTTCGGGCTAAGGCAGCGTCTCCACTTGGCATGCAAAGCGGCATCCCTAGGCTAGTCTAGTATTACTGAAGCTTTTTACAGTACACGGCTCCCCTGGCGTCTTCACGAATCAATCCTTCCGACCATCCTTCCACTCCATGCGCACTTGGCGCTGCCGTCCGCAAGACTTGCCATAGTGCCGAGACGCGAACAGCGCGTCTATCCAAACGAGCCCGTTGCATGGAATCGAGAGATAGCGCTGTGGTTGCAAGCACATTACATAAGTCGACGGTACCAGATATTGCGACAATAGATAGCGCGTGCGATAAGTACTGGGAAACGTGTGCCGCCGCAAGGGTCGACTGTATTGCTTCGACTGCTTGCTCGTGCTGATCATTGACCAAGAACATCTAGCCCCAACTGCATGTCAACATATCGTGCATGTCCTCATACAGGCAAGCGTATCCGCCCAAACACGCTGTGGTGGTGGTGGGAAACCTGATCTTGACGTCACCCATGTTTCCACTGTAACCGCGAGCCTCGGCACTTGATGCAGCGAGTCACTATCGGGTCAAGCTTCTCCATTGATCTATCTCGTGCACGTGCAAGCATACTAACATGCAACCAAATGTATTGCCTCTTGATTGGATCTTTCCCCGCACAGTCTAAACTAGCCATGTCAATGTCGCCATGTGGAAAGCACCATGTTCCCATGTCTGTATAAGTCTTCGCCCTGTAAACTCCAAGCTATGAAAAGCAATAATAGGCAAAAAAGGGAAATGACAAGTCGGCCCGATGAGTCGTGTGATATATACAGGGTGAAGGAAAAGAGCTCGCCGTGCTATTAACGGATAATACCATGTGGCCACAAGATGATGGCCATTGGAAACTTCAAGAGAAGACAAAAAAAAAGGGCCAGCGCAGGCATATCCGGTCAGCATGGTGGAGGGGTGGCCTCATGAGATCCGAAGACTTTGTTGTTCGGACCCACTCTGTTGGAGATGCATGTGAAGTAACCGTAGACGGCCGACTTTTACCGGCAGAAATGTCCACGAGGGTAGCGCTGCAACCGACTTGACAAGTTCCAAAGTAGCGCTGGATGCAGTCTGTCGTCTCGCAACCGACTCGGACCCTGTTCATAGTTCCATGCCGTCGAGGTCGCGCATGACACAGGCCATCTGTGCCCGCTTTGCGGCTTCAGCAAGCAGCGCGGCCTGGTTGAGGTAGTTTGTCGTCTCTGCTGCCGTCTGGCCGGCGCCTGACCTGTTGGGCTGGTATTCGAAGCTGGGGTGTCGCTGTGCCTGCATGCGAGGCGGCTGCTGCGGCTGTTGCTGGTGCTGGTGCTGGTGCTGGTGCGACTGCTGGTTCAAGGAGCCAAAGTAGGGCTGGTTCTGCGGACTCGACGAGGGCGAGACGGGCGGGGCCGATGCTGTCGAGGACCGCGAGGCAATGCTGGAGACAGCAGAGCTGTCGTAGCCTGGGGCTGCTGTGCGTGAGGACTGGAGGGCAGAGAAGGCCGGTCTCGACGGGGCGCCGTAGGGCTGTTGTGCGTAGTTGGACATGGTCGTGGTGTTGTAGTAGTTGTTGTAGTAGTTGTTGTAATAGTAGTGGTAGCAGAGAGAGAGGCGGGCTGGCGTCGGGGGGGACCTTGGAGGGCAGAGCAGAGCAGAGCAGAGCAGTGCAGTGCAGGCTGTAGGAGTGGGAGCGGCGAACGGGGTGGATAAAGTAAATAATAGTAGTGGAGCCGTGGTAAGTAGCGGATGGGACCCTGGGATATTACCCTGCCTGCACTGGCGATCTGGTATGCGACGCTAGAAGACTGGCTGTGCGTTGGTGGCTCGCCCGCTTGATGCTGAAGGAGGCTCGAGGGCGCGGCAGGCGACTTGAAAAGCAGCCGCCCGGGGCAGAAGCAATGTGCAAGAAGGAAGCAGAGCAGACGCAGAGCAGACGCAGAGCAGCACGCGTGGGAGCTTGCTCTGGCCCGCGGCTCGGCATCCCCAGCCCGCGGTGCTGTGCTGGCCTGTCCTGTGCATTTCGTCACTGGCGAGTCTGCCGACGCTGGCCATCGCATCGAGGCGCCATTTTTTTTTCCTGGGCCTTGGTTGCGTTGCGGCCTGCCACTCCCAGACAAGCCATTCTCTCGCCCTGTTCGCACAATGCCAGTGAGTCCTCGTTGAACCTTCCTCGCGCCCGCCCTGCCACTGACGCGCTGCCCAGCTGGTCATCATCTCAGGTTCCACCCCCCCTCCATGTGCGCCCTTGCCCCGCGCCCGTTGTCGCTAACCCGCCCCAGGATTCCCGTCGGCGGGCAAAACCACCAGAGCCGCCCAACTGCAGCAGTTTTTCGAGTCCAAGATTGCCAGCGCGCCGCCCGATGCGCGCACGTCCCGCCTCAAGGTCCATCTCATCAACGACCAGATGCTGGGCGTGCCGCGCTCCGTCTACCGCACGGCCAGAGCCGAGAAGGATGCCCGTGCGGAAGAATATTCTGCCGTCAAGAGGGTCCTGTCGCGGGATGACATTGTCATTGCAGATGGCCTGAACTACATCAAAGGCTTCCGCTACCAATTGTACTGCGAGGCCAAGGCCTTGCAAACCCCCAGCTGCGTTGTCAGTATGACATGACCACACCAAGACGCTGCTCGCTGACAGCCCTAGAGCTGCACGTAGGCACGCCGCCCGACCGATGCCGCCAAAACAACACCAAGCTGCTCGCGGATGCCGAGCACGACGGCGGATACGAGGACGACGTCTTTGAAAATCTGATTTTCCGCTACGAAGAGCCCAATGGCATGACGCGCTGGGATAGTCCGCTGTTCATCGTGGTCGAGGAAGACCAGACACCGCCGTGCGACCAAATATGGGAGGCCATGGTGGGCAGCGACGGAAAGATGAAGACTGTCCGTCCCAATCTGGCGACCGTGCTGGTGCGTATCCGGGGTTGCTTGTCCCATTGTGCTCGTCTAACACGCGGTAGAAACCGGCGACGGAGCAAAACTACCTCTACGAACTCGACAAGACGACGTCCGACATCCTTGCGCAGATAATGGTTTACCAAAAAGACCATGCCGGCGAGGGAGGTGGTGAGATAGCCGTGGCAGATGTGGAGAAGCCCATCGAGCTGCCTGCGACGCCAATGACTTTGCCGCAACTCCAGCGCATACGACGCCAGTTCATTACTCTAAACCGGCAACACAGCTTCTCCAAAGCCCGGATAAAGGAAGTCTTTGTCGATTACTTGAACGCCGAGTTTTTGCGCTAGACCAGTCGTCGTTATCTGTGCATATGCGGGGACAAGAGGTGTTTGTGCTAGGGTACCCCGTTCAGACAAACCGACTTACCAGGCGACGCCCTGTCATCGGAATGTTCTTCTCTTTAGAGAGTTGGAAGGATTTACTGCCATCCGCCCAGTCATGGAAAACCGGCAATCCATGACTCTGGGCGGGGTGGGCTTGCGTCATGCTCGTTTGTTCCTCGGGACAGACATCATTCCTGCCATGTCCGAATCCCCCACCACTACAGGATATTCCAGTTATGCGCTTACAATCACATCGCATGATCTTACCTGATCACCCCGCATTCCACCACCTCTAACCTTTTCCATGTACATTTGCGTCCAGCCCCGACATCATGTCAGAATCCGGAATCCGGACGTGCGGATCCGCCAAGTGCTGTGGGGGGCAAGAAGATTTCGCGCAATTATCTCATAGGATGGAGAGCCATGCCTAGTTGGGTACTTTGGTCGATACTGGGTATAGTATATGTGAACTACCCATGACCCCTTGTCCCTCATCACGATTCATGACGTTGAAAAGGATAAGGTCTTGTGGTGTATCTACTTTTATTGGTGCTTACTGGCGATCATGACGCTGCAAATGGTGAAATGCCTGCAAAATCGACGCCTGTCAATTCTGATCTACAAAGCTTAGGTGAAATGTCGTGTTGGGCAGAGACAGAGAGAAAACCAGTCGACTCGACGCGGGGTGGGTGTGAAGTACTGTTGCCATGTTAAAGCAAGTAAAGCGAGCATTTTCCACATTTACGCACACATGTTGTAAAGTACCCAAAATAAAAACGAATGAGAGGAGAGCTGAATTAAAGTTTACAACTCAATCTCCCCCATCTTTCCATCTCCGCATCTCCAAAGTATTCGTCATAACCTTAATTCAATCCAATTGATCCACCGATAACCCCCCCCCTTCTTTTTTTGGGGGTTTCTCTCTATATTCCTCTAGTGTGCATATGTAGGTGGTAAGTAACATTTTTTTTTAAAAAAAAAGGCCCTTTTTTCTACCTCTCTTTTACCCCACCCCCTCACCCCTCCAGCTCCCCTCAACTAAGTAAACAACAACCCTTGCATCCGCCGCTACTGTGGAACCTTGCCCCAGCGTAAAGAAAGGAGAAAAAAATCAGGTTAAAATCTACGCGTGTCCACGTCCCCGCATATTTTCTCCACATGTACGTGTGTATGTGTGTGTATGCGCAATGATGGCGACCCACTAATTTTTTTTTGTGGAGGGAGGGGGGGGAGGGGGGGGGTGCTTGGTTTCTTTCTTGTCCCTGTGATGGTTCGCAGTTTGTAGGTTTGACTACAGTATGCTTAGTACTTAGCTACATAGCTAGCTGAGTGTGTATGTGCGAGATACTTGGTATGCATATACTCGTATGTCTACCCATGCATCCTAGATATTAAAAAAAATGAAGTGGAATTAAAATAAACGACTCGCTGTATTTTAGGTTCAGTTGTGCACTGCGTGGAAGAGCACACGTCGAAGTACTAAGTATACTCATACTCATGCTTATTATCCACACACACACACTTATAATGTTTGGATTTCTGCTTGTACATGGACGTTTTTACATTGTGCATACGAATCTTTTTCTCTCTCTCTCTCTCTCTCTCGAATTAATAGATAAATTCAAGATTGGAATATTACATTGTTATATATCGATGCATAGTAGGGCATTGTGTGGTTTCTATTATACATACTGTTTCCTACACACAGTATACCCTGTACCCGTAACCGTGATCAACTCCAACTCCACACAGCACATACCACATAGCACATACCACACACATATACCGTCCCACGCCAAAAAAAACCCCCTCCCCTCCCCCTCTTCCCTCCCTTCTATATGACCAGACGAAAAAAAAAAATCCACTGAAAAAAGAAGCCTCTACTACTTACCCGCCCCCTTCCGCTTGTCCGGACAAGGGTCCCGCGTTGGTGTTGGTGGCGCATTTCCACGACACACACACACAGACCGAGGAACACATACAAAAAAAGGCCGAGGATGCGGAGGGATGCGGAATGAATACATGTATGGATGAATGGATGAATGGATGCATGGCGCGAATGGAACAAAGGAAATGACAAGACAGGAAAGGCATGAATGATTGCGCAGGAGGGGGAGGGGGACGATGAAGCGGGATGAGAGAGAGAGAAAAAAAAGGGGGTGTTTTCTAGCATTATACTTGGCGTAACAGGGAAAAGTAAAAATTTCCCAGTGCAAATGTGTGCGGAAGGAGAAAGGAGAAAAAAGGCGCCGGGGGAAAAAAAGTTGGATTGGAGAAATGGGTGTGGGTGTGGGTGTGTGTGTGGGGGGGGGCATGTTTTATTTTATTTAGCGATGGAGTGAGTGGTGGTGAGGGGTGTAAAGTATAGCCTGACATGACATGGCTACGTGCATGTGTATTTGTCTATGTATCTATCTGTGGCTGTGTATGAGCAGTGATAGCGATAGTAATGTATGAGCTCCGACTCTTTTTCTTTCTTTTTTCTTTCTTTCTTTCTTTCTTTCTTTCAGCTACTGCAAGGGGTTCAGAGTTAGGTCAGGTCAGGTCAGATCATGTTCAGAGTGCGGCCAAATTTAGCCTGTGTCTACTATATACTATATACACAGCACAACATGCACGCACGCACCCCCCGCGCTTTTATCTGATCTGGGTGTTGTTCCTGGATTGGTTTAATCTGAAACCTCCTGGGGTATATGTATGTACATGGAAAATCCATTATTCGTCTAGTTATATAACTAGCAGTAAATTAAAAAAAAAGAGGCATCAGCTGGGATACATCAATGTGGGAAATTCGGATCAAGCACTATAAGTCCTGGATAAAAAGTAAAAAATGATATTACCATGTGTGTGAAACATAGATACAAAAAATGCCGCCTTTCAGCCAAGGCGACATGGAAATGGGCAACATGATTGATGAACAAACAAACAATACTAAATTCAAGCGCATTTTTTTGGCTCCGTCAGAGAGCGTGGTATCTCAAACAACACACAAAAAAAAGAGCCACAAAAGGCCAAATTAGACTGCACACTTTCCACACTGCAGTGACCTCTGTCCAGTATAAAACGCATCATAATGTCGTAACGTCATCACAACCCGTCACCTACAACGGACAGTAGGTAGTGTCGAATCCAGCTAGATTGGTCGAGTTTTCATAATCACCCGGGATCATGATACCAGGGTACAATCGATCGCTGCCAGGCGTAGACCCATAGTCACAAGCAGAGTTGTTGAGCTCTTCGCCGCTGGTCAGGCTCTCGTCGCTAAAGCTGAGGACGCTTTGAGGCGGCGGGGCTTCCGAGGCATAGCTGCTCCAGTTCCAGACATTGGGAGACCAGGTCGCACTGCTGTCGGCACTGGCAGACAAGGGTGCAACGTCAAGGAGAGCATCGGCTGGTGGGCCACCATAGATGGTGTCATAAATGTTTCTTTGACCATTGTCGAGTGACGAGAGAAGATGCTCCCAGTCAGACGTTGAGACTTCAGACTTGACAGCCTGGGCATAGTTTGGGAGTGCGAAATTGGCCAATGAATCAATTGGGAAAGACATGTAGTCGATGTTGCGTTGCTGTTGCTGCTGGTTGGTAGACTGGCTGGGACGGCGCTTTGGCATGGAAAAGGATGCGCGGTGAGATAGCGGGCTCAAGGTTGGCTCTGAGCGAGCGACCGGGGGTTCCGACCGAATAGACGACAGACTCGTCGACGAGTGGTTGGCGTGAGCGCCTACATTGGGCGAAATGGCAGGAACCGTTGCACGGCGCGACTCGTGAGCATCTGTGCGAGTACCCTTCATGGAGCTCGGGGAGAGGCGTGCTGCCAAAGCCTTGAGCGACTTTTGCGTGGCACGGAAAGTGTCCAAAGGCGCGCTCATACTTTGCTCCGAGTTATGTCGCGAAAGGGGCGGCGCTGGCATCTGCTCTACGCATGGTACAGCCACAATGCCACAGCCTATCCGGCGGAACTCGGCGTAGCCAGCAGCGTTTCCGCGCTCGAGCATGTCCATGACGGAGCAGACGAGGCGATTGCTATCCTTCATGAGCTTGCCTTCACGGGCAAGATTCAAGGCCTGGAAGAGCAGGCCAAAGCCGGCTTGCACAAGGACCTCATTGCGGTTGATGCAGAAGGAGAAGCTGAGTTTGCGCTCATCGAGAAGCTCGACAATCTGCACAATGTGTTTGCAGGCATCTCCGACCGCTACCACGGCTGAAGAGGCCTTGTCACCCAGGTTGGCGACGACAGCTGGACGGTAGACCAGTGCCCTGATATGATGATAGGCAAGTGACTATTGATGTAAGCACTCGAACATGCAGTCATGCGGATTATACATACCAACAGAGGTGAGCGGCTGCCCGTGACGTTGGTGCTCGGTTTGTCGTTTACAAACGTGAGCTTGAGGTGCGGGGCAAGGTTGGTTTGCCAGTCTTCCAGCTCGTCGGCCAGCGACGCGATGGTGCGGAAGGAGATCTCATGTGACGCTGACTCGGGATAGAGGTCCCCAAGGACCTTTGCCAGAATACGCGATAGGCAGAAGAGAGCTAGCGCACTGGATAGTTTGGTGTATTCGCCGGGCAAGGTCGGAAGGAAGCCCTTTTCAGTCACGTATTCGTCATCGGCATCTACCGGATACTCGCAGTGTACATCCTCCTCTCGGACCAACTTCGGAAGACCAAGGTGTGCAGCAGAGAGACTACAGGGTGATTAGCAATGTCGCTGCATGTATTTGACTACACAAAACTTACCAGTCAACGGTGTAGAATGTCCAAAAGGCTTTCTTCCGTGTTTCACATGTCAATGCGTCAAGTGCGAAGCGTTTCTGAGACTGGTGCAGGCCAAGCCGTTGTGACAAGCCGACGGCCAAGCCTTTGTACTTGAGTAGCCGAGAGTAATCGGCTCTCAGCAGGCAGAAGATCTGAGCAAGGACCAGACACTGGAGAGTCATAATGTCATTGTCCATCAAAAAGCCCTCTATCGCGCGCTGCCACTGCGCTTCAAAAGCATCCACATCTCGGCCATCGCGAGGCTAGAGGAATGTCAGCATGTGCGCACGCAACAGGCGGTGGATACATACGTCACTTGAAAGCGCGGCAATTCCAAAGACCAAGTTGAGCTGTGCAATTGCCTTTTTCTCGGTCAAAGAGTCTGGATCGACAACATACTGCTCGTACAGCGATAGGAATGCTGGGCGGTGAAGGATTGGGAACAAGGGCGCCCACTCTTGGAAAAAGATGTTGATCATCTGATCCGAGACCAGGCGGGGTGGGGCCTTGAATGATGTATTCTTAGGATGCGTTGTAGCGGGCTTTGCGCCTGTGCCAAAAAAGACACCCGAATCAATGTCGGTGGAAAGTCTGCCTGCTTCTTGCGCCTTTTGCTTGAATGCCTCTGCGAAAATGTTAGACACGGCATGCGGTCAGACGGGGACAGGGAAGCATACCAACCAGCGTTCGTCCAGCCGAGTTGCCTGCAAAGTACGAGCCATGGGTTGGGTCGTCTAGTAAATGCGGTGCCTGCTGCACCTTGAATGTTTCGTCCTTTTCCTGTGACTCGTCGCGGACTTGGGGAGCCGCCGGAGAGAGGGGCGATGAGCGTCTTGCAGAAGATTGCGATGCGGGTGAATTTGAGTGGATGCGCGACAGCATGTCAATCTTTTCGTCCTTTTCGTCGAGCAGTTCCTTGAGTTCCCGGACCTCGGCCTCCAAGACGCGGACACGCTCCTCCAACGACTCTGTGTATCCCCTGGGGAAGGCGCGGCGGCTGAGCTTGTCGCTGGTCTTGCACTCGAAGCCGACGTTTGTGCATTGCGTGCAGCTGGGGCGGATGCCGTCGCAGCGTATCTTCTTGGAGCGGCAGCGATCGCATGCTTGAGCGATGCGGCTCTGGCAGCTTGAGCCGACTTTGATTACTTTCATAGGCAGGATTCCGGGCATGGCGGGCGATTTTAGTCTTTTTCCTCGCGCGTGGTCGGAGTAGGGGTAGAAGTGGGAGTCGTAATAATAATAATAATAATAGTAGTAGTCGTAGAGTCGTGGTGGTATGTATCGCGGACCCAGTGGCGGTCGCTAATAGGACAGCCTGGATTTGGTCATGCAGTGCTCCGGTATTCCTGGCTCGACTCGGGGTGCAGGTGTCGTGTTGGAGAAGGCTGGATAAGGATGTGGTTGTCGTCGTCGTGTCGCGGCAGGGCAGCGGCAGGATAAAGTCGAGCTGGGCGGATGCACAGATGCCACGAGCACGAGGGGGGGGGAAAAGGCGGGCGGAAGAATTGGGGCGGCCTGGCAAATGTACTGCACCGCCGGCTGCCACCGCCCACCTGGCCCCCCGGCCTAGCGCCATCCGGGGGAATTTGTGGGTGTGGGCGTGGGCTGCGGGGCGCATGGCCGTCGTGCCCACCATGCCGTCGTCCCATCACGCCAGAGAGAGACAAAGGCAGCGTCTTCTCGCCGATGCATTTTCGCCCTTCAGTAGCCACTAAACCTTAACCCTCGCCTGCTGTCAGTCCCATGCGGGGGCCGCTTCTGCTCTCCACGCTCATCACCGTCGCCATGGCCGGCCTGCCCCGGACTGGCTATATTGCACCCTCGCCTGCCCTGGCCTGGCCTACACTCTCCATCCCCAAGAGCCCAAGAAGCCTTCGCTACAAGCCGCGCCCACTCGCTTCGCCCATGGCTGCTGCTGGGCCATATGTGCTCATTAATCTCCAGATACATCCAAGCACATCAGGGCCACTCAGCGCAGCCTGGAACCCCCCTGGCCTTGTTCCAGAAGCCTGGGGGAAAGTGGTGGCCGACTAGGGCGTCAACACGCGCTGCCCGCATGCTGCTATGATGCAAGCACAACAACTGATCGCAATCCTGTATTATCTTCTTTGTCGAGACGCAGACGACGACAAGTTGCTGAGCCCGCCGTGCAACACGCGGCTAGTCCCAGTCGGGCTTCCCCACAAACCATGCTGCGCATCAGTCGTCTTGGCTGGGTGAGAAAAGACTCGGTTTATCCTGTCCAGTCACCTGTGCCACTCATTATTCATACACGTGCATAGGCGCAGCCCGCCTTTGTTGCATCCACGACATGGCCTGATCTTACTGATCGCACCAACTGCACCCCGACTCGCATCCCCACGGCTAACCTGTGGGGTCTACGGCGGCGCCCCAGCTATCCATCAACATGTACTCTACACGACTAAGAAGCGCAGTGTCCATAGCCCGAGTCCCATGCTTCTATTGCTATTTTACAGCAGCCGCGCTTCCTGCCGATCACCATCATGTCCGCGATTCATGCCCAAAGAAAACGCGAGCGGAGAGGACATGGTTGCATGTCTTACACGACGTCAGATGAGTTTGTAAAATGGTTGCAAATCGCTGCAAAATCGCTGCATCGGACCAATGGCACCCTTTTGCACCCGTACGAGCCAAGTCGAGGCGGTGTCTCGCGCGTTCAAGAAAAGTCGTCTTCTTCCTCTTCCTCTTCTGCTTCTGCTCCGTCCAAGCCGAGATAGTGTATAACGGTTGGCGAGTCTAGCAACTGGGCTCTCTGCACTGCGTGTTAGCCTCTTTGCATGGGGCGGCCGCAGGGACACGCTCCGGATGTCTGGTAGGCCAAGCGCTTGTTGCCCACTCCGTATCCACCAAGAAGCAGCCAAGCTTGCATCATGTAGCACATGAATGAAATCATAGGGCCTGAATGTGGGCTGTGGGGTGCAAAGGAAAACGTGCTTCTTACCTGGTTGCCAAGGACGGATGCGGCACGTTGGAGCATCTCTAGTTCTAGGCTTCGAAGGCGCTCCGCCAGCCGCCATGGCACGTCCCGAACAGTGGCCTCATGCTTCATGCCTTGGGCTCCCTTGAGTATCTCAATCTGCTCATCAATGCGGTTTTGCAAAAGTACCGTCGCACGCAACTGGAACACGTCCCACGCCGCGTCTTCTTCAAGGTGCTGGCGTAGCCTTGAAGTGTCCAGCACTCTCTCTTTCCAAAATCCCTGGATATCTCGCTTGCCGTCAGTTGTTTGTCTGACCTTGAAGTCGAGCCCGTCTTCTTCATTGACGACGACCAGCCATATGAAGTCACCCTCCCAGTCTATGGTGCCGTCCTTCTCGAAGATGCGGAACCCCGGCGCTTCCGTTGAAACATACTTCTTTGCAGGCCTCAGGGGGTCATCGTCTGGAACATCAAGATCTAAGAACATGGCTCTGGCAGACGTCATTGCATCCTCGAGAAATCCATACGAGAAGATGCTTTCGCACGCGCCTTTGTCATCGCCATATCTACTCTTGTCAGTACTGTTTATGTGTATGTTGATGACAACGTACGTAATTGTCACTTCGCCACCTTTTTCAATGTTTTTGCCCTCTCGCAGCAGAAGCAGGCCATTTCCGTTGCTATCCGTCTCGTACAAGGCGCCCGTTGCGTCTCCCGATGCGTGATTGGCCATGTCGACGCATGGCATCATGCAGTCACCGGCGCCTGGGAACTCCAATGCTCTCGACCGGTACATGGCATCAACACGCATCCAGTCGTCAAAAGTGAGCATCCCATTGTCTTCACTCCACCAATACTTGTGGCACCATGGGATAGACTCTGTTGCGGTTCGCAAGTTTTCAAACTCGCGCAGCAGACTATTGAGCTTTGCGCTCACTGCAGGCTTGAGCGTGGTTCCAACCAGCAGCTCGCGCTCTTCCTCGGTCCAGAAGGTGGGGAGCAGTTCATCAGGGAGAAACTTGATGTACTCTGTGAGGGGGTTCAGAACACCCACTTCTGTTGTATGTGGGCAGCACATGGTAGCTTGAAGGAGCAAGAAGGTCAGCACGGCGCCTCTGGTGGTCTGCCAAGTGTTACTATTGCAAGCATGTGGACGACTGCCCAAGTGGGTCACGCACCCTGCCGAAATCTCCTAGGGCTTCAAGAAGCTCATGCAAATGGTGGTCGGCCTTTGCAACGAGGTCGATGTTTTGGCGCGAGATGATTAATTCTTTGGGCACCACAAGGAGCGGATTGGCGCTGCTCTGCAAACTCTCGTCTGCGATGACGGTTGAGCCTCTCTCCTCATGGCCCGGCAGGGGTCCGATTTTGACGTTGTTGAATCTGACGCCGTGAAAGGTCGCCCAGGTGGGCAGGGCATCAATGGGCTGTTTGAGCCATCCCTCGGCTCTGCCTCTTCGTATCATGGCAACGGGGCGATTCGCGTCGGGGTCGGGGGGGGGGTGTTGTTTGGCCAAGGTGCAGACGACGGCTTGGTAGCGGTTGTCAGGCGATACTCGTCAGGATGCATGGCGCACGTGGTTAGCGACGGCTAGCCCTTATCGATACCGCGGCGCCTCTGCTGGATACAAGTCGAGACCATGATGACGCGCCGACAACAAAGCCAGAGGCACGGCGGCGAGGCTAGCGCATGCAACCGACAGGACAGCATTGCCATCGCTATGGCAATGGCAGCGAGCTGTCTAGCGCGGGCAGAGCAAGATGCTGGCGGTTACTGGAGCAGATGCATGGATCGGGATGCATGCAGCTTGTTCGTACACTGGACCCTGTGAAGTCATGCGTGTGCCATGACGGCTGTAGCGAGATGAGCGACAGCGCTGGTTTCCCAAGAGACGAGCAGCCTCCTGGCCGCCCGCATCCAGGGCCACGAGGGCCAGCGCAGCGGTGCATGAGCAGGAGCACAGCAACGGGCAGTGCGGCGGATAAACAGCAGCGAGGGGGCTCCGCCCGTGCCTTGTTGTGATGGCGCTCGGGCCACGGCGTTCAGAGTTGTTGTGATGCTGCTGGACGGCATCCCGAAACCATCGAGTGGAGCTAGTGCGCCGGGCCCGTGCGCCGGTAAACAACAACAACATAGACATGTGCTTAAACTTGCAACCACCCGCACGCCGGCCATCTCTGCAATTATTCCTTACCCAGCCTCCGCCAGGAACAGCCCACGGCAGCCCCGCTGACCACCCTCCCACCGACAGCACCCCTCGCCCCGCTGCGCCGCGCTGCCGACACCGCTGCCCTCGCCCCCCCAGGCCCGCCTGTCGTGACGTCCCAACATCCTCGTGCGCAGCCGCCGGTCGTCCCTTCCCCAGCTGGAAGAGCTTAGCACCCAGAGGATCGCCCCTTCCTCCCCATGTCTTCCCCACGCGAGCGAGTCTCCAAAATGCCTCGCGGCTCCGCGACCAGCTACGGCCAGGTCATCGAGGTGAGCACCTCCACCACCACCACAACAAGCACAACAACACCCCCCCAAACAGTGCGCCATTGGCACCCGTGCTGATCCAAGCGCCCTCTAGTACATCCAAGACCGTCTCTACCTGGCCTCGTACACGTATGCGCCCGACGCCTCGACGCCGTTTCCCTACCCCAAGCAGAGCCAGTCGCCCTCGAAGCGCTCCTCGCGCGCACATGGCGGGCCCACTGCTACCCCCAAGCCGCAGCCGCCCGTGTACTTTAGCATCGACAAGACGCTGCTGTACAACGCCTTCCACGGCGACTTTGGCCCTCTCCACATCGGCCACCTGTACCGCTTCGCCGTGCAGCTACATGAGGTCCTCGGCGACCCTGCCAACGAGGACCGTGCCGTCGTCTTCTGGAGCAACGCCGACTCGCGGAGTAAGACTGCTCCAAACCTACCGCTTCCGCGCAGCTGTTAACATGCCTAGGCCGCGCAAACGCTGCTTGTATTCTGGCATGCTACATGGTGCTCATCCAGTCATGGCCGCCTCACCTGGCCCTGGCGCCCATCGCCCAGATGGACCCCCCTTGCATGCCCTTCCGCGACGCCGGCTACAGCCAGGCCGACTATGTGCTCAACATCCAGGACGTCATCTACGGTGTGTGGAAGGCAAAGGAAGAAGGCCTATGCGGACTCAAGGACTTCAGCCTCGAGGAGTATGTCCACCCCCTGGCTTTCCATCTCATTGCTAACCTGACTCAGGTACGAAAAGTACGAGCGCGTAGACATGGGCGACTTCAACTGGATCACCCCCGACTTCCTCGCCTTTGCCTCGCCCCAGCAACAACCCACACACGAGATCCCTACTTCTTCGCCAATGTATGCGACACTTCCTTCCAACATTGCCGAGATTCAGCGATCGGGCCTCCCCAGCCCCTTCAAGAACGTCCTGTCGCATTTCTGCGCGCGTAACGTCGGCCTCGTCGTACGGTTAAACTCGGAGCTGTACTCGTCCTCGTACTTCACCAAGCTGGGCATCCAGCACCTCAACATGATCTTCGACGACGGAACCTGCCCACCCCTGTCGCTTGTCCGCAAATTCGTCAACCTTGCGCACGAGATGATCACAGTACAGAAGCGAGGCATTGCTGTGCACTGCAAGGCTGGTCTGGGGCGAACTGGTTGCTTGATTGGAGCATATCTCATCTACAAGCACGGCTTCACAGCCAACGAGATTATTGCCTACATGCGTTTCATGCGCCCGGGAATGGTTGTCGGGCCCCAGCAGCACTGGCTTCACTTGAACCAGGGCACTTTCCGCGAGTGGTGGTACGAGGACACGATCAAGGCCAAGTACGCCCAGATGATTCCTTCGACGCCCACAAAGTCATCGCACAAGCAACGGCTTGCTAGCAACGGCCAGACCTTTACGCCTCCCAACGGCTCGCAGAAACGCGCCGCACTTGGTGAGATTGAGTCCAACGAGCGAAGCAATTCGGGACACATTGGTGTACTAGACGACAACCTGCCTGCGCCGACGCCAGGCCAGCCGCGAAAGACTAGCAAGCTTTACGGCAACGGCTCGCGATCGCCACAGCGCATCGACGAGAACGAGCCATTTACCAAATCGCATACCGAGGTCAGGGCAGACATCACACGCTTCGACGGCGAGTCAGACGAGGAATTCCATCTCCGCCAGATAGCGCGGCGAACATCTTCACGCTCACCTGCGCGGTCACCGACTCTGAAGGACAAGCAGCGCCGCGCTTTCAGCACCACGTCTGTCATTCAGACTTCGGTAACACATACCTCGTTTGGCTACGGCGAGGAGAGTGATCTTGAGAACACTGCGCCAACAAGCGCGCGGCCCAAGACACCAAAGGAGAAGAACGGCAACGGCAGCATCAGCATGGCCAAGGTCCGTTCGAGCCCGTCACGCCGGAGCACAGATGGCAAGGCGGGTGTGCGAAAAACCAGTGGTCGTGTTGGCAGCGTGGGCAATGCCATTACACGAACCAAGTCATGAGCAACGTTTCCGGATTTGACTTTGAGTCTCCATCTTCATTCCACGGAGTTCTAGCAAGGCGCCTTGGGACACAACATTCACGATTGTGGTCGCTTCATTTCCGTCCAAGTCACTTCGTCCTCGTCGATCAGCATGCCAGCGGGCTTGGTGCTATAATATCGTTTGTGGGGTTGGCGTTTTGGATTGCAAACGTGCATATTGGTGTTGGGATATCTTTATTTGACACGTACCGGGTGGCGCATGGGGTGTCAATGTTTTCTTTATTTTTCTATCGTCTCGTCGCTGGCCACGGTCCCGGCATTGCTTTACTATAGTCTTGTCCCTTTTCGCGGTAATCCAGCTGCGGATCTGTTCATGACGTGTATGAGTTAATGATGAGCGTAATTTCAGTCTTCCAACATAGTCTTCCTCATTTGCACGCTTCGTGTTGTTTTTCTGAGTGATGTTTGGGTTTGTGTGTGTACAACACCAATGAGCAACGCAGTAGGTGGAATGGAAGGCAGCAAGGTACGATTATACCATGCTCTTTACATGCACTGCAAGCAGGTACTATTCCATTTAGCGTAAGTAACACACATGACTTCTAACCCATGTCACAAGCAAAAACATACACAGGTCACGTGACCATAATGACGAGACATACCACGTGACAACACAAAAAGTCTAGTACTCCACCCACATCGAGGACTGATCTCCCACCCCCCGACACGAGTACCACCGAGCACTACCATCCTGTCCACGATCAGCACGGGACTCGAACCCGCAGCCTTGGCCTTAGGAGGGCCACGCGCTACCATTGCGCCAACCGACCGTATTCATGCATTTCCATGGGGCTTTATCGTGTGCTATGTCCGTTATATTGCACGCGTTGTGTTGGTTCAAGACAGGGCGAGTTGAGCTAAACTAGGGATATGCTGAATGTAGGAGCCAGGAAGGGCGATTCTTTGCCAGGGGTGGTGTTGTTGGACCTGTGGTTTTCGGCATGACGAGTGCTGTGCGGACTATGTGGAGATTGGGAATGGAAAAAAAATCTTCTTGGGTGGGTTTTTCTAGGGGATGGTGTAACATTTGTAATGTATAATACGTAGCGATTAAGGGAAAAGACATATAGATAGAGTTACTCGCTTGGAAAGGCTATAGGTTAATACCTTGGTGTGTAAGTAGATTGATGTGAGGATTGCTCGTATATAGAGTTTGGGCTTAGTACAGAATAACCCTTGTGATAATCATAGGTCTGGCATGCAGATGTATGCAGCATCAGCATTGTGAATTTCCATGTTCTAGACTCGGGGCATATTCCATTTGTGTTGCGTGGTTATTCGTGCAGGCCGGAAAAAAAATACGTGCAATCAGGCTCTAGCACTACTTAGCACCAAAAAACATCCTTGTAATTTATCCTATCACTCGGCAAACGGGTCATACATAATAACAACAGGGCCGGCAGGAAGGTGCCTTGAACCCTAAAACTCCAGTTTTACCGCCGAGTATGACAAATACAAATAAGTACAGTACATGGGGTTTGTGACAATTGCGGGTTTGCCCGCCCGTTGCCCATTGTTTCAAATGCGTTGGATGACGCGATCGCAAGGTTTGTGGTCTAAACCCAGTTCAGCTATAACTATATATTCACAATCGCCGCTCACAAGCACGCAAGCGCTCCTTCAGAAAAAAAGGCAAAAAAAAACAAGACAATTTATCGTGTGTGTCTGGCGACCCTCGCTAAGAAAAGGTGTCCACAGCGACTGGGAATTCAAGTCTGCAACAAAAATAATCAAGGGGAAAACATCACACCCAGGGGCCGAGTTATTTACAAGAACTGTGTCGGTGAGCCTCGGCGATTGCATGCCCAGAAATCGGTGTGCACTTGCAATCACATATCGTTCGTGATTTGTATAACAGCAAAGTGTCCTGGACGACTCTATCCAGCTCTCTAACAGAAACTACAGGCAAAATGGTATGTCTTTCTATTTCGCAGAGTGCTCATTCAGACTGGGGGGGTTACTAATGCAGCGACAGGTGCATGCCGATTCATCCACTTTTGCAGACGGGCTGAGCAAAACGGAGGTGTACGGGCAGGTCCTGGAGCAGGCACAGGCGCTTTTCGATGGCCAGAGAAATTGGGTGAGTATCCTGTTTTTCCTATGAATACAACGCTAACATGGCTAGGTCTGGTAAGTCATATCTCCCGCCATGAAGGTTTCACCACTGCATGATATGGCGAACCGTAGCAGCTAGGGAACAATAGCTGACCGGTCTTTTGAATAGCAACTTCTCAAATGCAGCATCGCTTCTCTGGCATGCATATCACTCGCTGCCATCGCCTTCCTCGGCTGTCAACTGGGCGGGCTTCTACTTCACAGATCCTTCACACCCCTCGCGACTGCTGCTAGGCCCGTTTCAAGGGCAAGTAGCATGCCAAGTCATTGCATTTGGCAGGGGTGTGTGTGGGACAGCGGCCAAGGAAGCAAAGACGCAGTTGATCGAAGACGTAGACCAGTTTCCAGGCCATATTGCGTGTGATGGGGCAAGCAAGAGTGAGATTGTTGTTCCTATTGTGAAGAACGGAAAGGTATGTTTTCTCTTGACATGCATCTAGCGCAGCTACGCGCAGGACGAGAAAGCAAATCGAGTACATGGGCTAAAAATGTGGAAACAGGTTGTAGCTATCATCGATATTGACTGTGCAGAGCTCAATGGCTTCACCGCACAGGATAAAGAGGCTTTGGAAGAACTGGCGAATATGCTAGCTGAATCGTGTGACTTTTATTAGCATGGCAGGTTGGGAAAGACAATGTATCATTAGGTGGTTGAACAGGCTAAACAATAATAATGTCAAGGCTTAGAGCAGAACAGAGGCATGTGAACAGTCACGCGGAACAACGTCCTTGTCTGGATATTTTAGTCCGCCCCGAGTAGTCGAGTATCACAACAAAGGACGACCGTAGTCTTCAAAACAAGGGTAGAAGAAATAAACAATGAAAGTAAAAGAAAGGCTAGTCACCGGAGCGAAAAAAAGTGTGAAGGTTAACTCGTCATGAGTGAGTGAGCGAGTGGTAGAATAGGTGAAGGTGACCTTTTCACCGTGTGTGTGTGTGTGTTACCCCAGTGATTTACATTTCAAGTAACAAACGCCTTAATCACGCAGCGCGTCCATCGAGTCCGACTATTTCTTGAATCCGCTTCCTTTCAAGGTCGCGTAAATAGTACTACACTCAACAAACACAACTGCTCCCGACTACAACCGAAAGCCCGCAAAACCGGGGGGGATTTCACACGGATATCTGAACACCCGGGGCTTGTCGAGTCGGGTTGGTTGTCCTCGACAAAGACAATGGATTCGATATCACAGCCACTCCAAATGCGAACTCAGCTCCACACGCGCTCGCCCAGCGGAACCATGTACCGAGCCTCATCTATCCACCTGCCGCGTCCTCTGATCCAGATCATGACTGAAGACGAAATGGAAATGCAACTACAACTGCGCTCTTCCCACGCCCCTTCTACCAACAAGACCGGAAATCATGGTTTTTACTGCCGCTTCAAGTCCTCGTTCAAGTCCTCGTTCAAGTCATTGCTCCAAGCTAATGTAGACAACGCGGTCATTGAGCGATGCAAGCATAGATTCCAATATGGTCGTTGCAGGAAATGCAGTGTCCCCGAGGCGATTGCCAGAATGGACAGTATACACTCTGGCTTCTACAGTAAAGAAACGAGACATTCCCACAGCGATTCGACGACTTCGAGCAAAGACCTCGTCAACTCACACAACGTAGCCTCGGACTCGGAGATGCACAAGTCCGCAAGAACAACCCCAACAATAAGGCTCGTCCCAGGACCACTACCAAAAGACACGCAGGGAAACAGTCCGATATTCACAGACTCCTCGACCAACAACACACCCGATTCCTCCTCGTCCCTAACTGCAACCGAAGTCTCGGCCCGCAAACTCTCACACCCTGTACTGGATACCATCACCACCTCACCTCTGGATGTCCAAGCCATCGTGTTTCCGCACCAAGACGAAGCATCGACGCCCGAGAGTGCAACGAGCTGCCATGTACTCGAGCACGGGAGTGCGGCTACAGCGATCCATATGCAGCCTGTTTCGCCCACGACGGTGCAGATCCGGCATTCGGTGCTGGGACAGGGACAGACACATGCACATGCACAGCCAGAAAATCCAGAAAAAGAAAAATTTCACGAGACGAATCTACCAGTACCAGCACAAACCTTTCCACACAATCTAGACACTACATTTACACCCCTTCCTCCTAGCCCACGCATTCCCCCCTCTCCATCATCATCATCATCATCATCATTACTACAAACACCACATCTCTCGCACCTCGCACACAGCGCCCTAACAGCCTCCATCGCCTCCCAAATCGCCATCTTGAATCTACACCACGCGCTCCTGACGTCAAACCTGCAAGCAGATGCGCACGCGGTATCTCCCTGGAGCGCTGCAGAACGGCTGGTGATACGCAAAGCGCGGGTTGTAGTTGGGCTGCGGATTCAGAGGGAGGCGGGGCGGATTGCGGAGGATGTGTTTGAGGGCGTTTTGGCGTGGGTGCTTGGTGGCAAGTGTGATGGGGAAGAGGAGGAGGTTGCAGTGTATATTCGGGGGTTGGTTGTGCAGGGGAGGCTGGCTGAGGCGAGGGCGAGGCAGATATTGATGGGGATAGGGGAGGGAGAGGAATATCCAATATGAAGAATGCATGTGGGGAGAATTTTATGTCAAGGTTATGGACATGTAGAGTGGACTTGAAAAGTCGTGGCATGATCAGTTCATACAATCACGTCGAGACACAAGCATGTTAGAGTATTAGAATGCGGCACTGAAAATGAGACTCGAGATATTCACCTGAAAAGATGATAGTTTGAATGTTCAAAGGACTACTTGTACCTACAGAGAATAGGCTCATTGGTTGCCACCCATTGCGCCGTCCATAAGTCATTTCACTTGTCCTCGTCAGCGCATTCCTTCTATGGTATCTTTTCTTCATCCCAAAACGACGTGCAGTAACACTTTGTCTCAGTCCGCGCGGTCAAGGACTTGCTTGCAGTGTCACCACCCTGCCAATGGATGATTTAGTCGTCGCATCGTCGCATCCTTTGCTCGCGAAGTGCCAGTGACTTCAAGCGTGAAGCTGACAGGTGGCTACGGATGGCGTTGTTCTACTCGTCTTCCATGCCCTCTAGTAGCGTATGTTCAAGCACATCGCTCAACGTGACTACGCCCTTGAGTTTGCTGTTCTCATCAATGACCACGAAGCGGTGCACGCGAGACCTCCGGATCGTGTCGTATATCGTCGACATGTTGTCGTTCAGCGAGCAGGTGAAGATGCCAGGGAAATCCTGCAAAAGTTAGATTGGTATTCGTTTTATCCAGACAAGCTGCTTACGTCTGAGCGTTTCAGCAAGGCATCGCCGACAGTCAGGTTTAGGTCGTCGTATACACCGCCCTTGATGAGTGCAATGACATCCACGGCTTCAAACACGTTGAGCACAGTGCCTGTCATTGTTAGCCACGCATCCGTGCAGCCACGAAGATGCCGTACCAGTCTTATCCAGGATGGGAACGCTCGATATGCTCTTCTTGACAAGCATGTGAATGACGTCCATGACTGGTGTGTCCATTGACGCAGTTGCGAGATCCTCGTATGTGCCCACGTTTAGCTCCCTAAGCGGCTTGCGCATCTTTTGCGTTTCTTTGACGTTTACCGCGATGAATTTCAGAATGCGGTACTGCGTGATGACACTGACCACCATGGTCCTATGTGTCTCGTCATCGCTGTCGACTATGGGTATACGCCGGGCGCGCGACTCGAGCATCTTGCGACATGCTTCGTATACAGGACGGTCGGGGTGGATGGAGATAGTTTCTATGGGCTTGACTCCCAGCGCCTTCTCGATGTCTATCGCGGATTAGTATGCGTTTGGCGTGCCTGGACCGAGCCGCCTACCTCGCAAGCTGTTCAGACGGAACTGGTCTACCCGAGCCAGCGCATCTGGATTCTGCCAATAATACTGAATGACATTTATATAGTCCGAGGTCGTAAGCAGACCGGCAAAAGTGGATGACTTGGAGTCCCACAACGGCGCTGAGACGATACCTGGGAACAAATCTCAGCTCATGTCGTTTTGCATGTGATAGTGCACCAGCTCACCATTCTGGTTCAGTATGTTCAGGCTCTTCTTTACCAGCAGTGCGGTGTCAAAAACGATGAGGCGGTAGCTGATGGGGAGCACGTCGTAGCTTGTCCTGGCCTTGAGAAAGGCTCTGATGGTTCTCTAGCCTGCTGTCAGCCTATCGCTGCGACCCTACGCCAAACAAGCGTTGCCATACCAGGCCGTCCAGTTGCTCACGGTCAATAGCTGAAAGCTGACGCGGTTGCTCCCTCGGGGGCAATGGGGCACGAGATTGCTGGAGCAAATCCCTGGGCGTTACAAACGCCGGCCGCGCATCGCTGCTGAGGGTGTTGGTCGCTGAGTCTGCCGCGTCGACGCCGGACATGGTTTATCGCGATGCTCCTCGGAGCCGCATGGAGCGCGTGACTCCAGGAATCTTAGGATCGGAGAGTGCTATGGCGGGACTGGGCTACAGAGCGCAAGACTGCTGAGATGTTGAGGAAGACGGCGGAGGTATGTAGACGCCCCACGATCGTCACTAGCGCATCGTGGACCAAGAAAGTCAATGCGCAAACACGCGGGGCAAGTAATGCTGTACATGGGAACTGGCACAAACTCGCAAGTCTCTTGTCATGTTTCAACTTTGATTGATTTCGAATTTGAAGCAATAAGCGCTGAGATAGCGCTGACCTAGGGAACGCATTCGGAACAGGCCCAGTACATCCACGGCACGTCTACAAGCTATACACACTTTCCCATTATCGCTATGCGTCTCCTCAGTCGCGCGTGACACGCTCCCAACCACCAACTTCACCCAGCAGACCTAAACCTCCCTGGCTATACGTCATTTTTCCGAGCTGCTTTCGCCGCATCGAGGCTCAGTTCAGGACCTGGCTCAGCCTCGGTTTCCTCCATGATAATCTCCTGTGCCGCGTGTTCGACTGACACGTCGGGCTCGCCAATCGATTTCCTTGCCTGTGCCACGATGGAGTCGGCCTCGGTAATGCCGCCTTTCATAGCCGCCTGATCTTGGTCCAAGCTTGTCGTGGCCTCGTTCTTTCGCTGGCGGAGGGCTTTGTTGTCGAACCGTACGACCATGCACGAGAGGTTATCGGTGGAGAAGCGCGCAAGGGCGTAATCGACGAGTTTCTTTGAAGCCTCTTGGGGATCGTGAATGTGGCGGATGAGGTCTACGGCCTCCTGATCGGAGCAGACATCCCAGAGCTTCACATGTCAGCGTATGCAAACGATTCGGCTACGAACGACTTACACCATCGCAGGCAAGAATAAGGAACTCGTCCTGGTCGGCCTGGATAACCGTCTCCGTGGTGTACGGATGTCCTGTCACCAGGTCCTTCATGTACGCATCGCCCAAGGCGCGTGTGACTGCGAGGACGCCATTGACACGGTTGTTGAGTATCAAACCGCCAGCACTTGCAACACGACGTCCTTCGTTCTCGTCGCTGCCCTTGTGGTCGTACGAAAGGCGAAGAGCCCGGCCATTACGACAAAGGACAATGCGCGCGTCGCCCACATTCGCCGTGTACAGGACGCGTTGCCGGCTGGCCTCACTTCGTAACCTGGCCTCGACTTGTTGTTCGGTTGAAGGCTCCGAGGTAGCAGCATCTGCGCCTTCTTTGTTCTCGCCGCCTTCGCCAGCGTGCTTGATGGCCGATACTGCGGCGGGTGCAAAGAGGACGGAGCCAGTGGACGATTGCGAGTTAGGCACTCGATCCTCCCAGCGCAAAACGGCAATGACGGCAGTGCAGCCGCTGTTCTTCAAAGGCAGCTTTTCCAGCTGCTGGTCGACGACAGTGAAGGTTTGGTCGAGGAGTTCGGGTATCGGCGTATTAGGGTTCTTTCGGATCGTTTCTTCCAGAATCAAGTGAAGCTTCTTCCCACACCAATCGGCGGCAAAAGTACCCGCGTGGCCGTCAAAGATGGCAAAGTAGCCATTGTCGCTCTCGACGACGGGTTGCGACAACGGGTCAGACTGGACCGAACTTGCATCCGAGACGGCGCGGGGCTTGTCGTTGCCATACGAGGGGGCCGGGGTGCTGAGGAAGTTGTATAGGTACGCATGTGTGTCCTCCATGGTCCGTCTGCACTTCTTGTTCTTGTCCTCGGTGACGCCGACGCGGAACGTGGATCGCGGGCCCGGGGCGGACTCGCCGGCAGAGTTGTTGAGCGAGCCCTGGGGCACGCTGAGAGCAGCGTCCGACTTGCCTAGCTTCTGCATGGGGGTTTGGGCAGACGACTTTTCCGACGTCGTGGTCGAGGAAGACGTCGACGTGGGAGACGAGCCGCCAATGTGCAATGACTGTTTGGCGCTCGAGAACATGTCCCGGGCACGCGACACGCCGCTGCTGCGTCGCTTCCGCTCGGGAGGAGCAGCCGCATCGCTGCCCTTGCGGTCGCCGGGCGCAGAGCCGTTGCTCGCGGTGTTGGAGCCCGCCGCCGCTGCGTTGTCCGTTGTGGGTGCGGCGGCGGGCCTGGGCGCGTCATTGCCTGCAGGGGTGTCGATGGCGGAACCTTCGTCGTCCTTTGCATTCCCGAACATCTTCGAGAGCAAGCCGCCCTGGGCGCTCCGGCGCCTGTTACCTGCCAGCTTGGGTGGATCGCGATGGCGCGTGTGTACCGGGTGGCGGCGACGAGGATGTGGGTGGGGACAATGGGCGGGAGAGGGAGAGGAGCTGAGATAAGCGAGGCTCGAGCAGCAACAATACGGATACCGTGCGTGGGAAAAGATGTGGATGTGACTGTGCGAGACAGATGCAAGGGGGGGGAGAGGCGTTGCGAGGGAGGGAGTGGCTAGGTGTGATGACGTCGGGGGGGCGGCGGGGTGTGTGGGTGTGCAGGCGGAGGTATCAATTGGCGGCGCGTGTGGAAGGCTTCAGGCGTGACGGGCGGCCGTTGGACGGTGGATGCACGCAAGAAGGGCTCGACAGCGCGCGGGAGGCTTCCCAGTTTTCGGCCGGGGCGGTGCTGCGTAGCTGGAGGTACTTGGTGGCAGTCAGTAGCAGTAGCGTGTCGGTCGGGTGCGGGGGGGGGGGCCTGGGACAATAAGAATGCTAAGTAATTCCAGTGCAGCTCGCCGTCTTACGCCCTACCCCGCTGGCCGCCGTCTACGAGACTCGACTCATAGCAAGTCTTGTGACCCTGCGCGCGCCTGTGAATCCCCGGCGTCAGGGCTACCCCCAAAAGACATCATCCTCGCCCGTTCCACGACAACGGCCTGCGATCAGCAAATGCATGCAGCCCGACGCGCTGGGTGCAGCCCGCCTTGAGCTCGCTCGCACTCGCACTCGCACTCGTTAGACTTGGGCATGCACAGCCGCCGAGTGCTGGGCGCGGCGGGATGGGTACAGCGTCATGAATGCGTGCACCGAGTCCTTCTACCTACGTGTACGTACGGGTACAATCTTGCCGCCAAGTGCGAATCCCAATTTCTGCGTCGTGCAGCCAGCTCGACGCCCCCAGTCCGCGTCCCCAGTCCCCAGTCCCCAGCCCCCAGCCGTCACGTGGCCTCACCATCGCCCATCGCCCGCTGCTGGTCACGTGCGTGCATCCTCATCGCCGCAGGCTGTCCAACCGCGCCTGGAGATCGTCGTCGTCGGGGTCCCCGCCTCCCCCAATAGCCTGTGCCACTCTGGTCTCTGGCACCGTGTTCTTCTGCAGACCACTGGGCGTTTCACCGAGCTGTACAACGTTAGCCAGAAATGCGCGTCTCAGCAGGGCCGTCCACCTACCGCCTGTCCGAGGTCAATGCCTATCTCGTCCAAGACCTGATTGACCACGTCCTCGCTCTCCTCTTCATCTTCCACGCCAGTGGCATCGTCAATGGCGTCATCCATCATCTCTTGCCGCTGGTCCATGATGTCATTCTCCTTTTCGAATTCCTGAGCAATGCGCTGGAGCGCAGGGAGGTTCATCTGCCTGTTCATGCTCCCAAGCAGTGCTGTGAATGTTAGACCTGCGCCCACACACCCGGGCATGCACACTTACTCGTCGCGCCCTTCATAGACTGCATCATCTGCTCGTTGCTGCGAACCGTCTGCTCGTGGTCAGCCCCATGTCCACGCTCTGACTACCCCAAGTGCGTGCATACCTGGATCCTCAGCGAGATGGCCTGCAGTTGTGTCCGCATCTGGTAGAATTTTTGAATGTACCTGTCGCAACCATCAGCTTTGAGCCAGCCATGCGACGGGCCGTGGCCAACATACCGCCGTGTCCGCACTAGGTCCTTTGCCTGTATCCGCAGAGGGCCCATTTGGCCATTCTTGGCGCTCTTCTTGATGTCGGCCACCAGCTTCTTTTCCTGGTTCTCAAGCTTCACGCGCTCGCGGTCCAGCTCCCGTTGTGTCTTCTCGAGGGCGCGCTGGTGTTTCCGCAAGCGCTCCGCCGGCGTCATGCGCTTCCCGAAAGCCCATTCTACAATCTGCATCGCTTGTCAGCTCGAGAGCGCCCGAGAGCGCAGGCTGTACACACATTCATGGCGACGACTGGTGCCGAGGAGCGGCGTGGGGCGGCGTGGACGTGACGTGGGAAGAGGACGGGTCGGGCCTCGCAGCTACTTCTTACTGCGTCTGGATACGACGTCGGGGGTGGATGCGCAGCGTTGTGCGTGGAAACGTTCAGGCGGCCACGTCTTGTCGAGAGCCTGCCGTCGCCTTATCGCTAGATGTTAGTGTTCTGCCTGGTCGAGAGAGCCGCAGGACACGCAGGTATGGCGATGCCGAGCCTTGGTCGAATTATCACATTGGCATCCTGGAGCTTATGCAGTCTAAAGGGACGCCAATCCAAGGACGCGCTGCCTCCACTTGCCTCTGCTCCCTTGTCAAGTTCTCACATGCAATACGTAGCGTAGCATCCGTAGCGAGGGCGAAGTTGGCCAACGACAGCCAATCCCTGCCGGCTGTCGTGGTGGCGTGTGCACCACCAACTCTGACGTTCCCTCTGCATATTCTTCCTTTAGACCGCCGCCCCCCTCCTCTCCGGCACTATCTTCTCGTATCCAACACGACATGCGTCCCTCCTCATAGTGTACACGCCCTAGCCACCCCCGATGCCTCCAAAACGCCGCAACAACCGCTCCGCTGCGCACGGAGAGTCGTCCAGCAGCCGCCAAGGTGCCTCCGACGACTTTGTCCCGCGCCCAAATGTAGGACCTGGATACATGACTGTCGGTGGCGGCAACACCACCAGCGATGCCGCCGCCCGCCTCGTTTCGATGCTCGATGAAGACTCCGGATACGGCGGGAGTGTGCAGGATGGAGAAGGCTCTGGCATGAATTGGCGCTCCAACATTGGCGAAGACAGGCCCTCGCCCTCACCAGTGCCCATACTCGCGGGCGGATCAGGTAATGCCGAGCAGGAGAAACAGCGCAGCCATGTCCTGCAGCTGCGGTACAACCAGAACAAAAACGCCCTCGGTCGCGCAATCCACGGCACCATCGAAGCCCTCAAAAGTTTTCAAGAAATGAACCTCAAATGGCCCGCACACTACCCCTCCATTCAGGCTGCAGAGAAGCAAAAAGCACATTTGCGCAACGATTCCCGGCCTGGATTGCACCACACGCAGTCGGCAGTCGGCGACTTTGACCCCAGCTCCCGCTCTCCCGAACGCCCACGAGGCCCGCGACGCGCAGGTACAACCATTGGAGACGACCCCGTCGCCGAGTCTAGCTCCGCAGCCGAGGCCAAGCGCAGGGAGGAGCCGCGATTGGTGACGCCCCAACTCGCCCACGACTTCTCCGTGTTGAAGTTGGAACTGCGCATGGGTGGGCGGACACAGACAGATTTGGTTCATTCGCTGGAAAAGAACTCTGTCGCTTCCCTTCTGGACGGACAAATTCAGCAAAGCATACGCCACCTGTTTCTTCTCAAGGAGCGTATCGAAGACACCTCAAGCAAAGTCTTGGTCACGGGTGACTTGAACGCTGGAAAGTCTACCTTCTGTAACGCCCTGCTCCGACGGAAGGTTCTCCCGGAGGATCAGCAGCCTTGCACAAGTATATTCTGTGAGGTCCTCGACTTTAGAGAGAACGGTGGCGTTGAAGAAGTACATGCCATTCCTATTGGATCAACATACAACCGCAACGATGAAAGCACCTACGTCGTGTTCGGCCTCAACGACCTGGAAAAGATTGTAATCGACAACGATCACTTCTCGCAGTGCAAGGTCTACGTCAAAGATATCCGCGATGTGGATGAATCTCTGCTGAACAACGGCGTAGTTGACATTGCCCTCATTGATGCACCAGGACTCAACGCCGACTCGATCAAGACCACAGCCGTCTTTGCCCGCCAAGAAGAGATTGACGTTGTTGTGTTTGTCGTTTCGGCAGCCAACCACTTTACTGAATCTGCAAAGAACTTTATCTTCACAGCAGCTCGCGAGAAGGCTTACATGTTTATGGTAGTGAACGGCTTCGATACCATCAGGGATCAGAGGCGCTGTCAGGAAATGATCTTGAAGCAGGTCAACAGCCTCAGCCCAGCAACCTTCAAGGAATCCAGCGAATTGGTGCACTTCGTCTCGAGTAACGCAATTCCCATGGGTGCTAGTAACCCTCCAGATGACAACGGCGACGACGACCCGTCGGGCAAGGGCAAGGGTAAAGAGGCGGAAAAGCTGCGGGACTTTGCCGACCTCGAGGCTTCCCTAAGACGCTTCGTCTTGGAGAAGAGGGCCCGGTCAAAGCTAGCGCCAGCCAAGACATATCTCCTCAACGTGCTCGGAGACATGCACAACCTGGCCACTATCAACCGAGATGTCTCGCAGAACGAACTGGACCGTGTCAACAAAGAGATTGAGGCGCTTGAGCCCGAGTTTGAAGAATCAAAGAAGTCGCGAACAGAAGCTGGGGAAGCGGTGGATCGCATGGTGGAAGACACAACTTCGGAGGTCTACGGCCACACCCGTGACACTCTCAACGACTGTATTGCCAAGGTGGCGGATCTAGACCTGGGCATCGAATACCCCGGACTCTTCTCAGCATACCAGTACGCCGAAGATATTCGCGACTCTATGCTGCACGAGGTTACCGAAAGTGTACGCATTTGCGAAGAGTATGCACGAAACCAAGCTGTGCAGGGCTACAACGGCATCAAGAACTTGGGTGTCCTGCATCTCGGCAACAACTTGTATGCTGATGTCATGTTCCGCCCGGAACGAATGTTCAGGAAGTCGGTGCACGCCCTGGCCAGACAAGTGGACATTGATATCGACTTGTGGGACTTTTTCGACCTAACAGGCCTTTGGGAACGACAAGAAAAGGCTGCGGGTGCCGGTATGGCTATGACTGTTGCAGGTGTAGTCGGAGGCAGACTAGTTGGCGGCGTTGGATGGGTAGACGGTGCCCTGGGCGCCGCTAAGATCATGGGCACAAGCAACATCAGGAGACTCTTGATCCCCGGTCTCATCGCTGGTGGTAAGTGATATTGCACTGGCATCATCTTGGTCACGCTAACATTTCCAGTTGCCCTTGGAGTATCCTATGTCCTCGCTTCAGTGCCCAAGTCACTTCCCCATCGCCTCAGCGCAAAGCTTTCTCAACAACTGGCAGCGATCGACTACACGCACTCGAATGCTCTTCGCATCAGTTCCGAGGTTCGACGCGCGCTCAAGGGACCTGCCAACGATGTCCGGATTGGCTTGCAGAGGAACGTCGAGAAACTTCAGCTTCAGAAGGAGGAGACGAGCAAGATCAAAGCTGAGACCGAGGTGGCTCGCAAATACTTTGGCAATCTTGTGCGCAACAGCAACGACTTGCGCCAGACAGTCCAGCGTGTTGATCTGGAGGCTGCGCCACCAGTCGTTGGAGGACCGATGCAGTAGGTTATTCAATTCATGTCGTTATGTCGTTTATAAGAATTATGGATTATGCGTATGAAGCACAGGCTTTTGAGCATGGAGGCGTTTAAAAGGTGTTATAGTCCTGGTCATGATGAGACTATGGCTGTTTTTCCTGGTGTACATACACAGAACAAATACCCCTCTTGCCCCTTTGAACAAAATGGATAGAATTGCGCCTTTGGCGGTTTGCACAAGTGGTTTGCGTTGTGGTGAAATAGTGCCTGCCAAGCTGTTGCGTGAAGCCGAGCCGTCGGGGTCGGAGTGGCTGGGCGTGGGAGAACGTCATGCTAGTGTGGACCGACCATGGACGCCTAGCCAACGTCGGCCGCCCATAGCACATCACCCATCCAACACGCACCGCTTCATGGCGGGTCACACCTTTTGGAAACCACGCCCATGGAAGTAAGAAGGGATCCCCGGTCTTTTCTCTTCTTCATCATCCTGCTGCTTCTCATCAACTCGCCGGAACCGCAGCAGCCAACGTTTAATGCGCGCACACGATTCCGGGAACTGATTGACCGCGAATACTACCAGCTCGACGTACTGAATCGAACGCGATATGGCGACTTTGATGCGAAGAAGAACAAGTGGCTGAACATTACTGGGCTGCGAGATGAAGATGGGTTTGCATGGGAGCTGCTGGAGCCTGTGAGACAGAGAGCCAAGGCGCAGTCGGAGCACATCCTGGGCGAGAGATGGAAGGGCATGCTGGATGGGTCTTTTGGGGAGGGAGAAGCTATTATGCCCGTGTACAAGAACCTCTCTGGCTATGTACAGGGCGAGTGGACGCGCTCGCCTCTCAGTCGCATGCGGCACCCCGAGGACATGGGCAACGCCTCGGCCATGCCCAGCAATGGTTTTGGCAACGCGGCCGAGTTCGACAGGAACATTACCGGAGCGGGTGGGTCTTTGCGCCTGCACATCACGGAGCTGGAAGACAAGATGCGAAGGAACGAAAACAAGACCATATCTGAGATTAGCGCCAAAGTAATTATTGGCGACCATGATAGCTTTGGGGGCAACTGGTGGGAATTTTTGGTGCACGGGGTGCACTTCTTGAAGAGTGGGACCGCCGTCTTGACGACGACGAGTGACCGGTTCGCAGGCATCTTTGCTCTTCCGCATATGCAGATATCACCGTATCTATACTCGACATCACAGGAATTCCTCAACTGGACGATACACGAGACGATTGAGCGACAGGAAAAACGGACGTTTGCCTTGTGGAACCCGTGGACGTCTGCAGCGGACGGGTCCAACGAAGGGCTGTTCCAAGGCCGGCATTGCGAGTTTGTCTTTTACCTGCAGGAGTTTCCCAGCGAGTACAACATGGACATGGACTGGCTTGAGCACGAGCTCAGATACCCGACCGGGGCTCCCATACCGCGGCAAGTGTCGCACACCATGTCCATGGTGGGCTTTTCCCCCGACTGTGGGCTTGTTGTCGAGTCAAAGGGCCCTCCGGACTTTGCGCCGTCGGAAGCTATGCACCTGGTTGGGTCCAAGACGGAAGTGTTCAACGTGCGGGCAAGACACAGCATTATCGCATTCGCGATTAGCCTGGCGTTGCAGCTCTGGTGTACCATGAAGCAGATGAAAGAGACTGCAACACCGTCGATGCGCAGCCGCGTCAGCTTCTACACGATTGCCATGATGGCTGTGGGCGATGGGTTTACATTTCTGATTCTCATCTTCATGTATCTTTTCCTGGGGACTGCACAGCTGGCTCTGTACAGCATCGCGTTCATAGCGCTCTTCTCGGTGCTCACGCACCTTCGGTTCTTGATGGATATCTGGTCTGTGCAAGCTGCAGAGAGAGCGCGTCAAGAGCGGCAACAAGCGTCGGCAGCTGCGAGTTCAACACGGCCATTGCGTACTGCGACGCCAGCAGCCCCTCGCGAAGAAGGACTGCCATTGCCAGCGACTGCAGCGCGGCCACGCCCCCCTACGCCGATCATCATTGCCCCGGACCAGGATGACGCGGACGAAGATGACGCAGCTCCTAATAACAATACGACAGCAGGCAACGCAAACGCAAATCCGCGCGCCGAACTCGGGGCGCTGTACAGCCGCTTCTGTCTGATGCTGATTGTGCTGTTCTTCATCACAATTCAGTTTGCGACGGCGCGCACAACGTACCGCACCATCTACTTTGACATTGTGTCGTTTGTGTACCTATCGTTTTGGGTACCGCAGATTTATCGCAACACGATGCGCAACTGCCGGCGGGCGCTGCGGTGGGACTATGTTTGTGGGACGAGCGTGGCGCGGATTGCGCCTGTGGCGTACTTTTACATGAAAGAAGACAATGTGCTGTTTGCAAAGACGGACTGGAGGGCCATGGGGGTGTTGGTGGGGTGGGTGTGGGTGCAAGTGGTGGTGCTGGCCAGCCAGGAGATGCTAGGAGCGAGATTCTTTGTCAAGGATGGATGGGCACCGCCGGCGTACGACTACCATCCGATCCTCCGCGAGGACGAAGAGGGAGCGACGATGCCGCTGAACATGACGAGTTCCAGCGACTCGGCGACGGCGCTGGATGCGTCGTCGTCGTCGTCGGCGGCGGCGGCGGCGGCGGCGGGGCAGGCGGAAGGCGAGGCGACCAAGGGGTCGGGCGAGTCCAAGACCAAGGGCAAGAAGGTGTTTGACTGCAGCATCTGCGCCAACGACATTGAAGTGCCCGTGGTGGCGGCAGGGGCGGACGAAAACAGCATGACGGGCATGGGGGGCACGAGCATGATTCTGCAACGACGCCAGTACATGGTGACGCCGTGCCGGCACATTTTCCATACTGGGTGTCTGGAAGGGTGGATGCGGTACCGGCTGATGTGCCCGAACTGCAGAGAGAGTCTGCCGCCGCTGTAGTGTGAGTGTGTGTGTATGGATATTGCATGTAGGCGTAGGGCGCATGGAGTGTGGATGTAGGTAAGTAGGGGGGGGCTGGCTGAGGGGGCACGTGAGCATGTGTGCACGTGACATGGATAGACAGCACTATACATATGAGGATGGACTAGTACTAGCACCGCTACCAAGGGCATCGGCCGGCCAAGCGCTCGGGTGTTGGTGATGCACGCAGCAAGTCTGAGTGTGAGCATGAGCATGAGCATGAGCATGAGCATGAGCATGATGAGCATGAGCATCAGAGTTCGCCGCGTACTCGCAAACACACGGCCTAGCGCGTATGTAATCGCTCGACTCGACGCGACCCGCCCCAAACGCCTCACCTGCCACGGGCGCCAGGGGGGCTCCCACACGTAGCCGGGCTCTGCTCGCTTGCCCATGGCTACCCGCAACCGCTAAACAGAAGAAACACACGAGCGGCGGCGAGGGCACAAGGAGCGCGCGCAAACTCAATCGTCGGCGTGGCTTGGGGTGCCGTGGCTGTGTGGGCTGCCAAGCTGTCTCCCTCTCTGGCGGCCATGGATGCGTCGTGTGCATGGTGGATACTTTGGATGGCGGATGATATTAATAGCGCCCCATCGGAACGCCACAGCTGCTTGTCCGCATCTGCGTGTGCTGCGCTGACCTGCGCTGCCTAGTACTAGTCGCCGCCTTGCCTGCTCTGCTCTGCCTACATGCCCAAACCTCTCTCTCTCTCTCTCCCCCTCTCGTTTTCTGTTTTCCGTCTACTGCCCTGGCCATAATCCCATCCACATGTAATAGCCACACCTGGCCAAGCGTGCGTCCGAAACTGCTTCCCAGCCCTTTAATCTTGGCCCCGTTGTCGGTCGCGTGGAAACCCCAGACACGCCCTCTCTCTCCTGCACCCTAAGCCCGCAATTGTTTGCAGCCGTTGTCTTGTCCAGCTCCCAGCCGCAGCCAGGCCGTAACCCCCCAACCCCGCAGCTTATTTCGCACCTCCCCATACATAGTCACCACCGCCCATACCCTCCGCTTCCATAATACATACTTGGACTCCATCGCCCTCTGCCCGCCATGGCAGCCAACGAATACTACCACCCATATGGCCAGCCGCACGATAGGTCCGATGCGCCTCTGCCGCCAACGCCCGCCAACCAAACTCCGCGCCCGGTATCGCCCGTCAGCTCGCCCTTCCAAGACCGGCCCTACCCAGTCCACACACACAGTAGCGGGGCCGTGAGCGGCTATCCCGTCGACACCTCCTACTCAAACACCGCGCACCAGTCGCCCGCCGACTACAGCTCCACCGCACATCTCAACGACCCCTATGCCCGACAACCAGACCCGTTTGCCGACCAGAATGCAATACCTCTGCAGAACCAACAAAACAAGCCACCCTCGGACGCTCCTGTCCGTTTCAATAATGACCCGGAGTACTATGGCATGGGCGTTGAGCCGAGAAGGAGAAAGAGCAAAAAGAAGAAGAAGGGCTGGCTGAGCGGAAGAGTGACGTGGGCTGTCTATCTCCTCACGGCAGTGCAGCTTGGTGTATTTATCGGAGAGCTGGTGAAAAACGGTTCGTTTATACAGCGACTGCACCTTTGCGCATAAACTCAACAAAGACACAGGCATTCTAACCGGCTCGCCCATCCAAACCAAGCCCAACTTTAACATCATGATTGGCCCCTCGCCCTATGTCCTGATCAACATGGGTGCCCGCTTCACGCCTTGCATGCACAACATCAGAAAGGTAATCGAGGCCAAACCTCCTGTTCTCAACTGGCCATGTCCCAACACCACCACCATCGGTCCAAACTCGCCGCAATGCACCTTGGCCGAGCTCTGCGGCATGGGTGGTGGTGTCCCGGACCAGACCGGCGTCACCAATTTCAGAGACCGGAGCCACGAGCCCGACCAGTGGTGGCGCTTCATCACACCCATATTCCTCCACGCCGGAATCATCCACATTGGCTTCAACATGCTGCTGCAGTGGACCCTCGGCCGCGACATGGAAAAGGAAATCGGCCCCTTCCGCTTCCTCCTCGTCTACTTCTCCGCCGGCATCTTTGGCTTCGTGCTCGGCGGCAACTATGCGCCCGACGGCCTCACATCCGTCGGCTGCTCAGGCTCGCTCTTTGGCATCCTCGCGCTGACGCTACTCGACCTGCTCTACAACTGGTCGACGCGCCGCAGCCCCGTCAAAGACCTACTCTTCATCCTCCTCGACATGGCCATTGCCTTTGTCATCGGCCTCCTCCCCGGCCTCGACAACTTCTCGCACATTGGCGGCTTCCTCATGGGCCTCGTCCTCGGCATCTGCATCATCCACTCGCCCGAGTCGCTGCGCGCCCGAACAGGCCAGGGCCAGCCCCCCTACGCTACCGTCGATACCCAGCCCCTCGCCCCCAAGGACGAGCAGCAGCCCGCAAACAAAATGGCCGTCTTTGCCAAACAGCCCCTTGGCTTCTTCAAGGGCCGGAAACCCCTCTGGTGGGCTTGGTGGCTCGTTCGCGCAGGCAGCCTCGTCGCCGTCTTCATAGGCTTCGTGCTGCTGCTGAGAAACTTTTACGAATGGAGAAATACGTGTAGTTGGTGTAGGCATTTGTCTTGTTTGGTATGTCTTTTTCCTTGTATTTTGCAAAATACCTGTTTTTTTAAAAGGGTTAAGCTAATTCTTTTCCGCCTACAGCCTGTAAAGACAAATGGCGTCTCGTGGTGCGATATGGGCGGCTTGAATCTTACCACCACCCAGAGCTCGAGTAATAAAAGACGCGCCTTGGGCGAGGCCCATGTATCGGAGCTGCTGGGCCAAATGGCTGTTGGAAGCCTTGTTTAAATCCGCACCCATGTTACGCTCTGCTCCGCTCTGTCACGTCTTGTTTGCTTGGATGTTTTCCGCTTTTGTTGTTGTTGTTGTTGTTGTTGTTGTTATTATTTTTATTATTGTTATTGTGCTTGTTGTCTTAGTACTAGTAGAGGTACTTTGTTTGTTGCATAGGCGCGCAACAATTTATTCCTCCTCTTCTCTCTCTTTTTTTTTCACTAATTTTTTCTCTTGTCTTTCAGAAGAAAACAAAATCTTTGGGGGTCTAAGTAGCATTGATACCACTATGGCAATGGGCAATGGGCAATGGGTATGTAGCAAAAGCGCGCGTATATACATGTATAGCTTTTCTTTCATCTTTCCTTTTTTTCTTTTTTTTCTTGGGGCTACTTTGTCATTCATGATGATGATGATGATGATGATGAACATGACATGGCATGAGTGTCTGCGTTGAATAGGGAGGGAACAGAAAGAAAGAAAGAAAGAAAGAAAGAAAAGAACATTCAATCACTCTGGTCTTTTTGGATGCGAGGGAAATCCATATATATCCTGCAATTGAAATCTCAAACTTCCTTCTCCTTGTTTTTCCCACTGTCATGCATATTCTCTCTCGCTTGCCCGTAAAATCACTTTGTCATACCCTTTTTGACCACGCCCCCATGCATGATCTTAACTCGGATAACCCCCGTCCATGTCGACACACTCCCATCTACCTACCTACCTACCTACCTACCTACCACTGCTCAGCCTCCGGAATACCTCCAATGCGCACAAACTCTCGCTCTGGCTCCTTCCAATCAGGCGGGGTCGTAACAGTATACTGCAGATAACTCGCGACAAGCGGCCTAAACACCTCCATACGCCCCGTGTCGTTTGTCAGCAGCACGTTCCTGGTATTCGCATGGTCGGGGCGCGTCGTGTCGTGGACGCTCAGGAAGCCGCCGGACATGCGGTCGAGAAAGATGTTGAAGTCGTCGGCCTTGTGGATCTGGCAGCGCGAGGCTTGCGACTCGCAGTGTGCGATGAGGGCTGTGACGTTGTTGAATGTCTTGAGGCACTTGGGACACTTCATGCGCGTGACGCGGTGGTGGCTGAGAATGTGCTTGTTGAGGTCGCCGGCGCAGTCGAACATTTGCCTGTTGTGATGTTACTATCAGTAACAAGGATGGAGGGTTTCTGCGAGGCGGATGTGTGTGGATAGATGGGACTTACTCGCAGATAAAAGGACAGTAGTACTTGGTGATGATGGCATCGAAAAACTTCTCGGGGTTCCAGTCATCACTCATGGGGTCCCAGAAGCGCGAGCGCAGAATGTTAATGCCGTGCTCTTGCTCCATGGCATCGTCGTGGGCAGCAACGGAGAAGTCGCTTGGAGGCGCCTTGGGCCTGGCATTGGGAAACAGCATAGCGCCAGTGGACTTGCCCTTGCGACCGCCCCAGGCTTTGAGCTCGCGGGGGGCAGAGGAGGTGTTAGACTCTTGCATCGCCGAATCCTTTTGCGTCGAGTGGCTGTGCACAGAAGAGCCATGTCGAGAGGATGGACTGCGCATGGAATGGGTGGAGACTCTGGTTGCGACTGGAGATGCAACAACGGTGGAAGTGTCTGATCCAGTATCATCTCTACCACTCAAAGACATGCCGTTCATGGTTGACGCAACTTCAGAGTCAATATTTCTCATGGTAGACTGCGAGGGGAGTGGTGGAAACTGGCCAGAAAAGACCAGAGTACGTGGCGTCTCCGAGTGCGTATCCGGCGTGATAGCTTTAAACTCGACTGCATCCACTTCCTGATCCTCGCCCAGCGGGTCTTCCGAAAGTGACACGCCGCCCTCTTCCTCGTAGTCAATGGCTGCCTCGAACTTGGACGTCTTCTGTCTGAAGCGGTCCAACGCAGGGCCGCACTTCAGTAGCTCCGAAATGAGATACTTGTGAACAATATGGCCCTGGAATTGGTTCGCCGAGATGACATCACAGTGGCCGAATTCGAGGTGTTCGATGAACAGGGCCGCGCTGTAGTACGACTTGTGGCATCCAAAGCAGGTCAGCTTCTGGTCGACTTTGTGGTTGAGCTCAATGTGGCGCTTTAGGCCAGAGGTGCTTTTGAACTCGTCGCCGCACACGCGACATGCAAGACCATGCTCTGCTGGACGTGTAATCTTGTGCATGGCATAGTCTTCGAACGAGTCAAAGTCTTCGTCACACTTGTGGCAGTATTCATGCTCGTCGGAATGCCTCTTGTGGCTCTTCATCAGCTTCTCGCTGTCGAAAGACATGTCGCAGTCTTTGTAGGTGCACTTGAAGCGCCGGATTGGCTCTAGTTGAGCAGGCATCTTGGCTATCCTTGCTGAAGTTAGTACAATCTCAAAGAAATGGCGGTCTATCCAATTTACTTGTAGACTGCTGGTTTTTGTATCCTCAATGAGGCAATGTCGAGTACCGATGGATTGCAATAGGCGGCGAGCTGGTTGTACGAGAGGGCGAAGTGAGCAAGTTGCAGCCTGAAGAAGCGGGCGGTGAGAGGCTATAGCGGGAGAGGTAAATGGTGATTGCGCAAAGGTGAGAGGCAGATGATTGTGCAAGGTGAGGGAGCGTTCCGAAAGAGGAGGGAGCAATCGGTTCCGTGGTTAGGAAGGAAGCCCTATGCTGCCGCCAAGCCTTTCTTACCAGGCCATTGACAGGACACCACAGGCAAAGTGAATCTACATGGAGACCCGATTGATCATGGAGAGAAGAAAGGACAAGTCATGGCATGGATGGACACAATAATTGATTAATTAGTGCTATGAGCCACTCAGAATCTTGAGTAAGGGAGCCTAGGCAGTGGTCAGACATGGACAACCAGCGTGCTTTGCAGTATACATACCACTTCCCCCTCATGGTGATCTTGGCCCAATCGCCCTTCTCATCGGTTTCCTTCTCTACCTTTGTGCTGAAAGAAATGGCGCTCATGATGCCGTCGCCAAACTTCTCGTGCATGACGGCTTTGTAGGCCTGTCCGTAGTTCTGCACGATTTCGTACAAACGGTAAATGGTAGGGTCTCTGGGGGGCATGTCGAGTGTGCTTCCTCGCTGAAGGAAGCCAGCTAGCTGGGACTCGAGCTTTCCGGCGTCAATGTCGAGAATCTCTGAGAGCTTCTTGATATCTTCGGCAGAGGCCATGGCTTGGCCGTAGAAAAGGGCGGCAATGGCGACTTCATCGCGGCCGACGTGCTTTGCAATTGCTTCAAAGGACAGGTTCTTCTTCTTCTTTGCCTCGAAAAGAGTCGGGGACGAAGGAGGAAGACGAGGGGTAAGTTCCTCCTGCAACAACATGAGCCTCGCTGCGCATCACTGCAAGTGCGTCGAGAAACATACATTCAAGGTGACAATGGGATTTTGCGCGGTGATAGGCGTCGAATGGAAACAACGGGTAGCAGTGATAGGCATCGCAGGCCGAATAGCGCCAAAGACACGAGGCGCCAGCCTGACGGGCAATGCAAAACGGGGAGCAAAGGCCATGATGTGCGTGTATGCGGTAGAAGCTGTGTCCTGGTGTAGGGAGGAGGTGGAAAGCTCCCGCTGTGGGATGCGACATATACTGCTATGTATAGCTGGAGGAGCCGATAAGTATACAAGGGTACGTCATGCATAGCAGCCGTCGGCATCGTGCCGCGAACTTGTGGGGTGTCTCGGCAGTGTAGGGTATATAGCAGGCATGGCTCGCCCTGGGCCGTCTGGCTCCATTGCACTACGCGGCGTCGAGCAACAGGCGTATGACAAAAGGGGAGTCTGCTGCGGGGTGGATGGATGATAGTCGTCTTGGTGGTGGTGGTGGTGGTGGTGGGAGAGTGAGGGGCAGCGGACGAGCACGGTTCCGGCGCGTGGAACCCCCCCCCCTCGGCGTCCCCTTGCACGCGCGCCAACACGAGGAAATCAAGGTGCGCGTCCAAGTGATTGGCCCTCAGTGAATCTCTCAGCTCGCCCACTTACCTGCATGGCCACATAGTCAATGCACTAGGCCCTGGTGACGCGGGGCTCCTCTGCAGAAAGCTCCCAAGCTCCCAAATACCTCACCTCCATCGCCGACATCTCCCAGCAGCCATAGCAACACCACATCCTGAGCCCCCACCATGTCTCGCCGGGACGACGACTTGGCGTACGGTGAGTACCATGAGCAAGAGGGCGACCGCGGCCTCATAGGCGACATGGGCCGCCGTTTTGGTTTTGGCAAAAAAGAGGTCAGTACATATCTCGCTATGCGGTCATCGTGCACCGCCTAGCCTCATGTCCACAGCATGAGGGTGTTGAAGTCTTGGACAGCAGCCCTAACTTGGCCTACACAGGAGAATCAGCCTCAGTCCTCAGGCCAAAGTGGTGGTGGCAGCGGCGGCGGCGGCGGAATGTCTTTCTTCAAGAAGCTCCACGACCCTCTCCATGACTTCGTCGCCGACATCAAGGAGGCCATAACCGGCGACGACAAACCACAAAACTCCCAGCAAGCCACCTCTCAGCAGGCAGGTCAGCCACAGCCCGGCCAGGAGTACCACCCACAACACCGCTTTTCGAGCTTCGCCCCCGAACGCCATGGCAACAACATCAAGTGGTATGTAGATGGATGCTCGTACATGTACGCAGTCTCCATTGCCCTCGAGCGCGCCAAGGAGTCAGTATGGATCCTCGACTGGTGGCTTTCGCCAGAGCTCTACCTCCGTAGGCCACCGGCGAAGAACCAACAGTACCGGGTCGACCGGATGCTGCTGGCAGCAGCCGAGCGCGGCGTAAAGGTCAACATCATTGTCTACAAGGAGGTGACCCAGGCTCTGACTCGTAAGTATCTCAATCCGTTGTTGCCCAACTATCTTCATTCTCTTCTGCCCAGCTCGACGGATTGGTTTACCAAAGCACTTACGCGGGTCGGCCTCGATGTCATATTCAAGTCTCTTGAAGAGTGGGAAAATACAGATCCGCTGATTGCACCACCCATTACAGTCTCCTCAGCCCACACCAAGCACCACTTGGAAGATCTCCACCAAAACATTGGTGTTTTCCGACACCCCGACCATCTGCCAGACGCCGCTGTACTACAATCGTCCTTTGCCTCTTCATTCCAGAACATGTCCTTCACCCCGGCATCGCTCGCTAAGCTTCCCATGGACAGCCTCAAGGCAATCTATGGTGCCCACGAGAATACCGTCATGTACTGGGCACACCACGAAAAGCTCTGCTTGATTGACGGCCATATCGCTTTCATGGGAGGTCTGGACCTCTGCTACGGTCGATGGGACACCAACCAACACGCAATTGCCGATGCTCATCCTGGAAACATTGACCGCATTGTTTTCCCAGGACAGGACTTTAACAATGCTCGTATCATGGGTAAGCCGGCTCCAAGCCGCTGACTTGATCAAAGTTGCATGGCTTTCCAACAGGATCTAGCGAAGCAATGATGCTAATATGGGAACAGACTTTGAAGACGTCACTCACTGGGAAAACAACAAGCTCGATAGGACCACGAGCTCGCGTATGGGGTGGTCCGACATTGCCTTGTGCCTCTCTGGTCCAGCTGTTCAGGATCTCCGTACCCATTTCACCCAACGCTGGAACTTCATCTACGACGAAAAGTATAGTAAGAAGGCCACCAGATATGCCAGACTGCCCGATACCAGTAGTGGTGCTCAACAGGGTGGTACGTTTCCTCCACCTCCGACTCAACAGCGGGGTTACGAAGGAGAGGAGGGACAGCGTGGTTTTGGTCGTGAAGAGGAGGGCGAAAGGGGGCTGTTTGGTGTTGGCGAGCATCTCCGACAGAAGGTGCAGAGCAGGTTCGACCAGTATGGACACCAACAGTCGCAGCATGGTCATCAGCAGTCGCATGCCGAACACAGCTCGCAGAGCGGTGGTGTCGAGTGCCAGATCACGCGCAGTTCAGCCAAGTGGAGTCACAACCTTGCCACGACTGAGGTCAGCAGAACCATCAATTGTCATGAAAAAGGCAAGGGCTAACATTGAGTCACAGCATTCCATTCAAAATGCCTACTGCGAAATCATTCGCAACAGCAAGCACTTTGTCTACATTGAGAACCAGTTCTTCATCACTGCTACGGGCGACCAACAGAAACCCATCAAGAACCAGATTGGTGCGGCCATGGTCGAACGCATCGTCCGAGCTGCTAGGAATGGCGAAAAGTACAAGATGATTATCATGATTCCGGCCGTACCGGCATTTGCTGGGGACCTGAAGCTTGACGAAGCGCTCGGCACCCGTGCCATTATGGAATGTGAGTGCCCCGGGGATAGCCAGGTGGGGATTTATTACGCGAACGTTTACTAATGACCGACCAGTCCAATACGATTCCATCAACCGCGGTGGTCACTCGATTTACGAGGAGATTGCCAAGGCAGGCTTTAACCCCATGGACTACATCCGGTTCTACAACCTTCGCAGCTACGACCGTATCAACGCCAGTCAAGTCATGCGTGAGGCAGAAGAGCACAGCGGCGTATCCTACCGTGATGCTCAAGAGGGCTACGATGCCGCCCACGACAATGCTCGCGGCTATCAGGCCTATCGCCCGCCACCCAGTGAAGAGTATGGCGTCTACGAAATGGATGGCTCTTCTGCTCCCCAGCGACCGCAGTACGATGCTGGCCCTCAGAGTCAAGGCCGGAAGAGCGACTACGACCGCTACCAGCAAGAGGCAGTCAAGATTGGTGGGCGACAAGGCCTCGGCGACGGACGCTGGGATACCGTCAGCGAGTGCTACATGCTGGGAGGAGAGGACATTCGCAAGGTACCTTGGGAAGGCAGTCCTGAGGATGAGATGGACGCCTTTGTATCGGAAGAGCTGTACATCCACAGCAAGCTCTTGATTGCTGACGATCGTATCGTCATCTGTGGATCTGCCAACCTCAACGACCGCTCTCAACTCGGAGACCATGACTCTGAGATTGCAATCATCGTCGAAGATCCCAAGCAGGTGGACTCTTTGATGGATGGCCGGCCATGGCGCGCGTCCGAGTTTGCTGCGTCCCTCCGAAGGGAAATCTTCCGCAAGCATCTCGGCTTGCTCAAACCACAAGACATGGAGCGACCAGACAACAACTACCAACCGATTGGTGTCCCCAACCAGTACGACTGGGGATCGCAAGACGACCGCCAAGTCGCAGACCCCTTGTCGGACGAGTTTTTGAACCTGTGGAACTGGAGGGCGCACACCAACACGCAGGCTTTTGCAAAGGTGTTCCACCCGGTGCCGACTGACGAGGTCAAGAACTGGAAGCAATATGACGCATACTACTCTCGCTTCTTTGGCCAGGACGAGAAGCAGAAGCTGGAGAAGAAGCCGTCAATGTACAAGTGGGGCCATGTGGTTGCAGAAAACTTTGCTCCGGGCGAGCAGGGCGTGCGTGAGGTCAAGGAGGTTCTCAGCACCATCAAGGGCACGATTGTCGAGATGCCGCTGCTGTTCCTCAAGGAGGAGGACATTGCCAAGGAGGGCGTGGAGCTGAATGCGCTGACCGAGGAGATTTACACGTAGTATAGCGGGCTGGGCAGGCCATGCTGGTAGCCAAGGCCTCTGCGATGAATGAAACGAAACATGAAGGATACTCTTTTCTACATGTAGTGTGTCGCGTGCCGTGGCAGGTCTAGTGGGCTTCTGGGTCCCAGCAGAGGCCCGCCGCCCGTACTGGTGGCTATTAGCGCTGACGGCCCCTGGGTAAGTAAGCGGCGGTGATGGCACATGTCAACTTCCCCCGGATTCGCGTGCGGCCCTGGTGCGAGTACCTTGGGCACACGATTCCTGCAGCGCCATGCCTCGACTGATGACGGCACGCAATGCCGTCCTGCTGCTCAACGTCATTGTGCTCACCGTCCTCGTCCTGCATCTCAAGTTCGAGCTATGGAGCCCCGCGGCGCCTGGCCCGGCTAGTCTTACCCACCTCCCCGACGAACTCTACGACGAACAACGAGCCGACGCGACGTCGCACGACTCGGACGACAAGCCACTCAAGGCCAACGATGGCGTGCGCCTGCGTCGCACCGCAGTCGTCGTCGCCAGCCAAAAGTCCGAAAACGTAACGTGGCTGGACGACTACTTTCCCGCGTGGGAGAAGAACATCTACCACGTCGACGACCCCAATGCGCGCCTCACGGTGCCCAGGAACAAGGGCAGGGAGAGCATGGTCTACCTCACGTGCGTGCCCCTTTTGCGCATACCACCAGCATGTCGCAGGCTAACGCCCGTTGTCGCCATAGTTACATCATTGACCACTACGCGTCCCTCCCGGACAACGTTCTCTTCATCCACCCCACGCGCTACCAATGGCACAACGACGACCCCGACTACGACGGCCTGCCCATGCTGCGCCACTTCCAGCTGCCCTTCCTCGAGAAAGAGGGCTACGTCAACATTCGCTGTGCATGGTCGCTGGGCTGCCCAAGCGAGATTAAGCCTCTTGCCGAGGAAGGCGAACACCGCGAGGCTGTACACGCTGGCGGAGACTACAAGAAGGCGTTTGAGAAGCTGTTCCCTGGCAAGGAGGTGCCTGCAGCCGTGGGCGTGAGTTGCTGTGCGCAGTTCGCGGCGACGAGGGACAAGATCAGGGAGCGGAAGAAGGAGGAGTATGAAAGGTATCGCCAGTGGATCATGGACACGCATCTGGACGACGCCATCAGCGGGCGGGTATTTGAATACTCTTGGCATAGTAAGTGTCCGCGGACGGTTTCGTATCGGCGCACTGCTTTTGTGGCGGCTGTGGTCATTTACTGACTTTGCAACAGTCATCTTTGGCAAACCCCCCGTACACTGCCCCTCTGCTAAGCAGTGCTACTGCAAGGTATTCGGCCTGTGTGACTTGAACTGCAAAGACGAAGGAAGCTGCGACGGAAGATATATCCTGCCGCCTTTTTCCGTGCTGCCCGAAGGTTGGCCCTTTGTTGGCTGGAAGAACGAACAGCGCCAGCGAGCCGCTTCGGAAGACTGAGCTACAATGCTACTACTGGTAACGTGGTTCATAAGCGAGTCGGCCACCCAAGCGAGTCGGCCACTTTGTACTAGCGCGTCAACTTTAACACGTTATTACAGTCTTTTATTATAGTTAATAAACTATTGTAATATACTAAATTAATTATTAGAATTACTACTATTACTTATACTATCTATCTTAACTACTGTAACGATGTTACAACTTCGCCAAGTATTGAGCCAATCCCAGAGCCGGATCGGAGGAAGTACCTGCCGCCCTTCATCAGCCATTCGCCCGAGGTCGGATCCGAATTCGGACCCGACTAGGATAGGTATATATTGAGACACTCCCTGTAGCTAGCTCTGTAGACTTTTGATATCCTTTCGTACAAGGCCTATAGGTGGCTTGTTGAATCTAGGCTCTTTGTGATCCCACGCACTCCCATATGCCTCTGAGTGATCCTACGACCGAAACAGATCCGACCTGCCTTACCTGCGCCGTTACACTACGCTTCTTTAATAGTTTATTAGCTATTACTTAAACCTTAGCCTTTATAAGGCAAATTCTTACGTAGACT